TCTTCGCAACTGGCGCATGTTTTTTTTTTTTTAGATTACAGATAAAGTGCTCGCACAGACAGCCTGATTCTACACTACCCACCTTGTCTTTCCGATTCTGTATACCAGGTGTTTCTGTGAATACTTTAAAAAATCCCTACAAATAGGATGGTTGAGAAAAAAATGAAGCTCTCTTTGGGAACAAACTGCCCGTCACAGCAGACATCAGGAATTGCAGAAACACTATTAACTTTTTGTTTAGTAGTGAAAATAAACATATGCTACCAATTAGAAACTTGCCGAGTGTTGGTGAAAATTGCTGTAATCACTTAATTTCAGGAAGACTTGAAGTGTGTGGGAAGCCCAGGGGTGTGCTAAAGCTCCCTCTCATGCAGCAGCCGGAAAACTGACGATGGAAAAGCATTGACGTTTTTTTTATTATCCGGCATCAATTTTAACGTTTTAAACTGAACATAATTTTTTAAAAAGCACAAGAAACTGAGCCTAGAGCAGCAAACCAATGTCCCCAAGACTTTAAATAACTTTTAATATTAAAAGCACAGTAAAACCGAAAGTAAGTTGCAACTTTACTTGTCGACCATCTTACCATGACGTCAGATGTTGTAGAACCTTCAGCACATGGGCAGCTTGAGCCTGTTTCCCCCAGGGTCAGAAGCCGTCAGAAGGCCATCGCGATCGTCCGTGGGAAACAATGAACTATGATTCATCGAGCTTGTCCGAGTCGAGCAATGACCAACAAATGTTTCAAGATTTTCAGCATGAGATTTCAGACGATTCGCTGGCGTTGCCCCCGAGGGGACCACCCATCGCGGCTGCATTCGCAATCTGCCGACATGTGGCCAAGGTGCTGCTTCAGAAGCAGAGGGGTATAGAAGGTTTTGCTTGCTAGTTCGACGCAAATGCTGGGAGCCAGCTTTCGCGTCGGTATGCATGAACCTACTTTTGTCGCAGAGACTTCTTGGTCAGAAACCTCTGAGATGTCACTCAGCTGCATTTCTTTGTGGCGTTTTTTCACCCCATACCCTACCCTCCATCGCTTCCTCAAGTAGCCCAAGCCAGACAAGACCCGCAAAACCTCGTATGCTCAGTACCACTACAATGCACAATGCCTTAAAGGACGGAGTGCCAGCTCTCGGATACAACCTTTGACATCGCGATTGATCCCAGGGATCCGGGCGCCACTGCTGCTCGTTGTTGCCAGTAGAGCGGCAGCCAGTGGTTCGGAGGTATACGCAGAAAGTTAAAAGTTGTTTTCTTAAAAAAAAAAAAAATTAATATTTTTATTAGATATTTCGTAGACATACTTAAGTGGGTATTTAGGGCACGGTGAACGTTTGATAAAAATTGAATATTGATATTGTGCCGGAGCTCCCCTAGGCCTTCCGAAAATTGACTAATTTAATGGTTTTTGATGACGCTCAACAAGTTTCTAATTGGAATCATGTTTATTTTCACCAATTCGAAACCTGGGTAGTAAATTTTTGGCAATATTTTTGCTAATTAGTGTGTTTTTTGCAATCCCTGACGTCTGCCATGACTGGCAGCATCTTTTCAAAAAGAGTTTTTTTTTTTTCTCAACCACCCTATTTGTAGGGATTTTTGAAAGCATGCGTAACAACAACTGGTATATAAGATGTTCATTGAAATTACTGGCACGGCAAAGAGATAGTCATCGGCCAAACGCAGAACAGGCTTTGCCTTTATTGTGAACCTTATAGAAATGTGCTGGTTGATCACGAGCAGCGATCAATGCTGGCATGTTTGAACAAGATTTGGTTCTAGTGTCACTGGGTTTGAAGGCTGTTACTCTTGGCGACTGAAAAACTTGCCCAAGTGGCGACCTGGTTACTGTTAGTGGACTTATTGGACAATAAACATACTATACACTCTACAAGTAGGTTGGTGTGAACTTGTACCTACAACAGCTCTTTTTAAGTCTTCTTACATTGTATCTCATCGTTTGGGTTTTGGGTGTGAATAATCAATGGAGTTTAAAAAGGGTCCAGGACACGAAAATTAAAACAACCCTCGATATGAAAGGCTCATAGATTGCTTGTAAACACACCAAATTTTGCAATTTTTAGAGCTATGATAATTACAGGAAAATAGTTTTCAAGTCTCAATCATTTGCATCTGGTGACCAGAAAACCTTGACGGAATTCCGACGTAACGTGCCCAGAGTAGTCGCATCATGGTGTCCATGACCCATGTGATTGTAACCGTCTAGTTGAACACACTCTCAGGCTAGGCTCATCTATGTTCATCAGGCTCACAAGCTACACGCTACGCTACTCTCATTCCCTTGCCTCCTAGCCTGCTCCTTGCTCCTAGTACTATGTCGAAACAAAAGATTTCAACAATGCAAGCAATTCTGTAGACTCCATTGGTTCGAAACGCAGGAAGGAAACGAGAAAGCTGAAGGCCAAAACAGCTCAAGCATTGAAAGAGCCATGTCTGCGAATGCGTGCAAGAGAACGGTTGGAGTTGTGCTACCATGCCGCTAGGGACACTGGCAGACATATGTATGATCTATGGAGAGATGAGGTAGATTATGTCACCGACCTTTAAAACATGGCAGCTTTCCTAATAGGTGAGCGGCGTTTGGCAACTTCTGGTTCCTTAGGAAATTTTGTTTCGCTGTTGACAAACAATGATGATGATCTGAAAGCCTGTCTAAGCAAGGTTCTGAAAACTAGAGTCTGGAGGTTTCAGAATTATGCTTGCACAGGCTTGCAGCCGATTGTCGTTGTTTGTCAACAGTGAAACAAAATTTCCTAAGGAGCCGGAAGTTGCCAAACGCCGTTCACCTATTGGGTGGGAGTAAATCTGACGGTCCTGCAATTAAGTCAAATTTATCCTCAAAACTAACCCTTTGTTTACAAAACAAATTTAACACAAATATAGTGGCATCTAATGGGCTCTATCGATATACTTATATCAGATTTTATTTTTTTCGTATCCTAACCCCTTTAAGGGGAGACGCGGGTCTTAAAATGGTCAAAAAACGCGAAATTTCACGTTTTTCAAAATTCACATATTTGGATTAATTGTAGTCTAAGGTACCTGCCTGCAAAGTTTCAATGTCGAAATCAATGTCTAAACATGAAAAAAATGATATTTACGATGTCCCCGCAGAGCCCTAACACAGCGAGTTCAATAAAAACAAGTGGAACTTCGCGCCTCGCGCGTTTCGCGATCGCTCGTCGGATCGCGGCCATCTTGGTCTTGTTGGAAAGCCGCTTATTTTCCCCACGTCCCCATGCCATTCATTATCGCGACAACATCGGGAAACGTCCGCATTCCGCGGGTTCCGAAAGCCCCAATTGCGATCGCTCATTGGCCTGCTAGCAAGGTGCCCGTACGTCAGAGCACGCGCGGCGCCTAGCGCCCCTGCTATTGGCCTAAACGCGCCCCTCCGCTCTTTTTCTCCTTTCCTCCTTTCCGTTCCCGCGCTGGCGAGAGGTGCGTCGTCTGCTCCTGGGCCCGTCTCCGCCCGTCTCCTTAGGCCTGTCTGCTTTGTTTCCTCCGTGGTCGAGCGCACGTTTTAGTTCCCGTTTGCGCGCTTGCGTTGAATATTGTTGGTTCGTTTTCCTACGAAGTCGCGCGTGTTTTGTTTTGTTTCGCTTCGAGTTCTCGAGATGCCGGACGACGCTCGGTTGAAATCGAGCACGCGGCAAGCGTTCGGAAGGAAGAGGAAGCGACCGTGGAACAAGAAGCCGAAGCTGTCTGCTGCAAGTGCGCCACCGCGATCGGCACCGCCGGATGCCTTGGATCTTCCGGAAACATCAGCCGGAGACATCGCAACTCCATGCAGCAGCGGCAGTTTGTCGAGCTTTGCGAGCGCGGTTCGTGTCGACACCGCATACTACTCCACGGCCGAGCAGGCGCAACGAGTCGCACGATCGGACGAATGCAAGCGTGCCCTATCGGAAAAGTCGGCGACCCAGCGCAAATTCGACCTTCTCGGCGTCACCACAGGAGGCCAGACGCGCGACGCTGGGACACAGTTCATTGTAGTGGACATGAAAGCTCTCAAAGCATGGAGAAGGACAATCTGCGTAAGGCCAACACTGCCCACCAGAGCAGCAGCAATGCAAAGCAGAGGTTCTCCAGGCAACACCAAACTGGAACAGCTGGGGACTACAGTCCTGGACAGCTGTGAGGGGCTCCCCTTTCAAGTGCTACACGAACAAAGGCCCTTTTCAGGGCCAAACAAAATCTGCTTTCGGAACGTGCAACCCTTGGTGCCTCCTCCCGTTGTCCCTTATAGAGTCTACTCATTCTTTTATAACGTTATTTTACATTGCAGACATTATTTCTCAGTTTTATATTATTTCTAAAGGTTCTTGTGAACGGATTGCAGAATTTTTCATCTCAATTTGTTCAGATAGAACTATGCTTCATATTGCTGAACATTATTGCATGGGATATCTTACTCAATTTTATGCAATGAGTGTCAAAACTTCAACTGCAATTTTCTCAGCTTCGCATTTTTTGTCTACATGCCTAGCCTTACGGTTGTTTTCATGAGATTATTCTTCGAGGATTTCTATTAACTTTATACCGTTGAATTCAGAAAGAAGTGAACTGCAGGGTGATGCTATTTTTGTATGACGGTATGGGCCAGAAATTTTATTATTAGTGATAATGTGACCTCGTTAAGCTTTGTAAATAGTGTACTTGACCTAATTAGACTAGTTTTATACAATGATCTATCTTTACAAAAATATAAATAGCATCATCTTGCATGACAGGTCTTTAGCTACAAATCCATATCACTTATGCAAAAAAATTCGTATTAGAAAGTTCCTTAATGAGTCGTATGAAATGACCTAATTATGCTTCATTATTTTCTTCGTAACTCAAAAAGTAATTGAGATATTGCAGAACTAATTGTATATTTGAAAAGAGGAAGCCAAAACACATATACACACTAATTTTCATTACAATCCATTAATAAACCAAAAAGTCGATTTTAGAACCAGTGTCTTGCCTTAAGTGAGTTTTGTGTTTTTAGGGCTTTAACTAGAACTGTATGCTTATTGAAGTCTAGGAAACTAAAAAAATTGCCAAGCATGCCCTACTTCCATATGTAGTCCACCCTTCAGTATCAGTAACCAAATACAACAAAACAAAGCAGCCAGAAAAAAAAAAATATTGGTGTCCTCGTTGACTACTTTTCTCTTCATTGTACGTGCCAATACATAATTTGCGGTGTTTTAGACTTTAGCTTGCTCCTCCCATTGCCCAGACCATATCTACGGCTCTGGTTACGCTGGCTCTTTTTAGCAGGGACTCAATAGGCCTTTTCTTTTAATGTGCTGCAATGCTGTAGTCAGAAACCTCTAAGCCAGTCTCTTGGACTGGGTTTTGTCAGAAGGATTCCAGCTTGCTGCAAGAAGTATTTTGTACAGGTAGTATATTAGCATACTTTGACTTCACTTTCCAAAGTATGTTCTCACAACAAGCCTTTCCTTGGTTGGGGGTTATTAAAGGAATGTGAGTTTGTCACCATTTGTGAAAAGTGAACATTGTTGGGTTCATTACTTTTTAACTACGGTGACATTGGCTTTTCCGACTAACAGTTAGCTGCCCATTGTTCCTATTGGTACCACACCCTAGTGTGCTGATGAACCTGTGTGTGGAAAATTGCTATGCAGTGGTAGCTTAAGAGCATTTGTGTCATTGGAGAACTTCTTAGACATTGCAAACAGACTAAACATGTGAACTTAGGTTTAAGTTTCACTCTTGCAAAAGCACGAGGAGTGGGGCAATATAGTTTATGCAAAGTGAAAAGAAATGCTGTCTTGTTGCATGCTCGAGGCAGTGCAAAGAGCTCTTTACCTGGCAAACTTGAATAAGTGCTGCAAGTCACTCATTGTCTAAGGGACCTTAAATGGACGTGACCCGTGTATCCCAAAAAATATATTTTTAATAAAGCGCTTTCTTTTCTCAACTGACATTTCTCTCATAAATCGTAGATAAGGCAAACGAGAACTTTGATTGAAATTCCTCGAGGTGGGCTTATCCAAAGGTGTCAGACATGCCACAAAACAAGGCTGTTCCATGGGGCAAAGAAAAGGCCACGCATGCTTGCGCACAGCAAGCGCAGACTCCACCAGTGTACGAGCACCGATGTGTCACTCTCACGGACAGTTTTTAAGAAGTGGGTCTCATATGCCGGAAAGAAGGATAATTTCAACCACTAGCGAAAGTAGGTATCTGCCTCATTTCCCAACTTACATGAGCCCTTGGCACACTATCCTAACACAAGCCTTTGCTAACAGCATTCAGCTCTGTTGCTGCAGAGAGAAGACACTCGTTTACTAGACCAAGACACCACACTTGGCAGTAGCTTTGAAGGACACGTGGCATGGAGTAGACAAGCACCGAGGTATGCCACAGGAGCTCTAGCTCTTGGATGGGTTCCATAAACCTGCCAACCTGCCGTCTGGCCAAGGTGAGTCGAAAAGGAAGTAAGGGCACTTCTTGTTCTCCCCCAGATGAAACCACTCAGGACGTCCCAGGCAGCTGCTCCCCCAAACTGTATACAGCAGTGCTCACGCCCGAGGGCTTCTCAGACACCTCCTCGGAGCCCCAGCTCATGATTGTAACTGAAAGCAATGAACGTCCCGAGGAAGCCGACAGTTTGTTGCGTGAGGTGATGGCGAGCCCCACTGTTCGCCGGGATTCTTCGGTAGAACCCCCTGGAGAGGAATCTCTGCAGGCGCAATCCTCAATGGTCCTCGCCGATCCCGTGCCTACAAGCACAGAGCCCGAAGAGAGGTCAGACGTGCCGACCCAGGCAACTGACGACCAGGAGCCAGCAGCCAGGAAAGCAGAGGACAAGAGAGTAGACATCGTCAAGAAGGAGTCGAGGGTTTCCGACAGGAAGCATGAAGAGAGAAAGGGAGACGTCAAGAAGGAGAGCAAACCAGCCAGCAGGGAAAGGAAGGATAAGAGGTCCGATTCGTCAAAATCAAAGGATAGTAGTTTTTACTCTAGCAGGTCCGACTCGCACGCGAAGAACTCGTCGTCTAAGAGAAGCAGCTCGGACACCAGTAGGTCTGCAAAGACTTCAAAGTCTAAAACGGAAGATGGCCTGCCCAGGGACAGCAGAGATTCGTCCAGGGAAAAGTGTGACCAGGCAAAAGAGAAGCACAGTTCATCTCGGGAGAGAGCGGACTCGTCCAGGGACGAAACGTCGAGAGACAGGGCTGATTTTTCCAAAGAAGAAAAAGGAAAGTCGTCGTCGTCGAGCCGAGCGAGCAAGACAAAAGACAGCCGAAGCGAGCGGAGAAGGCCCGATGACAAGCACCACTATCGTGGCAGTAGCCAGCATCATGATGACAGGAGGCATCACGGTAGCAAGTCTTCTCGGGAAGACGACAAGTCCAAGGACAGGTCTGACAGCCACAGGTCACACGGAGAAGGCCGGCGGGACAGGGACAGGTCATCTACCAAAGATTCGTCTCGGCAGCACAAATCGAGCCGATCCTCTGAGAAACATTCAGATGGTTCCAGGGAACCGAGGAAAGACAAAACTCAGGAGAAGGACAAACGGCCAAGTGTCAGCAGGCACCAAGCCTCAGAACCGAAAGAAGGCTCAAGCAGCAAGAAGATTCCCCAAGACGTAATCAGGGACACGTTTCAGGTTTTTGAACTGGCTGCTCAGACGGTTTCTGAAGATGCTTCTGGTGGACCTTCTCAACAAACTTCTGAAGAGGTTTCACAGGAGATTTCACAAGATGCCATGCACGGCACTCTAGAACTCGTTGAAGCAAAGGAAGCCGAGATATTAAGGTTTTCATACGTAACAGATAAGCATTCAGGGAATTGTGAAATTGATCTCCAACTGGTGAGCGCGATACCTACAAATGAGCCAGATCTCAAGAAAAGTTCAGAATTACATGCAGAAGACGGAACTCAGTTCGAGAGCTGTGATCCGGCTATTGCAGATACACTTACGGAAGTGCCATGCCTAGTCTCTTCAGAGAATATTCCAGTGGACGCCACACCCAAGGCGTCAAAGAAAAAGGTCAGTACCCAGCTTGATTACCATACCTGCTTACTCTTGCAACGTCCATTTATCTTTGCAGTTAAAAGGCGAGAAGCGCTCCTCGGACAAAAAGCGTCAGAAAAGATTGACTTTGGATGGCCACGAGTCGGATGGAGCCTGGTCAGACGTCACGGTCAGCTCCGTCCACACCAGCGACCTCTCTTCATACGACGATCGCATCAGTGTGTCGTCCGGTGAAGAAGACGACGAGGCGTCCAAAGAAAAGAAGAGAATATCCCTCAGAGAAAGTGAGTTGCGACACAGAGCCTCGACTGTGCCCTGGCCTCACGCGTTGCACACGTGACTTTGCAGTTAAGAAAATTGCCAGCAGCAGCAACGAAGACGAGGACCGTATGAGCAAGTCAGAAACGGAGCAAGTCCCAGTCGAGAAAGTCAGCCCAGACAGCACGCCGATGCGAAAGGTAGGGAGAGTACACTTTTTTTTGGATGGTATGCCAAAATGAAGCAACATACACTTTTCTCGTTCCCATGCCTCCAGCCCCCTGACATTCGGGAGAGCTGCCAAACAGCAACGGAGAGCAGCGTCGTGGAATTTGCCAGGTCTTCCAGCCCTCCCGGCGTCATCACCCTTGCCACTGTTGTCGACGCTCCCGTGTCTGCCGCAACAGTCACCGCACCCGCTCATCCTACCGCTGCGACGCCAGTCGAAAGTCCCCCAGAACCCAAGATGGGCCTACGGCGGCAGCGTAAAATCAACCCCAAGTATGCGTCAGAAGAGTTCTCGTCCATCTTTACGGAAGGCAGGAGGCCGACTGGAACGATAGACTTCGGGGCCAAGCATGCCAGGGAGAAACACCACGAGGACGTGGCAGCACGAGCGGAATCTCGCAAAGTGTCGCATCCGCCGCCGTGCGAAGAACCCCACGAAGAGGCCTTCGAGCGTGCTCCCTGTGAGGACAAAGACCAGCCGTTCGACTCTTCGGGTCCGGAGCGCTCGAGGCGGCCTTCCCGCAGGCACAGTGGAAGTGAGCCGCGCCCCAGGTAGGCGAGCGCACGATGCGTGCCTAGGCCAAGGTTATGCACTATGTTGCTGATGTGGGTCCGAACCCTTTTGCGCAGGTCTGAATCGATGTCTTCCAAGCGCTACGACTCGTCGGATCTGTACAAACCTCGACCCGTCATCAAATCTGGCACTCGGCGCAGTCGTCCATCACCTGCAGCAGCATTGTAGGTGGTCTTTTTGTATCTCGGATGCGCTAAAAATAGAGCTACAACTGTACGACAGTGTCACTTGGATTGTTTTTTGTGCCACTTTTAAGAGAAAAACAAATCAAACATCACATTTCCTCCAGAGCCTTCTACATAATGATGCAACTATTATGGCAGTCTTGTCTGCATTCTGCAGTCAGCTCCATTGCTAAGTAGCTCTGCAGGTATCGCGTGGTAGAGGTCTGCACGGGCCAATATTTTGGAGCCCGGCCCGTCATCGCCTGGGCCCGGCTGCTCGCTATCCATTTCTGACAGCTGGCCCGACACCAATTTTTATGGGCCCGCTGAGGCCCACTTTATTTTTGCCCAGTATGAATAGTTACTAGTTGCACAGCATGGCAAAAGCTTAAAAAGGAAGGAAAACATTGCAGCGGGTTCAAACAAAATACGGGCACAGTTCTAAATTGCCCGCTCCCGCCGTCTACAACCTAAAAAAAAAAAATATATATATAATATATGGGTGATTTCATCTCAACTCGGGCACGGATTTAGGGTCAAATTTTTAATTTTGACGAAAAAAATATATGTTTTGGGGCAATTCCTATAATAAAAGAAGACGGAAACGGTTATTTCGTCCGATTTTTTGTTCTCAAGTTATGGACCGTTGAAGCGGTCAAGGTGGAAATTGATGTTTTTCCAGCCTATCGGAGGTGCCATATTTCACTCCATCCCTTTTCCCTACTTTTTACGCCACATCAATATAACTTTTTGGGAACACTCTAGACATAGGCTTTTTCATGCTAATTAAGCGTCTAGGTCATAACATTCTTTAAGATTTTTTTTTTATTTGTCAAACCGCCTCTCTGTGACGATATTTGACGAAGTTCAGCAAGCTGTGCTGTGTGACCTAATCAACATATTTTTATGATCTTTATATCACCGTAAAGCACCAATTATGCTCTTTCTTTTGAGTATAATTTCAATATTTTGCCACAAGTATATAATGTGCTACGTGTGCCTGAAAAACAAATATTTCGAAAAACTAGCAAGTTTAAAGTCGATTTTCTAAAAAAAACCACTTTTTATTTTTTTCATTTTTTATTCACAGTTAGTTAATATAGTAGTCTATCGGGAACTACCAACAGAAATTGTAATATATTGTTTGCATGGCCGCTATTAAGACTCGAATCTCGTGCTATGAGCGTTTTGAACGGGACTTCGCACAGGCGCTCTGCTGAGCAGAATTTTGGCCTATATAAGGTTTTCTATTTATCGTTAGCAGTTACCTAAAATCCAACCATAAACATTAAAAAAAATTTTGAGTAGTGCTCTTAAAAAAAAGTTACTTAGAAGTCCGTATTCACAAGTGCGAGCGCATCTTTTTCTCCCAATACGGGGGAATGCAGATCGTTAGAGAAGTCCTCTGATGGTACGTTTACACCTGAGAAGAAATCCGCTTCCGCGGGAGCGGATCCGCTACCGGCGGCGGCGGTGACGACGAGCGGGTTGCGTTTACATCTATTTACTTTGAGCGGCGGCGGCGGTGGCGGCGCCGGCAGCTGTTCTCGTAACATCGCGTGAAATATGACGAGGAGGCGCCAGAATTCCCACCTCGACTCTCTCTCCTGGAAGTTGCAGCTCCCGGAAGAACGCCTACTCATGACGTAGGCAGCGTCGCGCTGCACAAGAATGCCACTTCCGGTCAGCGAAACGCCTTGTTCGGCGGCAGAAATAGATCCCGGACCTATACGCCTCGCCGCCACGTTTTCCGCCCAGCGTTTCGCCCCAGCGGCAAGAGCTGGGCGGATTCGCTGGTGGATCCGCAAGTGTAAACGTACCATACGGCCTTTTGCTTTCGTTTCCGAAATTTTACAGATGCCACCCCAGTCAGGCGGCATGTATAGAATACTTTATCTTGAACATCACGGGGCTACCGCCTCTATCTCCGTCGGGGTCCTGGAGCCTCTAAGTATTATGCCTTTGGATGCGACCGACACGGAAACCCTGATTGTCGGGAGAACAGGCGTTTCGAGGTTAGAGTTTACGTCGCAAGCCCCCCTCTGTCTCTCCAAGCTCCCCTCCTCGTCCTTCTAACACAACCGTGCCACTAATCCGCGGGCACTAAAAGAGACGCCGCTGCTGCGTGGCACTCAGATTACGCGTGAGGCGGAGAGCGAATGTTTAAGTATGGATCGATGGGAAGATTGGGGACCCAAAGGAAGCCGAATCTTCGCACGTCGTCTAACTGATAATAGCCTTCTCGGTCCCTTTCCGGCTCTTTACTTGAATTCCTAACTTAAAACTGCTCCTGCTTTCAGAAAGCCAGAAGTGTTCGTTACTGCCATGGCTAATACATTATTCAGTTCAGACCGGAAAGTGTGCGCCGAGTATTCAAGGAGACACAAGAGAAGAGTGTTTTACGGACGCCATGTTCGTCAAGTCTCGGAGCTAAACCTAAGTTTTCTTAAGCAAGTTCTGCCGGCTGAGGACGCCCAGCGCGTAAGCCCTGGAGATGTTCTGTGCAATAAGTGCTACACAATGTTCTCGGGTCAGATTGAAGAACATAAGCAAGGACAGGAAATGTTGTCATCAAGCTCATCGTCATCATCCCTGAAACCAGCGGACAGATCATTCGTTGACTAGGAAGCCCTGGTCCAAGGAGTGTCTGAAGCAATTGATGCTGCCGAAGTAAGTGTGACACCACTTAAACTCCCTTCTAGCGTGACCCCACGAAGTCGTACCGGCTATGTTAAGCGAAAAAAATCCGAGATAACCGCGGACTTCAAAAAGAAAATTGGTCGTAAACTAAGTGACGTGTACGGAGAACCTACGGGCACAGACAAAGAAGATCCATGCTCCTCGTGCTCCGACTGGGTCATCAGTTTACGAGCAGCCTACGTCAAGAGCGCGTCGCAGCTAGAACGCTACCGCCTCTTAACTCTCTTTCCATCTAACTTCAAAAAGAAAGATATCCTGAAAGCAATTCCTGAAGTGACGAAGCATGCTTTGGACCAATCAAGAAAGCTGAAAAAAATGGGGGTCAGGGCGTCACCTCACCCATACCAAGGACATGCTCTCAATGAAAACGATGTCGCTCTTGCGTTGACTTACTACACATCAGATGCGAAAGACTGCTCAAGACAAAGCCCGAACAAGAAGGATGTCGTAAGGCTTTTTATTGATGGTCAGGAAGTCTTCGTCACGAAGCGATTTATGACGAGATCTATTAGGGAAACCTACAAAGAATTCAAGGCGGCCAACCCAGAGTCAAAAATGGGCCTAACAAAATTTTATTCTCTTCGGCCTAAGTGGGTTAAGAAACACCCTGTACATGAAGAGTGTGTGTGTGTATGCTGCGCCAACTTCATACTCTGTCTGACATCTCTGTCAAATGCGGCAGGGAAGACCATGACCTTTGAAGACGTCCAGAAAATTTTTCTTTGTGAAAATCCTTCCCAAAACTGCTTCTTGTAGAGGTGGGAAGCCTGTTCGAACCGGAAGCACATATCCCTCGAGATGCTAGGGATGAGCGCTGAAGATGAACTGGAGTTGGCACTGTGGGAATCTGGTGGCGAGTAGGTGAAAAAACATTTAGAGGCCACTGCTTTTCTTAACGAACTCAACAAGTGGACGAAGAAATACATACCCCACTATTATATTCGGCGCGCACAACAGAGAGCAATATGGCTTGAAAAAGCAAATCTGAAGCCACGTGTCGTAGTCCTCCACTTTGATTTCGCCGAAAACTGGAGTATTGTGCTCCAACGTGCAGTGCAGGGATACCACTGGAAAACCAAGATGGTGACAATCTTCACCTGCGTTGCGACGACCACGAAGGGAACACTAAGTTTCGGCGTCGTGAGTGACGATACCTGTCATGATTCTGCACACGCGCTCTTTGCGCTCACAATGATTGAAGACAGGCTCGAGGAACTCTTGCCCGTTTTTTTGGAGCTAATCTATGTTTCGGACGGCGCTCCAAGCCATTTCAAAAATCGGCACCAATTACACAAATTTCAGAAGAAGTTTGTTGTCAGCAGGTGGATATACTCGGCGTCAGGGCACGGCAAAAGCGCGTGCGATGGAGTGGGTGGTGTGCTGAAGCATCATGCGTCACTGCATAACTTGAAAACAACTAAGCTGAGCTCCATAACTAACGCGCGTACGTTCGTTGAAGCTCTCGGCCAGAAAATCAAGGGGATAACGCTTCTCTTCATCGACCAAGAGGAGCTGTCCTGTTATTGGGAGCTTAAAAGGAAGGGGTGGGAGAAGGTAACCCCATCAAAAGGCATCCAACCTTCTCATGTGTGGAGCAAAGCAATGGGGGAAGGGGGAGGTGATGTGGTCCTAGAAAGAGTTTACCAAACCCCAGAATAGACAGAGCTAAATGGCGGGACCGTGAAAAGGCCGGACCGTTTCAACAGTGCGTCCATCCTTGTCCCCCTGTGAGTGCGCGCTGTGTGATCAGGTGACGCGCCATAGACTTTGACACTGAACTGGCTGCAATTTGGACAAAGCGAAAACTGGCTCAGAATCGCATCAACCTATTGTCTCGAAATGTGCTACGTCGAAAGATGACTATCCCTATCCCAGGTGTTTATCACTGTTTTTGTGTGAGCAGCGCCGTGTAGTATTGAAAGGGTACTGCGTCGTCTATCCGTAAACCAGACGGAATTGGTCAACACATTTTGATATATTTTATGAAATGAACATGTTTAGGCTACATCATGAAATATTACTTCCCTTCTCTGGTTACGTGTCGCATCTTGAGTTTAAAATTCCGAACTTTATATGTAATTGTCATATTTTCTTATGTCAAACAGATATGCAGTGCATATACATATGTGTGATTCAGTATCTGACGCTTAGGAAGTACGGTCTATTTTGTGCACATACCTTTCGTAAAATAACGAGCATTTCGTGGCGTGTAAGGACAAGAATTTCGTGGCGTGTAAGGCTTCAAATGCGTTAGTCATGTGTTTAGGTTTCATTTTTATTTGCAGTGATTCATGCCAGGTTACTTACGACTTTTCCCTCGTGACTTAAGTTTGTCCGTGAGTTTAGACGTTACGTACTTCTCCGTCAGTACATAAGGCGAAGCTCACACACCTTTCAAATCACCCCAGTGCCAAGTAAATAAATATTGTAAGGATAAATATTGTTACTTCCCTTGCTTTTACGCTCAGATATTGTGGTAAGTACTAACATTAAATAGAAAACTTTACATTGGCCAAAATTCTGCTCAGCAAAGCGCCAGTGCGAAGTCCCGTTCAAAACGCTCATAGCACGAGATTCGAGTCTTAATAGCGGCCATATAAACAATATATTACAATTTCTGTTGATAGTTCCTTATAGACTACTATATTAACTAACTGTGAATAAAAAATGAAAAAAATAAAAAGTGGGGTTTTTTAGAAAATCGACTCCAAACTTGCTAGTTTTTCGAAATATTCGTTTTTCAGGCACATGTAGCGCATTATATACTTGTGGCAAAATATCGAAATTATACTCAAAAGAAAGAGCATAATTGGTGCTTTACGGTGATATAAAGATCATAAAAATATGTTGATTAGGTCACACAGCACAGCTTGCTGAACTTCGTCAAATATCGTCACAGAGAGGCGGTTTGACAAATAAAAAAAAAAATCATTAAGAATGTTATGACCAAGCCTATGTCTAGAGTGTTCCCAAAAAGTTATATTGATGTAGCGTAAAAAGTAGGGAAAGGGGATGGAGTGAAATATGGCACCTCCGATAGGCTGGAAAAACATCAATTTCCACCTTGACCGCTTCAACGGTCCATAACTTGAGAACAAAAAATCCGACGAAATAACCGTTTGCGTCTTCTTTTATTATAGGAATTGCCCCAAAACATATATTTTTTTCGTCAAAATTAAAAATTTGACCCTAAATCCGTGCCTGAGTTGAGATGAAATCACCCATGTATATTGTATTATCTGGTGTATAAGTCACACTTTTTTCCAAAATTTTCGGCGCTGCGTCTTATACACAGGTACGTCTTGTATACTAAGTTTTACTTAGAAACTTGTGAAAAGTGGGGAGTGCGTCTTATACAGCAATGCATCTCATGCATAATACACTCTTTTTTCCAAAATTTTTGGCGGAGCATCTTATATACTAATTTTTACTTAGAAACTTGCGAAAAGTGGGGGTGCGTCTTATACACCGGAAAATATGGTATATACCGGCATTTCTCGGTGGTCTGCGAGTAATTGTTTAGGAAAAGCACTCCTGAGGGGAACCCCTTCACCCCCATTGTGGATGCACGCACTCGTATGTACAGATGGTTTATGCCTGCGAGGGTGGACATTCTGTAGACATACATGTTGATGAGGAGAAGAGACTGTGCGACGGAGACTTCTATCGCATGGTCTCTAGTCTTTCATTTGTCCTTCTTTTACCACGAGATTTTACATAGCAAAGAGGCACAAACCGCATCCAGAGCGCCACACACAAGTTTTCTATTGGTTACCGCAAGTGATTTCATTTTTGTGACGACCTCAATTTCTCTCATTTCGCGACTCGCAAAATATCCATAATACATTTCACATGAATATACTTCTTGGCAACAATTTCATGACATACCACACATATTTGCAAAATTTTGTGCCCACAAAATATTCCCTAAAGCCAGACTTACAGAACATGGAGCCCAAGAAAGTAAGATCATTTGCAGTATCTCCTGTAAATACCCTTGTAAAGCAAGAGTAGAACTGCTCATGGAAGCAAAGGTGGCATATTTTGCAGGGAACTTTTCTAGTACCATCTTGCACATTTCTTGCAGTAGAGCAAGGTCACACCATGAGCCAACCTTGACAGTGTTGCAAGCCACATTTTTAAACTTGGGGCTTTTCTCCAAAAACTAGTAGAACTTAGCATTTATATTGAATATGAAACCCCACGAGAGGATCATAACTGCTTTTGATGAAACTTGTACAGGGCATTTTGGAAATACGGGCCAAATTGCTCCTGCGAAAACTATGCATCGCACAAACAAAAGCTGATGCTATAGTGGTCTGTGCCAAAGGGCCCATTAAAAAATGATTAGCAGTCAGTATTATTAGTTAATTACTTTTCAGTAATTACATTTTTTATCATAATTTTTAAAGGTATGGTTTTATTTAGAAACTTGGTGCAAATATTTGAAAACTTTTAAATCTACCGGCACACACATAATTTTACGGCATTTAGAAAACAATGCTAGATTTAGACGACTTTCGGTTTCTTATCAGAGCGCATCTCCACACCAGCAGTTCCGGCTCCCCGTGGCCAAAATAAGCAACGTATGTGCGCTGCCCACTGATCTCTATGTCTATTTGCTGGATCGCGTTTGACCAGCTCTGCCTATGGACGGAAATGCGGCCAAGGTCGGCCATCTTTTTGGTAGAGTTATATTATCTCTAGCCATCGTAGTAATATGGCAGACAGCACAATGGCGGCAGGCTGCCATAAAATAGCCGTGGATCTAGTACACTGTACCATGGGTGATATTTCGTGCTTGATTGAAGTTGTTCGACGAAGCAGATTCTTGAAACCCGGCGTGACCGGTAGCCTCATCTTTGAGGACCCGGCGAAAGTTCTACGAAAGCGCAGCACCGGGGGAAAGCAGCGCAGCTTGCATCGAAAGTACACTCCGTACCGGTGTCTGCTTTCGATGCGACCTTCGATGCGTGCTGCGATTTTGTGAAACTTTCACTGGGTCCTCAAAGATCGGGCTACCGTTCACACAGAGTTTCAAAAATATGTTTCGCAAAACAATTTCAATCAAGCACGAAATAACACCCACGCTATTTTGATGGCAGCTTGCCACCGCAACTGCCACAACGCTGTCTGCCATAGATCGATGATAGTGGCAGCAGCAGCTGTACCTTGGCTAGAGGTAATATAACTCTACCAAAAGGATGGCCGTCAGTGGCCGCATTTGCAGAGTGGGCAAACGCGATCCAGCAATTGTCATGGAGATCAGTGGTGCTGCCACACATCTCATCTAAAAGAGGCTAGATAAGAAAGCCTTTGGACTCTCACATAAGGTTTGCCTTCTTGACATTGGTGCCAGTTCGAAGACTCACCTTTATGTGCGATGCGTATTGGCTCGGGGGAGGGGTTGCTGGCATGGAGATGCACTCCAATAAGTGTTAACCTTTTAGCTAACGTGTTTTCTGCATATTTGTTACCCAGATTGTTTTTTTTCTGCATCTCTGTCACCATTTGCCAAGCTCTCGGGGCCCGGACGTAGTCAAGCCAACAAAGATTGGCTTTTTTGTTCGTGGCTCCGGCATCTGTATCTGCAGATGCAAATAAATGATTTGATTTGAAACCGAAACCTATAAATGCTTTCAGATTGAGCAACCTTTTGGAGTGCCATAAAATGCTGCATGCCTTACATCATTGTAATATGGGTTAGTGTAGTTTTTGATGATTTGCATGAAGTTTCTAATTGAAACCATACCTTTAAGGTTAATAATTCAAATTTTGATTGCTAAAATGTAATTACCCAATTGGATGGATGGATGGACGTTAATGGCTATACCCTTTGTAACGGGCGGTAGCTTGTGCCACCTAGCCTAAAACCATTAAGGCGTTAACCCTTTTTCTGTACGATGCAGTTTTTGCAGGAGCGATTTGGCCTGCGTTTCCAAAAACACCCTGTAGATTTATATCCATGCCTCTTACTCCTTTAACAATATTTATGACCATAGTCTGCCCAGTGCCGCTATCACGTGACTCGGTACCCTGTGCGTCACTGTGCCCTTCCAAAAGGTCACGGGACACTTGCACGGCATTGGACTCGCTTTGATGGGCGAACTGTAGTAGAGTGGTGGAGAACTGGATGACTCTTGCCCCTCACATTTGATTAGGTACATTGTCAGGACGACAGAAGGTCTACCGCATGATGTCTCGAAGCGGCTGTTGTCTGCAAACATCTTTTCTTTGTCTTGCGTCTAACAAAAAAAAATGATTTCGTGAAGACCTTTCGGTGCATGTGGGACACATTATAACTGCCTGTGCCCATGTTTCAGGGAGGCGACGGAAGAAGAGGACGACGAAGAGCAGTTGATGATATCGTCGGACGAGGAGCATGCAGTCAAGCGAAAGGGCCACAAAGGTCTTAAGGTGTGCATCGGCTTCAAAAGAGCCGCGGCTCCGCCTGCAAAACGGAGGCGCCTCTAAGACATCTCTCCCACACACCCCGAGTCACAACAGTCTGCCAGCCAGCGGGCGACGACGCGATGAACCGGAGTCACGCTGCACAAGGTCACTTTTTATGTGTCCGTTTTTATGTGTCTGTTGAACTCTACAGCAGTTTTACACTAGATGCTTTGTTTGTAGCTGCCTTGCCCGTTGAGAAAGGGCATTCAATTATCCCTTTATCCATGTCGGTGCACTTCAAACTTTTATTTAATAAAGAGCTCAGATTTGTTGAGTAAGGCACAAGCAGTCCGACTCGATGACACTCTCTGCTTTGCGGAGCTGGTAACGATGGCCACGAGTTTACCGAAGAAGCCACAGCAAATGTACAAAACTCCGTTGGCAGTGAGGACAACCAGACACTATTGTCCACCTGCCGACCTCTGTGTTAACACCACAATTCGCCGGCACAGTCTCGACAGAGAGTGACAGTCTTCGGGAGTATTTGCATCCGAGGAAACAATGAACAGGTCTCCTCGATACTGAGATTTGTAGGACTCTACACCAATGTCGTGGAAGCACTCAGAGTTCTTCGGGCATGAGTGTGATGGACATTTTTCGCTCGGGCCATGTGTACGTCTTTGGGAGCGTCAACTGCAGGAGGAAATATAAGGACACGTTGGGAATCTGGCGACACGAGTTTAGATTGGAAGTGCAAAGCTGATAGCTTACCCCTTCAGCACTGCACAGTTCTTCCATGCGTGCTGTCATTTCAGACACCAGGTCTTCCGTTAACAGCACCTACGAACCAAATGCAAAGTTGCGTGAAGAACTTGCTACTTGGCTTAGTTCGCAAACCCAGCACTGACTGCCATGTGTCATTCCTGGTGCCAGAAGGGTCATATGAGCATCATAATTATTAATCATAAAACCAGTTATTGTTACTAGCAAAACAAAACAAAAGCTTCTTCCTAAAATGAGCAAAGAATTTGTTTGACATTTGCTTTGTAGATGTATGCAATAAAATAAGTATGCGCAGAACGGTCTCCATCACTCCAGTTACAACTTCTGCTATGTTATGGTACATACATTTTGAATTAATGACAGCAGACCTAGATCCTGGCATACAGAGTACAGTATCAAAATCAAGAAGCAGATCTGTGTGCAGGACATGACAAAATAATATGAATTTGGTTCTTACATCAATTTCCATCTAGCTTAAAAAGAAAACAGGCAATTTGCCATATTTCTGTGCTGAGATCCATTACCATTGAGGCCCCCTAAAACTGCAACCCTACAATGGCACCTGATGTCTTTACCTGCAACCAAGAGCCTTGCACTGCGTATGGTTGTTCAGCATTGGCAAAGGCACCGATGACAGTGGGCACCACAAAGGTGACAGCCGCGCAGTCCACCGAGCTCTTGAAGGTGAAATGGCGACCGTGCTTCAACCTACCCCTGCGAGAGTGGTGCCACCTGTGAGATGCCACAAAACCATCCGGTTGCCAGTACTACCTGAGCGCCAAAGGAAAGAGCAAGCCAGCTTCCAGATTGAGCTGCAGGTGCACCGCCTCCAAAGCCCGCGTCTGCACCAGCTCTCGCGTCTCCAGACCGTTGTCCCTGTGTCGACAAGGTCTAGGTCACTGCCATTTGCAAATTACAAAGTTTTCCTCAGCCGGCACCAACATTCAGCCAGCATCATTTCCTCTGCCCGACCTGGAGATCTGGAGTCACATTTCTTCTCTTCATTCACCAGAGATATGCCCACCCAAAAGTCAAAATGTAGTTGGGTTGAAATCGAGGGTGGGCATTTGATGCAATCCAACTACTGATGCTATTGGTGAGAATATGGAACTATAGGAGGCACCTTGTCCAGCTTGTTTGCCACATAGCTCAGTGCTTGCCCAACATCAGGCCAGTGCACTGGATTCCTTTACTTCGATCGAGTGCGGGGCACAGGATGGGCACGAGTGCTGCGTTCGGCTGCAACTTGTGTTCAATTGGTGCCCCACTACTCATTGAACAGAAGTCCCAGTCCAACGTTGTAGCAGGAACAAACAAGTAATTTATGTTTGTTGTCAGCACAGCTCAAGTGAACCGCTAGGAATGCGACTGCACAATCTCCTGCCCAATATGAATTGAAAATCCCAAAAATAATCAAAAGATGGTCACTTGTATGAAACAGGTGCGCACAGTGATGCACAACAATTGACAAAGTGTGGCAAATGATTGATTGATTATTGTTAGTCAACTTCCAGAAAAAAACCTTGACCGTTGACAATGATGCCTTTCGAAAACTATTGACACTTAGTATCAAAACTAACGGGCATTGACTAAAGGAGACTAATGGATAGTTAGTTCACTATCGGGTCGTACAAGGGTCTTACAAGGGTTGACCGGGACATTTATTCTTGTGAGAAAATGAAAAATTCTACGAGTTTGAAACTATGTTAGTTTCTCAAAGTATTCCTCGTGTGCGTACAGGCACCTCCTCCACTGTTTTGGCAGCTCTTTGACTAATTTGGCATAGAGAGAACTGGACTGCGTGACTGCACTCAGACTAATGCAATGATGGAAGCAACATTTTACTTTTTGGAGCAGCCAAAATGTTAGCTTTTGGAGCAAATCCAAATGTCTGTTTGCGCATCGCTTGAAAATTAAATGATAATTGCACCACTAAATGAGCGAATCTTTGATAATAATGCAGGATTTATCTTTGATAATGAAGTGTTTTACTTATCACCTTTTGTAATTATAATACACATAAAAAATCATAGAAGTACAACATGACACACCTGTCTTTTTAGAAATAAGGCTGAGGTCAAAGTAGTTTCTATTTACAATGGGGATTAAAAGAAAAAAAAATGATTGAAAAATAATCATAGCAAGATACTACAGTTACGATAAAGTCTCTCCCACTCCCTCTTTTATGTTCATAATTTATGTAGCCTATCAATATCATTTACTTAAAATTCGGGAGAAAAAAAAAACTAGTATATCCGCTAAAATGCCAATCAATAAAAATATGTTGCACAAAGACTTATGAACCTACAAAACTGAAGTACCTAATATTCTAAACTGCACCCCTTCTCCCTACCAAATACTACCAAAAGTTAAAGTTTAGCATTAAATGTGACACTCCTAGTTCTGCGAGAGTTAGTGGCATTAGAGCCAGACTTTTGAGTGGAGTTCAGGGCCCTTCGATCTATTGCTGCTGGGCTTGTCTACTTATTCAAATATAGGTCCTCATTTCTCGTTTCCTTTTCTTTGTCGGCACCGCTCTTTAAAATTAGAAGTCTATCTACAATCACGACGAAAAAAAGGTTGACCTGTAATAGTAGTGAGCATAATTTCCGAGCCTATCATGCAAACTCATGGGAGACATACGCCACTTCTTCTAGCGCACCGATGTGATGCGGTGAAGCTCGACATGTACGCACCTGGGAGTGAAGGTTGACAGGAGCGGCGATGGTGCCGAAGCGTGGAGGCATGTGGTTAATTGAGATGAAAAATCCAGAGATCTCATCAGGAGTATGAGACCCTGGTTCTGCCTTATCAGAGCAGCCGCCATACCACAATTTGATTCATTTTTCTCGCGACTTCTAGCTTCGTGATATCACCGACATCGTCTGGAAGTTCAGGCGATGACGTGGCCAGCGCGGTAGATGAGCAAATTTTAGCTATGGTGAGTAGAGACGCCACCAAATACACATTTTTTACCATTTTACTTCCACTTCTTTCAATGTTAGTATCAACCAATATTATATTACTTTTTGCTTTGTTTAGGCTCATCCTGGCGCAGGTGTGGCGCAATTTTCAGCAAAAATGGCATTTTGGCGCAACACGTAGCAGACTTGCGCTCATGGCGCAATTTGGCGCAGTACAACTTCCATCACTGGAATGTGTCCGTACGGTTCACATGTCACTGGCTACTGTCCTTCACCAAACTGTTGACACCATTCATTCGCACTTATGCATGACATAGTTTGTTCCCTATACTATGTATGCAATGTTCTCAAAATTTCAGCTAATTTAAATTGCTCCCTCACCAGACATTTGAATATGCATGGCTATGAACACATTGCTCACGGCCCTGACAGCTGGAACTACTGCGCATGCATCAAACAAGTCATTCCGGGCACAGAATATTCAAGAAGGACTATGTCCCCAACAAGTTTCATCATGCTACACTAGGTCAGCATTTTCTTATGAACGCTAGTCCAGGTCAACCTTGAATGACCCTTGTATATACAATTTAAGCGCACTTAGAGACTTGTACGTGGACTATCACTGTTTTTTCTTTTGCTCCCATCTTTGTTTTCTCCCAATCTAGGTTTAACAATAAGAAGCAGAGTCAGGTGCAGAGAAAAAAGACTGAGGGGTTGGCCTCGGCTATTTGTCCTGACTGACCGCTTTGCTCGAGGGAGGGGTAAATTTGAGTGCTTGCTTGTCATTTTCAGTTATTTTTGCTAGCATTTTGATAGTTAGCTACAACTGTATTATTTAGTAGTCGCTGACCCTCTCATGCATCACATCCACATACGAGGACAACGCCTTTTCCTTATCTCTCTCTCCAGTTTTTTTTTTTTTTTTTTTTTTTACTTTGCTGCATGGTGTCATCAGCTTAAGACAGAAGGTACTTTCCCTTGTGCCTGACAGATGGCAGCACTTGTCGGCTATGGCTGAGACGGCATGCTACTTTGCTTTTGCCCATAACAATGCATGCAGCAGTCTGTAAATGTAATATCTTTTTTTCTTCCGAGTAGTTGTTTTTTGTTTGTGCTGTGAAACAGAATTGGAACCGTATATGAAGTTCTAACCAGAACACACCTGATATTTCTAGGCAAGAAAATCTCCGCACAAGCACCAAGAAAAATAAACTTGTCCACCGAACTGCATATGCCCACTTGATCTATGGTGTCTTCATGTGAGGACACATTAGTTCTACTGTTGTAAATAAAAAGTATAGTTTTACTCAAGCATATAAAAAATTTTTTTACATAATTTCTGGCCCAAATAAACTTTCCAATATGCTAGAATTTATTTTCAGGTAGCTAATTATAATTGGGGTTCCGTGTTTTTGGATACATCCGAGAAACTAAAAAAAAATGCCTGCTGGTAAAATTTTCAGCAATTCATATTTATCCAATATACTCCAAATTTCAATGTACCATTGCAAAAAAAAAAAAAGACGGTATTCAGTTTTTTTAGTGCGCAGGGTCAATGGTCTGGAGAAAACGCCATCCCAGTTTTCTTTCAAATCTCGCGACCATTGACAAAAGGGATCTCACTGCTTATCTCCTCAAGGTTCATTCAGAACAACAGGTCATTCTACTTTCGGTGATGACAAAGGCCACTGTTCCAGTTTCCAGTTTGGGCCATGCTATTTGTGCTCCTTAGAGGAAGGAGAATTTGTGTTTTCGTACCATTGAAAGCTATGAACCATAGAGATTTCATAAAAAGGGAAAGAGGGGCTGGGCAGTTGAAGCTTTTATATTACGCCCTTCACTACTCCACCCCGCGCAGCTGCGGGGTAGGTCGATGGATAGGAATGAATACAAGCTTCCCAGCAATAAACTCCTCCAGGAGTTTATTGATTCTAAGTTATTGACATTCATCGAAGCAACATACGCTTGCAACTTGTGTCGTGGGACAAATTAGTATTGCCAACGGCAATGGTGCCAAAGCAAAATACAGCTGAATAGATATTAATTGATACACCGTGAGTGAGGCAAATGTCACGTCTGGCAAACAATACAACCAACCAACCAATTGATACAAGTGCATTCTCTTGAATCTAGCATATGTTTACACCCAAATGCTGTTCATTTTTGCTTTTGAAAAATAGAAAACACTGCAAGATTTAGCTCTAAATTTTGGAGAATTGGGAATCAAACAAAAATAAACTATGATAAACTCCAAACTTTTGGCAAAAAAATCAACTCCGAATAACACATTCCGAATTAGACAAAAAATAAACTCGGAGAACGCGGAATCCTCATTATAATTCATGCACGAGAGGTTTAATATTAATTTTTAAAAACATTTTGTCAGTGCAGTTTTCAGGGCGAAGCTCCTTAGGGTCTAGCCTTGACCGTCCGGCGTCCGTGCTCACATCGATCTTGCTCGTGCTCGTGCTCTTAAGCTCAAGTGCTCATGTAGGGGAAAAAAAAAAAAAAGTTTGCGCAGTTGACAGGGTTTGAACCTGTGCAGCGATTTCTAGTCCATCGCCTTAACCACTCGGCCACGACTACAGGACGAGTAGGAGGCTCTGAGAAGTGGTAGTAACTCAAGAGCTGGGGATGTCATGGATGAAACGTTGTATGTAGCCGCTCAACGTCTATACAGAAGAGGGCGCTGCGGTCAAATGCGTACATAATCGTGTTAAACTTTGCATGCATTGGCTCGACGTTTATAGACGGGAGGGCGCTGCGGTCAAATGCTCAAATGCGTATATAACCAGGTTCCATACCACACATTCTCTTTCTGACATGGATGAAAACGAACGAAGGGCTCGGCATGCTGCGGCTCAGCATCTACGCAGACAAGCACCACCAGAGCTTTGCTCCAATCAACATCGCTCACCATGTGGAGATACGGTAAATTTTTTTGTGGATATCCTTCCTTATTTTCTGTTTTCGTCCCCTATACATTGTTAAAGCAGATTTTCCCTGCCTTCTTTCCTCCCTCATCTCTCTCGGCTTCTTTTACTTCCTTTTTCACAGAGGTAGTCTGCTCTGCACCAGCACTTGACTGTTGGTATTTGAATTTCAGTTTTCGGGTTCAGTTTGTCCATTTAGTGTTCAAATTTGGTTTTGAGAGTGTATGTCAGTGTTGCTCGACTGCGCTGGGCTGTGGGTTTTCTCGTTAGTGGGCTGTGGCAGCCTCCATAGGTGCAATTCTAGACGCTGGTGGCGGCTCAATTGCCGCGTTTTATTTTTAGAGCACAGCTCTTAGGCGCCCGTTTCCGGCTTGAGCGGCGTCGGCATAACTGCGCGTCGCATTATGGGGCGTTTCCCATAATGACATCGCACGTGACGTAACAAGGATCACGACTTGCGTCACTCGTGACGTCACGGCGAGTTGCATTGTGGGTAAACGTCCTCGCTAAATTTAGCGGAAAAAATTTCCCGCTCACAACACAGGAGAGCCGAAATGCATGGGTATTCCCCGCTCACAACGTGAAATCCAACGAGTCTCACCAATCAAACAACAGATACTGTACATACCTCACCGTGCCACGTTATCCGAACAGCATTTGAGAAAGGTCTCAAATAACATAGCATATCCAATATAAAAGTGTCCATGGTAGTCACTTCACCAGAATCGGGCACAATCCGGCTTGTTCTAATGAATGTTTCGAAGGGCTGCATTTTGGCACAGCACCAAAGTAAATTAATGAACGTGTCTATTCCGTCCCCATACCCGACCCTATCAACTATTTTTCACAAAGACTGGGAACATTGCTGGGAAGGCTTTTCGGAAATAATCCTCAAAGAACGTAAAACGGCCCGCGGTGTGGGCTGCTTGATATTTTCTCTCTTCGTTTGTTTCCTGCGAAGGCCTAGCAGGCTACGAGCCCTGGTATTCCCGGGATCTCACAGTGGAAGGTAGCACAAAAAGGTTAAGCATCCTGAACAGGCAAATAAAGTAAAAACTTTAAAAAAATACTGGCAAACTTTGAATGCACAATGCAGATGGGGAGCCATGTTGACCAGGTTTCCACAGCTCGGGCGGGCGGGAGAAATTTCTGGCCGATAGGGGTCGCTCGAGTCGCGCAATGGCGGTGGCCAGAGCTCTTTTTGCAAGGGTCTATAGACAGCTTTATCGTAGTCGATTATCGACAGCAGCACAGTCAAACTCGTTTATTACGAACCATATAAAACGCTCGGTTTCGTTCGATATACCCAATAATTTGTTAAAACAAACCTCGCTCATAACAAATTTTCACAATTTTTTACACGCAGAGGGTACTTAACGTACTCCTAGATATGTTGAAGGTGGCAACAATATCAGGTTGTTTTTCACCACGTTCGACATAGCGAATGTTATTGTCCGACAAAGAATTTCACTATATGCAGAACCAGTGACGCTGGTTTTCTAGGAAGTGTGTTTAGACCTTATCTTACAGTGTTCTGGCAGCACATGTTGGTTTTTATTTTTACCTATACATTATCGTAAATAAACCATTCAGTTGAAAGTTACGCCGCGTCCTGCCTAGATTTTTTTTTGTTTCATGAGTGCTGTTTCGGCGTAATATCCAGTAATGATGTCCACTCTGTCCGAGAGCTGAAGAGTCTACTTACTGCTGCTTCGTCGTTATCTTGAACCGTGAACCGCATCAGATTGGAGAAGAAAATGACAAGTTGCAGGAGGCCTAGGGAAGCGAAGTTTACGATGCCGAGGCTCGGTCTGCGATGTGTTGACTGCGTGCATGCCCAAATTTTGTCTGTTCCGAAACCACCGGTAGCAACGAAGTTGACTGGCTGAAAAGCGCCGCGGTTGTTACAAAATCTGAAACCTGATGAGGCGCTACAGCGCTGGGGTGCGACTAAGCGTAACTAAAGGGAGGCTTCATGCCGGGCAAGGAGGAACTTTTGTCTGTATTGCAAGGAAGCCAAACGTCAGAAGTGCCAAAGCTCGCGCGTTTGCTGGTGGTCGTAGGCGCTGTAAATTTGATATATCCATTGTGTAGTTCATTATGCGAGATATATTTGTATGCATGCTGATAAAACATTTTTGCGTGTTCGATATAGGGGTTAATTCGCTGTACCAGAGTTTGTTGTAATCGGGTTTGACAGTACCTTATTGATTCTCTTACGATAGCCGACTATATAGTTTTACGATTGGTCTACATCTACTGATGAGGCAGTGAAGTTTGGTTTGACAGGTAGTGGCACCTTATGTAGGATTCTAGGAGCTCGGAGATGATCCGTGGCAGCAATCATTGAACCCGATCTCGCGCTCGGAACATCCGAGTTGCCTCTGAAATTGTGACACAGCGCTCATGTCTAGTCATTTGGTGCCATGTCCTGCCCAAAATGGGCCCACGCTGACTGGAAACCAACTATCAAGACTATCAATAATTTTATGACAATTGTAAACTATTGATAGTTGTATGATAGACAACTATTGTTAGCTGTACAACTGTCGACTACTGATAGTTGGACAATAGTTGATCATGAATAGTTTTACAGTAGTATTATCGATAGTTAGGATTTAGCTTCCACTACCAATTGTACTGATAGCACTATCAATAGTAGCTTTGCACCACGAGCGCACTTTCTAATGCATGAAGCACAGCTGGCCATAAGTAACTAATTGTGAATTTAAAGAGCACAACACCATCTGGTTGCCCTGGATGCAAGGTGTGTGCCTCTCCCCAGCTGCCCCCGTCCCACTCACTCAGTCTCGCTGCTCGGCTGACTGCCCAGCAGGCCCTTCTTCAGCGTGCGCTTTATCTCTTCCGACTCGTAGTGGGAGATGCTAGGGCTGTCGGCAGGGGTGGTGGCTGCTTGCTCTTTGGCCCTCCGCGCCACAGGTGGGAACTCCTCCGACCAGCAGAACTTGGCGCTGACGCCGCTCAAGTCCGATCCTTCCGTCTCGATTCCCCGGTCCACCGCATCCTGCAATGGATGGAAAGTTGGATCCAGTTGCCAGGGCGCGCAAGCCTCCCGGACACTGGTGGGACGGGCGCACCTGCACGCCGGGGTCAAGCTCGAAGACAGTCTCTCCTCTCCGCATGTCTGTGACTAGCCAGGGGCCCCCTGCACCCGGTACCCGCTGCATGAGTGCCACAAAGCTGCGCCCGTTCCACTGCTGCGCCGCTTTCAGTTCCTCGGCGCACACACCCACAATCTGTACAGCAAGGAACATCCAAGTCACGCAGGTAGAGCAGACAGACGTCCGTTCAATTCCTCCGAAACGCCAGGCATCAGTCTCGAATGCCACAATGTCTGTAAGCGGACACAATGCGGGGCAGGGCAGAGAAAACACTGCAGCACTGTGGAGGCTCATGATGACGCAGCCTTCAGCACAGAGACCCTCCGGTGCAAAAGGAACAGCACAGAGCAGTGACGCAAAAACAGTGTGGCATTTGGGATCCTTTGCAGCACTTTCCCCACCCACTGCACCCCGCCAACAGGCGTTCGAGGAGGCACGGGTAGGCAGCGCACCTGAATGAAGCTGACTACTCCGAAGGGGGTGTTGACCGTGCCGAGTTGGGGGTCCTCCATCATGAGCATGTGCTCGATCCTCGACTCGCTGTTGTCAAGCGGGCAGTGCCAGGAGACGTGGTCGCCGTCGCACAGCACGTTCCCCGTTTGAAATACGTACTTGGCGAGCCCCTGCATGACGGCCGCCGGCCACGTCGGTGGACCCGTCTCGTCGGGCTCTTTGCGGAGCCGGAACGTCAGCTCGAAGCCGAAGCCGCTCGGACTGTCCGCGTTAGAGATCCTGCGGGGAATTTGGGTCGGCGCTGGGAACACGGCCAAAGCGACCGCTACTCGGACAGTTTCAAGCAGCAACTTACTCGTGCACTCTGCCGTCGCCGTGGAGGTCGGAGAGTCCGAAGCTCACGTAGTGCCAATGAGCCGGGATCTGTTTCGATTCGTCACCTTGGTTCGCGTACATGCTGATGTAATCGAGAGGGTCTGGTCCTCCGAGCCTGCACGAAGGAGTAACAAAACGGGCGCTAAAGTTGCGAGCGTGAAAATTACCGAGAATACAACAGATGCCACCGAACATTTTTAGGAACGCTGCTAGATGATCCGAGGGTCGATCGTGCGCCCGACTGATCGGGGGCGAATGCTTATGCGGGGACCCTTACCAGTATTTCAAAACTGCAGCAACTTGGAGGGGGTTCGGCTGGTCGTTGTATATTCGTAGGCATGACGAGTACAAGGCTTCCAGACCCGGCGGAATCTGAGGGAACCCCACGACGGGAAAGTTCTGCGGCGCCCCAGCCATCCTTTTCGAGTCCATGTTGAAAATTCCTCAAATAATAACAAAGAGAGAGGGAGTTTTGTTTTGGCCCGAGTTTCGTAGTTCTGTGGTACATTTTACGATTACACACAGTTCAAATATTGGCATCTAAATTTTTCTTCTAATAGATTCTCCTACTGAGAAATTGTTTAGATTTTCTTTCGTAGTCGTTATTAGAATGCGATAATAAACACGCCCATGCGTGTGTCGGGGCGACTTGCGGCGGTCTATCAGTTCGTCGTTGCACGGTCTTCCTTGGAACCGTGGTTGTGGAGCGGAGCATCTGTGATAAAATGGAAACTTATGACGTTATAGTTAATCAACCAGTAGTCATAGACAACGTAAGTACAAATGCCTCACTCAAATGCCTCGAAACCGCACGCATAATAGGAACATTTCTGTCGGTTTCGGTGCGAACTGTCCGCCATGTTATCCCAGTAATGACTCGCACGGCAAAATCTGCCTAACTTCTTGCCTAAATGCTTAATGATGGCGATAAAGCTAGGAAAATCAGTAATACTTCCAGTGAATACGCATGATCGTGCATATGTCCAATTTTGACACGGTTTGAATTTGTACTGAAGCCTTTGTGACAGCTAGGTTGGGCGGCACACGTTCTAAAACATCGGCGTTTCATTCGCGACGAAACGTCTTCACCAATATTTGTCCTGGCTGTGGAATACTTGGTCTTAAAAATGTTGCGGGATGTTGTCATCAACCACACGTTCATGTTGCAATGAATATAGCGCTTTGGATGCTTGTTGCGGGGATCGCTCTCTGTTTGGGCTTGCCCGAGTTACCTGATTAAACTCTACAGCTGGCGTTTCGTATCTTCAGTCATTACGGTAAAAGTAGAGGCCCTGATTGTTTCCTTTCAAAAAAGAGCAAACAACATCTATATGTTACATTGAGCTGAGACCCATCTGTTTAGTTGAACGTGATGCCAGTTATGCCTGAAGTAGCTCGCTCCAAGTCAGCTTATAATCTGTAACGACCTCTGACAGGGCCACAACTCGCAAGTGTAGCACCCGCGTTTCGAAAGTGTGGTGTGACGCGTCTGCTGAGCCTTCCAGGATGACATAGATACTTTGCTTGCAGGGTTCTGGGGTCATAAAAGCAGGTTTTGCTGGAGACCAAGTACCGAAATGCCACTTTCCAAATTTGTAAGTGTACCGGTTTTCGGTTTTGCATTCCGTTCTGCTCCTTCCCCGCAACTATATTTGTTTTTCGATGCGATTGTTTATTAGAAACTTGCCCACTAGACCTTGCTACAAAATTTGCAAATGTATGAGTGGTGTTCAACAAGTTTTGTCTCCTGGGCTGTAACTGTTTCATTCAGTGATGTAACTGAAAGATGCATTCAGATCAAAGTTTGAAATCCCCTCTTTCCCAGGAGCACATCACGTTTCGATATAGTCCTTACCAGCAGCGATGCACTTCCACCCCTGATGCACTAGTTTCTGCATGCTGTCGTAGAAGACTGAGGGCGGCTCTTGACGACACCATAGGCGAACTGCATTCGTGACCTCTTCATAGGATGCGAACCACATACCCTTCAGTTGTTCCTTCATCTTGGGAAACGTTCGGAACTCTTGTGCAAAGTGCGGGAGGCAAAGCATCGCAGCTCATTCAGCACGGCATTGATGTCAGCAGCCATCTTCAATTTTCTACGACTGCATGCAGAGACTAGTGCACCGATGGCAGAAGTGCATCGCTGCTGTTGGAGGCTTATTTCTTTCATTTTAATGTAACATCTTTCAGTTCCGTTATTGAATAAAAAAGTTACAACCCTGGAGGCAAAACTTGTTGTTGAACACCCGTTGTATGTCAAAGTATAATTACTGAAAAACTCGGGGACACGGGGGGGAGAGGAGGAGGGAGGGAGGGAGGGAGGGAGGGAGGGAGGGAGGGAGGGAGGGAGGGAGGGAGGGGGGGGGGGAGGGGGAAGGAGGGAAAGGGCACAGAACAATAATGTCTCTGAACATTTTGGTAGCTGTGTTTTGAGACATTGTGTTCCTATCTCCTCTTTTTGTGTCCCGTGTCTGGGATTTTCAGTAATATGTACCACCAGCTCACCTGCATATAAATTCAGTTTGCTGTGGCACAGCACTTACCTTTGTGGCGCAGTTTCTAAATCTAATTTATGTGCCAGAGAACAGCTTGTGCTCTTCTCGCATTGGCTATGAGGGAGTGAGAGTCTATTTTATTGCTTTTCGAAGCATATCCCCTTCTCCACAAAACGTGCGAAAAGTCCACTGCAATCTTTTGACAACCTCTGCACATGGGCACTCTTTTCTAACTTGCCAACTCAGCAAGATTATACTGGATCTGCCTAACTGTGGGCGGGGAGGTCGGCGAGACACTTCTTGTTTGAATGACGTTTCTGTGGTTGTTTTCTGTGTACATAGCTATAGGACAACCCACATTACGTTGCTAGGTGCTAATCTTTCATAATAGTATGGGTGGGGATTTAAGGGTTTCTTGTGCACCGAAATTTTCTGTCATGTTTAGCCCTAAGTAAGACGGTTTCTTGAATTTGAGCACAATTTAAAGCGACCATCAAATGGAAGCTTGCACTGTGATATGATGTTCCCCTCCATTTCAAGATTATGTACCCGTGAAGTGCACTGAACTTGAGTTAGCTGTTTTCTGCAAGGGCTTTTCCTTTGCCCAATTTTGATGTTTCTGATGCTCCACCATGGCCTCATTGTAGTGCTGCTGATCCATCTCCAGCAAGTTTATTATTCATTGCCAAAACATAATCCTGTTTTTGTTGGTTCCAAGAAGAAGACTTTATGAAGAGCACCCCATGCTGTTCATAAGTGCTCTCATGGGGAGTGCGGGTTGCTCCCCTTGAGAGGGCAGAAGGTGTTCCACGACTGTCGCTCTAGGTAGCTTGGTGTTCTTCGTAGTAGAAAGTTGAGGGAATGCCTGCTCTTGAATGTGGGGTCACGTTTCGTCTGCATGCACCTCACAGAGTGTGCCCACTTTATGAGCCTGACAGCTTGGCCCATGTTTCAGCATTGGACGACCAAAGCACAAGCGGGTAATGGCAGGTGCCTTGGAGGGAGACATCTTTGTGGGGCCAAAAGCAGAGGTGAGCATGTCCGGGCTACCTTGTAAGAGTTGTACCTCCGAAATGTGAGGATTTAGTTCTGTATTGGCGTCAATGACATCCCTTTGCCCAATTCTTATAGGGCATATTATGCTGGACATATTAGGCAGTAGTTGGTTGATGGCTCTCCTGTTGTGACGGGTTTTGAATCAGCCGAATGGATTGCTGTATTGATATAGCTGAACCGTTTCAGTCAGGTGGCGGCTTGTGTCATCTATTCAGTGTTTTAAACTTTGCAGCTAATATACACTACCCTAATGCACCTCGAAGAATTAGGAGGGAGGCCCTTTGGAGATCTCCAATAAGAAAATAAGGAAATAGTTTATCCTCCCCGTCTAGCCGAAGCGTTTCGAAACTATGTGTGGGTGCTGTGACAGTGCCGCATCAGCTGCAATTAGTGTGCCGATGATGTTGACAGCGTTTCAAGTATTCGTGTTCTGGCCGTTGCTTCAGTGTTACTCAGAAGTTGCCCTTACATTGTGGCATGCCACTTTGCAAACAGAGAGGCATGAAGAGCAAGAAAGAATACAAGGTGGGATCTTTTGTTTAGCTTATTAATCTAAAGAGTGTGAGCGTACCTCTTCGAGGAGAAAAATCATGTATAGACAAACCACACATCTTCACGGGACTTAAGGTGCGTTCCCATTGGCGATGTGATCTAGTCGCGCGATAACTTTCATCGCAAAAGCGACCATCTCGGGCAAAAAGCGACGCGATTTGAGCAGTCGCTACTCGACCCGACTCTTTTGCGATGCGATCTAGTCGCGGAGCGGCTGAGCCAATCAACAACGTTCAGAGCGAGGGTTTTTGAGAAACGACTTGCCAACCAAGGCGTTGGACTCGCACATTGCACAAGCCGGTGTGACCATCTAACTTTTTTGCGACGCGATCTAGTCGCATCGCGCGACTGCTTACATCGATGGTGGGAATGCGCCTTAAGGGGGGACATGGCCTCGGAATTAAAAATTTTCAAAGAAAAACGTTTTTTTTAAAAATGATATGTTTATGCTTATTAACTTCCAAAGAATGGTTTCAGAAACTTTAATTTATAAACAGGCAGGATTTATCTCAGAATAAATTATTTTTGACATGTCGGCAGCCCTCCGAGTCAGGAGGGAGCAAGCTTTTTGCATTTTTTATTTAGCACTGCTTCATACTCGTTTAACCTAGCCACAACATCTCACCCTCATTGGAAGTGCCATTTACTCTAGATTTAGCCTGTAGAAGCTTTCCAAGTTTACAAGTATCAATGGCTAGGAGGACCCAATACATCCAAACAGAAAAAATTCTGAAAATTTGGTATGAGCAATCTTATTGGTTGAGACCCGAAACAGGGTTTACAAGTGGCCCTGCCCGGTGGCATGATATTATGTCATCTTCAGTAACACCCTTTCACAGTATCTTCCACTTCAGGCCCTATTCCTGCCTTACTGCTCTTCCTTAGTATGATTTGCCTCTTAGTTCTTGCCAGTTTATTTGTCAACGAATGCCTGCTGCAAACGTTAGCTAGCCTACAAATGACACAAACTGGTAACTATTGCCAGGGGAACAGGGAAGTCTCAAAGAGGAAGGTGCTAACAATGCGCCAGGTGAATTTTGCCTACCTCGGACTCACAGAAAAGAAAGAACCTAAAGTTGAAACTTCAAATGCATTTTCCTCAGTTTCACTTTTTGGCAGGAAATGTGGTACGAGGAAATGTATCATTGGACATTTTGAAAGTGCAAAGATTTCATTCAGTGGTGTCCTTGACTGAAATTTCCTGAGGAACAAGTTAAGGTACTCATAATCTGAAAAAGCTAAATTCTTCATGACAAAAACTGAATATTTTAAAACTCAGAAATTTGTTAAAATCGTTTGCTTTTTTTGGATGTTATTGTTTTTCTCTAGAATTGCATTTTCTACAATTAATTTTTACCTTAACTTACACTGTGGGTATTTTACTTCACATTATACAAAACATTTTGTGGATTGCAATTTTTATTTTTCTTAAGTACATTTCCTAATAAAGTAACTTTTTTCTGAAGCTTGTTAAGCATAGTATGTTGTAGAATTGGCCTATAAGACTAAAACTTTAGATGTCACCAATTCTAGTGAGGTTCAATTCACCCTGAAAGTTTGAATCACTTTGAGACAATGGTTCAAAAGTTGACCCTCCCAGGCCATGTCCCCCCTTAAAGGGGGACACTACCCAAAAAAGTTAATTTTTGAACCACTAGGCTGATTTAAATGACATTTACAGGGCTTGTTTCTGTTGATGTCAAGAACATTTCTGCCGAATTTTGTTAACCTGGGTGAAGTACAAAAAAAATTGCAAATGTTTAAAGATGAAAGTGGGCGTGTCTGCGTAGGAAAACTATCGGTTTGAAAATACTTATAAATTTGTCGTTTTCGTGTGTTATATTGCTTTAGGACAGTCCAGAGCAGATGGCTATGGAGCTGTATTTCTATATTATACCATCTTTCATGACAAAAACGCCACATAAACTCAATTACTGTGTTTTAGATTTCCATTCTTCGTCCAAAATTTTCATTCTTGAGCATGAAAAATAACAAAAATAAAAAATACAAGCTCATAGCTATTTTCCTCTTTAAATTTTACTCTAGAAGAACTCGTAGAAATGAATCCAAGTTACGTGATAACAAAACAATAGTTTTCCTAAAGTGAAATTTATGCCAAAAAGTGGAACGGAGAAAAATGTTTTGAAACTGTTCCAACCCCTGCCTTTTCTTTAGCATCGGAGGACCGAAAATAATTTATAAAAAATTAACTATGCAGTGTAAACTAATGAAACTTTCTGGGAATACTCTCTAGGTGTCGGTGGATGTAAATATGACATTTTTTAAAATTAACTTTTTTTGCCGAAATTGTTTTTTCTGGGTAGTGTCCCCCTTTAAAGGGGCCTTGCAACAACTTTTTTTTACTGGGTTTTACTTTGCACCAAACCTGAACGCACTGAACGTAATAACTTATTGAATTTTTTCTTTTCTCGAATTTTGCTGTATTTTAGAAGTTATAGGCAAATTAAAATTACAAAAACAAGCCAAAAATAACCTCCTTCATGACGTCCTTGGTCCTGGCTTGAGTGGCCGTGAACTAGTTGGAGGGGTAGTGAGCTTGGCGAGCGCTCACGGTTGCTGCACTCCGTGTCGATGGCTCGAGAGGGTGCCACTAAAGCATGTCCTGGATAGGCTGGATGATATGGGCAGCCAGGGTAGCTCGCATTGCATTTGCTGCGCGACTAAACACTAATTCGGCATGACACTTCACTGGCCACAAACGACAGCAAACATGGGGTAAGGAACAGTTCAGAACAGGAGCCACTTTGCGCTGCTAGACCGCCAAACGGCCAAACCGCAAGCCAAACCTGCTCGTCGAAGGCCTTCGGAACGCTTGGAACTGGTTGTATCTTTTAGCCTATACGACTGCAGCACCGCTGCGTACGTCCGGGACCTTTCTACGCTCATTGCTCGTCGACGCCTGATCCCACTAGCCCTTTCTAGTATGCGCCGCCTTTTCCACCGCTTGGTGGTGGGTATGTCGACGGGTCATTTCTTGTCTCCATACTTTCTAAATTGCATTTGTTTCTTTTCTGATCTAAAATGCCGCACAAAACTACTTCCATAACTAATTGAAATGGTTCGCGCCACTTATATTTTGTATTTCGACTAAAAGAAAGCTTTTAGCGGCTTTGATCTGTAGTAAGGCCAGGACCAAAAATGTCACGATGTCGTCACATATCGCGCGCTTTCGGCACTGTCGGTCGCCCCCGTAGGTGGAGGAGGTTTCCGCGTCGTCTGGTTAAGATATGACGCACTGATATTTAGTTACTCTCACCGTGCCCGCTGGCTTGCCCGAACCCCAAGAGATGTGGAAGCTGCAGAAAAGGTAGACGCTTAAATATGATTGCAGGGCCCCTTTTAAAAATGCAGTACTTTAAAAGGCTTTTTTTTTTCTTTTATTAATGTTTGTTGCGAGTTTGTTTTCTTTTTTTGTGTTGCCGCAAAAGAACCCTCCAACGATGCAGGTAAATATGCATTGCTAACTTTTTTCATGATGTGCTATATTGACAGTGCCACCAGGCCCACAAATTATAATAACAGCAAGAGTTTGGCCTCTGTGATCTTCGAGGTGTGGTAGCCTTCTCTTTCTATATACTGCTTTCCGGAGAGATCAGATTGTGCACAAGAAATAGTGATAGTCATAAAATGTGACGAGGGCAAACATGTCACGATCAAGAAAATTCAAGATTTGAGAATAATTAACATAGCATCACATGCAGTAACCGCTGATGCAGAACTGTCAACTTAGCCACATGGAAATGTTGTTCTGGGTAGTGACTGTTCGAAGTGGCTTCAGTGCCACGGTGCCAGATGTATAGCTAAGCTGCTGTTTGTGGTTACCCACCTTGGGGCAACATAGTACTTGTTAACTATATGGATCATGAAGTAATAGGTAATCACAGCCAAACTTCTGCTCTACAAGAGACCGTCGGCAGCAGCATTATCTGCACTTGCTACTGCGACGGCCACCATGCCAATGGTGGCACTTTCGTAATCAATGTTGCCCATTGTCTCCAACATCGTCAAACACTGCACCTCACGGTTGCCAGCAACGATTTCTGAGAGAATCGATTGCGGGCCTTCATGCAGCGAGGCTCGAGGACTATGTGGTCATGTCTTACCCTTTTCCTTCACTTTGCAAAACTTGACCTACTGGGTGCTGCTAACTTTTCATGGTAGGAATTGTGTTCGTCCAGGATTTCTTTATTAAGTCTTGCATGCGACGAGAGTTCAGTATCGGTCAAAACACTTGAGAATTGTAGACTACTGAAGGTCTGCCCGAGCCTTTGCTTCGCACGAAGCGGGTGTCCATTGTGCGTGCACTTCTTGCCATCTCTTGGAGGACTGGCTTTGCGCCTACCACTTGCGTGATGGCACCATTCTGCACGTTGCAGGAACACAGAGGCCTGCTGAGCATCCGCTACCCGATGGAACACGGCATTGTCACAGATTGGAATGACATGGAGCGGATATGGCAGTACATCTATTCCAAAGAGCAGCTTCAAACCTTTGCGGAAGAGGTGAGCGAGGATCAGGAGGCGCTGTGGCAGCCGGTGCCGACGGGCCACCGTATTCTCTGGTGCAGCACCCCGTCCTGCTCACCGAGGCTCCCATCAACCCGCTGCGGAACCGGGAGCGGTCTGCTGAAATTTTTTTCGAGACCTTTAATGTGCCCGCTTTGTTTGTGTCCATGCAAGCCGTCCTCAGTCTGTGAGTATGCAGCAGCCAGACTGTTGCTTTGAACATTGTTGGACAGGTCGTCCTTGTGTTTTGGACGGGAGCGTTGCTAGAGTCCATCTTTACATCAGTGTTTACAGGCAGTGCTAGAGTTCATCTTCAACTAAACAACGCTGCATTTAATTTGGGCCACTGCATTCTCTTCGGTAGTCTTTGATCATGCGTTAGAATGGCATTAGCACAGCCCCAATCATCTGGGACCCTGCTTCTTCCTGTGAACTTTCAAGTGTCAGAGGTTTCGGTGTGTTTGTGAGGTGGATGAGGAAAGTCTGCATCAGGAGCCTCAAGAAGCTGGCAGTGCCGTCAAGTCAGATATCTCCAGTCTTGGATAAGGAAGGCCGTAGCATGAGCCTCAAATAAATAACAGTAACGACAGGCTGCGCAGTCGGTATTAAGTAGTCACCAGCGGCCTAAAACCCGGTTGTAACGCAGTCGGTTGTAGTCAAATGCAAGTGTGCGAAGCAGCCTTTAGTATAACTTGCATGCAGGATGACAGACAAGGCAGCCACAGCCTCTTGTTCTCACTTATGCAGAGGGACACACTTTTATGGCATTTGTTAGGTGGCACTGGACAATATGGTGCACTGCAATCTTGCACTAAGTAACTTTTCATTATATATCTAGTAAAGGACGTATTAATGTGGCAATTTTGGGCAGTTGGTTCATAATCGTAGAGAAGTGCTGAAAAAAGACAGGGACAAAAAGTTTACGTAAACACTGGAAGAGGCAGTGTTTACATCAACTTCTTGTCCCTCTCTTTTTTCGGTGCTTGTCTACGATGAAGGATGTATTCTTTTTGCACTCTGTTCAGGCACTACTGCCATGTGGTGTTGTTGACATTCTTAAATATGCCGCCACAAAGTTGAAAGAACAGCAGCGGAGGCTTTATTAGACAAACGCTTTGGGAAGACTCCTAAAAATATAGTCTATACACTAGTACATTGCAATGTAAGAAACGTAAAACAAGTTCCTCCCTCAGAGTTCTCTGCCCGCCATGATTGGTGGTTTCCTCCTCTCCAGCGTTCACTTTGCTAAGGTGGAAAGAGTGGAGGGTTTGGGAAGTGCCCCCGCATTTCTGATGTTGCAACAGCTACCGCTGCTGTTGTAACTTTGCGCCACATTTACAACTTCCTTGGCGAAAAACCTCGACCGGCACGTCTAATGTGCCGGTGGATGGGCTCTGTGACGGCGCTTGCAGGTATGCCACGGGCCGGACGACGGGCGTGGTACTGGACTCCGGGGATGGCGTGACGCACGCAGTGCCCATCTACGAGGGCTTTGCCATCCCGCACAGCATCATGCGGGTGGATGTGGCGGGCCGGGACGTGACGTCGTATCTGCGGCACCTGCTGCGCAAGGAGGGCACCAACTTCCACACGACGGCAGAGTTTGAGATTGTCAAGACGGTGAAGGAGAAGGCCTGCTACCTGGCCAACAACCCGCAGCGCGAGGAGACCATGGACACGGAGAAGGCGCACTACACCCTTCCGGACGGCACCACCCTCGAGATTGGGCCCGCCCGCTTCCGGGCCCCCGAGGTGCTCTTCCGGCCGGACCTGATTGGCGAGGAGTTCGAGGGGCTGCACCAGGTGCTAGTGTTTGCCATCCACAAGTGCGACATGGACCTGCGCAGGGTTCTCTATCAGAACATTGTGCTGTCCGGAGGCTCGACGCTCTTCAAAGGTGGGCGCCACCGGGGCCCTACTTGTGGCATTTTATTCCTCTATTTGTTTGTCGGTACTGCAGCTCTCTTCCGAAAGCCATAGCTGGAGTGGTACATGATGTAAAAAACGCGAGCATACATAAGGCGGTCGAAGAAAATGTGTCGTTGAGTGCAGCAGTCAACTTTTCGAGTGAACAAAGCATTACCAGAGCCCTTAAATATGCTACTGGTCGCGAAACTTCTCCGTAACGCTATGGGAGAGCTTTGTCTGCCACCACGCACAGTGCTAATTTCGACAGGGGGGCAAGAGCCGCCAATCTAGCCAGCACCGCTTGGAGTCTGGCAACCAGAAAGTGTTATCGGAATTCCCACTCTGAACGAGCCACCAATAGAATGCGGTGACGTGGCATTGCACTGACAGCATTTCTCGTTAAAGTAAGGGCCTTCAGCACTGTAGACTCACTCAACTAATCAAACTTCCTTTTCTGTAACTCTCCAAAATAATATCATTGTTTCTCTTGCCTCAAAAATAGAGGCACTGTGAGCCTGTACGCTCAATTGCCTGGCTCTTTTTTTGCTTCCAACAACACGATTTGCTTGAAAACAAATAGAAAATGCTTATTTCTAAGTTTTGTTCTTGGAATTCAGTCGAAAGTGACCGGTGATTGCATACAGTAATCAATTACAGGTGTAAAACTGTCAGTGTACGAGAACTTGTTTTTGAAAACCAGTCTTGGGTAGTAACGCGTTACTAGTAACGCGTTATTGTAATTTCGTTACTTTTTTTGGTAACTTGTAACTGTAACGAGTTACTTTTTAAAAATGTAACTTCTAACTGTAGTTCTATTACTTTTTTCTGAGGTAACAATGAAAGTAACGACGTTACTTTTGTCGTTACTTTCCAGTGTTTTATGAATAAGATATCACTGAACAAGTGCAATTTAGCCATTCCTTGAACTTTCCAAATCGTCTATTCCGACATTTCGAGTGTCAAGTTGGCCTTGCACAAAGTTGTGAATCTGTTCTTTTTCGCGAGTCACGACCCGAATATAGCCACGTGTAGATTTTATGAAAAAAAATATCTAGTTACCTTTATGCATGCGCTTGTACTTTGTGACTGAACACTTACATCTTAGTGTCTTAAAGCACTACCTATGTTGTGGTTTTTCTTTTTTCTGTGCAAACACTTTTTAATCGGGTGAATCAACCATGAAACAACAATACACGTGAAGGGCACTGCGCATGTCTCGTATTAGCGCCACTACTCCGCACTGCGCATTTTTTTTGTATTTTGATTTCCGCCACTACTCTGGCATGGAAACTTTCAAACACTAACTTCGAGAAGCAACTGCTGCTAAGTTACAATATGAAGTAAAAAGCATACTTTTTAATTTTATGCAATAAAACGTGAGGGGCGTTTTATAGTTTTTTTCTAAATTTTTGTGTGTTATAGAAAAGTAACGTCGTTACTTTTTAAAAGTAACTGTAACAAGTTACTCTTTTGTTGCTGTAACTGTAACTTCGCTACTTTTTTCTGAAAGTAACTGTAATGAATTACTTTTTTAAAGTAACTTACCCATGACTGTTGAAAACTACTTGTAATCGCGAATGGGGTGGCTTGGTGAGAGTGGGGTGGCCAAACGAAAATGCCCCCTCCTGGGCAGTGGTGCCCCTTGACAGTTTTTGACCCTGTACCAAACATTGGCCGAAGTTTTGTGATCAGCAGCATACTGAAGGACTCTGGCATTACTATACAATTTTCGAGTGAATTTTAGTCTTGTATTTACGAGACTGGAAATTACATTGGGACGAGATTACGAGATTGGGATTATGTTGGGGCCGGATTATTTGAAATGCATGCAACTCCTGACTGACGACGCGGCTTCTTTTGAGCGAATCTCGTTTGGTTTTCTAATCTTTCACAGGTCATTGAATACCTCCTTTTGAATGTTGTGAATCTCCTTCCAGTCAGTCTCACTGAAACCTAACTTCTAAATTGGCTTTAGGTGGGCTAGAGTTTGCTTCCAGTGCTCATTTGGTTCCATGCCACATGGTCTCTATTTGTTTTTGAACTTAGAGACTCATTTATTTGCAATTATCCGTAGCGGTGAGGGATCTAGAATAGACAATTTGCAATATTTCCAAGCGCCCCGGCCCGCACTCGAGAAATCATTGGAACGGTGTTCCTTCGGCTCCCTAGTGATCGCTTATTTTGACCGATTCCACGGTTACACAGCTCTTGAGCGTAATTCGGAGTCGCCCTGAACGAGCGCCTGATATACCCCAAGGACCTGTCATATCACTTTTAAGATTTCTTGTCAATGTCGGCATTTTTGATACTGTGGATGCGATCCACCTTTCAACCCGGCTGAGCTGCAGAAATCTCTTATAGTATTATAATTCTCGTGATTGTTGTTTTCGCAGAAATTGCTTAAAAAGCCGAGAATTCACAACAACAAAAGTCAGGATTTAGCTTGGAATCCGCAGGGCTGTTCATAGCATGTTTAGTGTTCCTAACTTAATATCAGCGTCTTTGAAGCTGTACGAGAATGATAATAATGTAAGAGATTTCTGCAGCTCAGCCAGGTTGAAGGGTGGACAGCATGCACAGTTTCAAAAACGCTGACAGTGAGGAGAAATTTTAAAAGCGGTATGACAGGTCATTGGGGTGTATCAGGCACTTTTTAAGGGTGACTCCGAATTACGCTCAAAAGCTGTGTAACCTGGGATAGGGTTGAAATTACCGATCAGCAAGGAACTGAAGGAACACCGTTCCCATGATTCTTTTAGAGCGGGCCGGGGCACTTGGGGGATATAGCAAACTATGGTCTATTGGTCCAACGACGCTTTAATTTACGATTTTGTTTCTGAAGATTATCATTCTCAGTGTTCTCGAGACAAAAATGTTTTGTGATTGCCCCGCTCTTGTGGCAGGTTTTGGCGACCGCCTTCTCTGCGAGGTCAAGAAGATAGGACCTAAAGGGATCAAGATCAGGGTAAGCAAATAGTGCCCGACAATTCTTTCTTTGTCGTTTCCCCGACTAAAGCTGCATGCTTGAGGTGCTAGCCTTTTGTGTTTTCATCCCACGAGTGGCACTGAAGGCCGAGTTTGGGGAACACTAAGACTTAGAGGGTTTTGCTTGCAGATATCGGCTCCGCAAGAGCGGCTCTACTCGACCTGGATCGGCGGCTCCATCCTCGCATCGCTAGACACGTTCAAGCGCATGTGGGTTTCCAAGCGAGAGTATGAAGAGGAGGGCATGCGAGCGCTGCACCGTAAAACCTTCTGAGGGACACTGCCACCCTTCACAGCGCTTAACTCGCACGGGACATGTCCCGAGAGACTTCCTTTTTATAAACAGTTTTTACTTGTTTGCTTTTACTAGCCTATAGGTCTTCGTTCCGTATTTATTTCGTTGGCATTTTTCACGATTTGAAAGTGCCTCACATTGAAGGCAGGTTTGGCAAAATTGGCGAAGGGTGCATGGGGGGGGCTCTTGCTTTAGCATCGGGGGGCCATTCCTTTTTTTTGGTGAACCAATGGGTGCACTGTTGCTGCCTCAAGGCCCACCGGACATCGAGCAGCCGACGGGAACACTGGGCTTTGCCGCAGCCGTGTGGCTAGCCTTCTCTGGGCACATTCCAAGCAGCTCTCCGTCACAAAATGTCCAACCTTTTGACAATGGCAGCGCGAGTGTTCGGTGTGCTGGAAGTCTTTTTTACCGTGGTGGTTATTTGTTTGGTATTGATGTCGCTGGCCCATAATCGGGTGGAGCCTCCTCTGTGGGCGGTGCTTGGGGAAGACTCTCAATGGAGTGGTGGTGCTTCGAAGGAACGGCAGTCGATGGTGAGTGGGAAACTCACTTTGGCCGCCGGCATGCTGCAAGCCATTGGCGGTTCGCATGAGGCTTGATACAAGCTCGGGCCTGAGATTCTATTAGTTTCCCCAAACGAAGCAAAAGGTGACAGCGTAAAGCGTGGTCTGTTTGGCACTTGCTGACCGTTTTCTGTTTAGAAGCCTAGCTAATAGAAGTGGTCGGCAAAGCTAGGCTACCAAGCAAACCGCATGCTCGGGGAAAGTTCAATATAATCTCGGGGCCCGAGCATGCACAAAGCTTCGTCGGAACTGCCAAGGGCTCGCAACATGCGGCTAAAGCGACCGTTTCCCACTCAGTGTCGTCCGTCGCTTCCTCGGCGCATCACCGCTCCGCTGAGAGCCCACGGCGGAGACTGCACCCTATTACAGGCCAGCAACATAAATACCATTTGTTTGACAGAATGCAGCTTGGCATGCACTGATGTGGTTCTATTTGTGTGGCATGAGATTAGGTTTTGGATGAGATGTGCTCTACTATGATGGAACTTTGTTGATACATTCCCAGTTTTTACAATTTCCTGGCTTTTACATTCAGACGTGCCAGTCCTACCGAGCTCCACTAGGAACACTTGTATTAATTTCCTGCTTAGTGCGTTTGCTTTGCCGGTTCATACGTCCAAAAAGCCACCGACATAGCACCAAAGATACCGATCGATTTACACAACGGACCAATCCAAGGACAAATTGATCATGCAACGACACGTCCACGGATCGTCCGCCTCCGAAGTGCATTCACACGGGAGGAGACAAGCAGACGACAGCAAGGATCGATCAAACCATTTCACGACCACACAGTGCTGCAAGACGCCAATAGCATACAGTGGCACTACCATCTAAGTGCGAATGCAGCGTGTCGCTACGGCTGCGGTGCTATCGCATTATAACGAAAAAAAGCTTGCGTGCTGCTGTTACGAACAGAGCGAGACAGAACACCGCGAGAGGCTTGGCACAAAGTGCCAAGCTTTACTTTACTAGCTTCACTAACTGAAGGCATAACGCAATTATGGTCCTGTTCAAGGGGGCTCGGTGTAAAAGCGACGGAGTCCTTTACTTGCGAAGGGGTGTTTCCCAGTGTCCTCATCCCAGCACACTCGTGCAGAACACTTCAGTACACCACAGGCACAAAAAGGTCTTGCCCAACCTTGTTGGTGGGACGATGAAATGTCTGAGAACCCCTCGTCCTGTCTTTGTCTTGCCGGATGAAAAGCTGAATGAATGTGAAGGAAATATTGTGGCGTGCTAGATGGAATTTTGATGGAAGCTTCTTGACACAGACCCAAAGGAGTATCGGAACCTGCAGTGCATCAGTCGGGAATGGTTAGTGTAGCTTCCTTCACACATGGAACCGAGAATTGCGCCACAAAACAAACCAGCCAGCGCGCAAAGCAATTCACCAATTTTGTATTTTGCATGGAAAAAAAAAAAAGAAAAATGTTGGAATGAATTTTTGGCGGGGGATTGACTTAAAAAATGTCTAACATTTTTTTTTCACGAGCAATACGAACATGGTGCACCATTGCGATTTTTTCCCGTAAGCTGGTCCGTTTTTCCTCAATTCCAAATGTGAAGGAAGTAGCAGAAACTGTTCTCAGCTGACACGCTGCAGGTTCCAATACTCCTCCGGGCCCTTCTCAAGAAGCTTCTGTCAAAACTCGTCCAACACGCCGCTATCTTTTCTGCACGCTCAGTACAGCCTTTCATCCAGCAAGGCCTTTTTGTTTTGCGTGGAGACGGAGACATTGGCAAACGCCCTTCCGAAAGTCCAGAACTCAGTTGTTCGCCTGCAAATCAGTCGCTCAAAACACCAGGTGGAAATTGAGCTTTTTCTCAGACTAATGTTTACAAATATTTTCTGAGCCAATTTGAGTTTGCACCTACGAATGTTTGCGCAAAATGAATTGTTTCTTAACGGTTGCTCTTTGTCTTGTCTCTAGCACCCCTCGAAGGGCATTCTTGCTCCTTACATTTTCCCGGATCATGCATTTTTTTTACCCATTCCCCTGAAAAATGTATCAACAAGGTTCCATTGTACTTGCAGTTGGAGGGGAAGTTTTGTTTCAGCTTTTCTGGTCGATTGTTGTATAATACACAAAAGAGGGCATTGATCAAGGCCATCTCAAATAAACTGCCTGTAAAGCCTTGCATCTTTTTGTGTGAATCGTTGAAATTCTGCTTTTGGGGAGGGGGAGGGGGGCAGTCTTTGCCACTTTTCTTAAGACCCAAAAGGTTTTCTTTTTTTTCTGCTGCAAGTGTTGTGTGGAAAGTATAGGTTCTGTTTCAAAAGATATTAGCAACCGGCGGACACATCGAGCGCCTTCCGGTTAGCTATTTCAGCGCCATCTCTTATCCGTTGGTATTCTATTAAGTCTTTCCGGTTTACGCCGGGAAGTTTATTTAATAGGATGAGATACATATTATTGTTGCTACTTACAAATTTCAAAAATTATCCTGGTAAGATGAAACAAATATCTTGGTTAGCTAAAGTTTCGCCCTCATACTTTGCTCTCATTGGCCGGTTGTTTTTTGTATTTTGACAGTTGCGCGTCGGCTGCCGCGCTCGCGGATGCGTCGGCTGCTCGGCGGCGCCTGTGCCAGCGGTACGGTGGTGGTTTTCGTTTGCGGCAGCGGGCAGTGGCGTTGACCTATTGGTTATCGGTCTATTTCTGCTACCAGTACACAGAGCAAACGAAACCTTGTTCATTGCTCGACTCAGTGGTGCTCTAATTCCAGTGGCAACAGCTCTGCCAAGTTCTTTGGGTTCCCGATCGAGTGACGAAAGGTAAAGACGGGCTGCTATACTTTTGGTTATACAGTTTTGGATTGCCGAAAACTTGCTGGTGCATGTTTCTTTATGAAAGAGTTATTGTAAAGGGTCACAAGGGACAGCGCATGTATCTTAAAATGAGCGGTGTGGGCGGTATCGGTGTTAGAGCACCGCAGCTCGTTAGCTCGTGCGTGGAGCAGCTCGCTGCAGAAGGAACCTGCGAGAAACCCCGGCGATCGAATCACTGTCGCTAACTGCCGCAAAGTTAAATGTGTGATTGCAGGTCTGCGAATACTTGAATAGTAGTTTCGTGTAGATTTTGTTACTTTGTTGTGCTGTGCAGTGAACGTTTTTTTTTTTTTTTTCTTTGTATAACGAGCGTGCCTAATAAAAAGAGAACTTGCAAAAGAAGTTTGGACTTGTGCTCAGACTGGCGATGTGCGCCCATCTTAAGCCGCTAAACAGCAGCGGCTGGGCGTGCTTTGCATTCATTCATTGACAATTTTATGAGAACTGGCTGTCACTGAACATGCACTGTTGCTAAGCCGATCTCAATCGAGCGAGGCAAAGTCAAGTGCAATTGTTTCGGAAGCGTCGGACATTCGCAAAAAAAGGTAAACACTTTTTTTGTTCTAAAAAAGATTGCATTGTATTGTAGAAGAACGAGACGGCGGCAATGGGAGCAGTTCCCTCTTCTCTCAACATCAGCGACAATAAGATGCAAATTCGTTCGGAGTTCGGAGGCTGTTCCGAACTCCGAACGAACTCGCATCTTTTTGTCGCCGAGGGTGAGAGAGAGGGAGAGGAGGGAGGAACACACTTCTCTCACCCTCTCCCATAACCAAGCGGTTGCCATGACGACGGTGCGCGTATTGTTTTGTCTATTTGTTATTTCTTTTGGAGAAACCCAACGCCCGTTAGGGGAGATTTGGCGCTGCCGTCTGCAATTGGAGTCCCAATGGGAGGTATACGAAGAGTCCGCCGGTTATATTAGTATACATAATAGCTTACAGGGCCCCTAAAAAAGGAGTGTTTTAAACAGTCTAATTAGGACACCAAGATCACAAAATTAATTTTAAACGAAAAAAAATTTACAGCAATATTGACTGTGCGAGACGCAATATAGCTGGATTTAGTCTGTAGTCACCTCCTTTCCACCCGTTGTCTCTCAAGGCATTTCAGACACGTGGAGAAGCGGATCGGCTTGACCATCATGTTGAGGTGGTGAGAGTTCTCGTTGAGGTGAGGTGGAGAGTATGATATTCCACGACACATGGGCTTTGCACAGAATTTAAAATAAATCTTGCGCCGTCAATATTGCTCTAAAAAAAATTTTTTTTTCCCGTAATTTTTTTTTTTTTTTTTGGCACATGTATTTCAATTAGCCTGCTTAAAAAAAAAAAATCTTTTTCTTCTCGGGGGTTCTTATTGATTAGACAGCTGTACCGAAATTGCAGGCAAGCATGTCGGTTGCAGTTGGATGTTACTGGAAGCAAAGTATTGTCATGATGGATGCAATGAACAGCAATGTGGATATTATTTTTTTTTCTCTAATGCACGTGTCCACTCCCCCTTTTGGACTGCTCCACAAGTATGTCGGTGCACTGTGGTAGAGGAGCAGTTCAGGGGACCCACCTGCACTTTTTTTTTTCCAATCGTCGGAGGCTACAAGCACAAGTGGGGTGCTTTGGCTGGTGCATTTTTTTGAGCAGCCGCTTCTCTTGTGCAAGAACCATCTTTGAAAGTTTTTTTTCCAGTTTGTGTGAACCTCATAATCCAGCCATGCTTCTCTGCTGTACACATCTGCACTGCATGAAAGCCAACTCCACTTCCAGACATTATATTTGAGAATTGCTGATTTTTAGGTTCATTTGATCAGAAAATATATTGGGGATTTTTCTACATTGAGCTATTAGCAACCATGGATCGAAATTCTATGCTGGTAATATAGCTGGCTTGGGAATTGCTCCCAACTGCTCTATTGCAGCTTGGCATGCTTAAGAATCCCTGTTGACGTGGAAGAAAAAAAAAAAAAAAAATGGGGACATTGCATTTTTTTGTTTGAATTTGGTACAGCAGAGGTTTTCGCACACAAATATTTGTAGGCCTGAATGGCCTACAAATACCGGTCAATGGGTCCAAACTCGTACGAGCAAAAATTTGCTACTCCTACGTTTAGGACACTTGTGTGAACATGCCATTGCCGGTTTTCTCTTTCTCAGTATTGAAGTTTGATGCCTGCCAGTACCCTTTTAAAGTAAAATGCAAAAAGCACCAAAGTGTTTGTCCTAAGTGTGTTGCACAGTGTACTGTGGTAACCAATTTTCTACAATGTGGGAGCACTAGACTAATGGCATTGGCAATGCTCACGGCAAACAGTGAACCAAAACGTGCCCTCTCAATCATCCCCTGTGAATACTCTAAAGCTCAGTGCAGGGGCATTGCACTTTAGACCAATAAAGGGAATATCCAATGCCCAGCGAGACTGCACATTGGTTTAGCTGACTTGGCCATCTTTAATGTGCAACCAAAATATGAGCTACACAGCAGCTTCAGGAGGAATTCAAACTCCTTAGCTGGAGCTCGAAGCGATGGCAGGTTTGTTAGCCCCTTTGTGGACAAAGCATACTGGTGGCCATTAGGCCATGTTCAAAACTTGCTGGAAGCATATCTTGAATGCTTAGTCATTTTTCCAGCTATGGATGAAATAGTTAATTGCACGTAACATTGGGCAACTGTCTCGCCGTAACTTGGCAAATGTTACGGTCCAAGTGAGTCAATCTGCACGTCGGAGGTATACACGAGACTACACTCCATCTCGCTAATGGCACATGCTGTCGAAGGGCGGGAGAGAGGGAGGAAACCTCCTTTTGTATGAATTTTGAGTGAGGCCAATCTTCAGGGGGACATAAGTGACATCTGGGACACACAAAAGAGGGTCTGGGCATGAGGGGAGTTCTTCCTTCCCCTCTCCAAACTGCTTGGGTTAAGCTCGCTCCTCCACCTTTGCTAAGGGCTGTCGTATGCTTTGCCTCCGTCACTTAGATTGGCTCGAGGGGCCGTAGCGCTCGCTCTTTGACAAGTTGCGGTGAAACAAAGTATAGCAGTAGGCTGTTTTACCTGACCAGGGAAGGGGCACAGCAGCAGCTGCCGGAAAATGTTTTAACGACGGCCAGAAATACCCCTTGAGAATGGCACTTTAATAAAAAGTAAAATGACTGTAGACCCTGGCCCCCCAGGTGAGCCTCAATACATCTCTCCCATTATGAGTACCAGGAGTGCTGACCAACCAGTGAAGGGGTGCGAGCCTTGCCCCTGCCCCGTGGAGTCCTTGTAATTCTCCCAAATGTACTTGGAGCGGCGGTACTCTTTGAGCATGTTGCGAATGATGTTCCATCGTAGCTCCTTGTAGAGCTCGAAGGCCTTTTCCTGGAATGGCCCTGGCAGCTCGCTGTAGTGGTACAGCGCCCGCACTGCGAGGTAGTTTATGTTGATCCAGATGGGCCCCCGCCAGTAAGGGGGGTCCGTGTCTGTGTTGTACTTCATGTACATGGGAGAGTTCTTGGACAGGGAACGGAGGCCGAAGTCCGTCCAGAGCAGGGAAGGGTCACGGAGGTCCGTCATCAGCTTGCCCAAGGCAGGATTCTCGGGTGCCAGCAGCCTTAGGAGCAGTGGGAACAAGCTGACATAGCCAAAGTGCTGCACAAACTGCAGTCGTGGGGTGTCCAGTGCAAGCCGCACCTTGGGCAACGGAGCTGCATGGTGCTGTCCCGGGGGCACTTTCTGTTCCACCAGACGCACTCTGTCCGTGTGCAATCCGTAGTCGCAGTAGTGTCCAGACTCGGGCGACAGGTGCAGCCGATCCAGAGCAGCAGCGTCGCTCAACCACCTATGGGTGGCTGCCAGATGCTCAGACCTGTGGTCCTTCAGCAGATCAGCTACCCGAGAGAGCACGCCGGATGAAAACGCCAACCAGCAGCGCAAGTCAACATGGCGCTCATCTTCCGTGGGGTGTGAAGCCCTTGGGTAGTCGTCGAGTCCCGACGTCAGTGTCTTTGGGTTCAGCTCGTTGCGGCTGGTGGCATCGCGGCCTCGCCAGCGGTACGTACCGGGGACCTTTCCCGCCTGCGTGGTGTTGAGCCAGTCGAACAGCTTTAGAAAACGTGGGAAAGCCGCCCGCAAGAAGTCGCCATGGGTCGTACCACTGTCCGGGTGATCGAGGAGCGCTTCCAGGGCAAAGAACATTGCTGGAGGATTGGCGTTGGTGTCTCTCTGCACGACGTACTGGGCTGGCACTTGGGAGCGTGCCTCTGTGCCGAGGATCTGCTCGCGAGGAATCCAACCGTCTACGTTCATCAGGTCGAGCCAATGGGATATTATGTCCTTGGAGATGTCGGGGTCCCAACGCGACAGCAGCAGGTTGTGGAAGCCCTCGTCCCATAAAAAGCCCCGTGGGAAGAAAGATCGCGAAGGTACTGCAGTATACAGACCTGCCTTCCAGTATTCCACTGGCTCCTTGTTGTATGAGGATTGAACTAGAGAAGACCCATGAAAGTAGCCAATCCCACCAACCATGTTACTCAGGATTTCTTTGGCTACCTCGTTGTCTGCATCGCTGAAACCCTTGGTAGGCAGCTTGAACACCTTGTTGAACCTCTCGTCAAACTTAGTAGTGTAGTCAAGCAGCTCTTTGTCAAACTCCTCTCCCGAAAGGGTACTGGGACGTTCAAGAAAGCTTGCAGACTCAAAGACGACTTCCATTTCGTAGGGAGGCATCACAGTGACTTGGGTGAGAACAAAGTTGGGTGTTCTTTTACGCTCCTTGTCCTCTAATGAGAAACTGCTTCCACGTGTAACATACAGACGTCTGGCGCCTTTCTTTGGCTGTGAAACAACTAAGTTTCGCAATACTGTCTCATGCAGTGTCTCCAGCCCCGATGCCACTGTGCTCAGGTAAGTATGCTGCACCACATTGCTCGTGTCTCTGTCCAAAAAATGCACCGTAAACTTGCCCAAGTCATCGGTATGCCCGGAAACATGCTCGAGGCGAGATTTAGTTGCGACACTTGGCAGCAGCTGCCCTTGTCCGTCAGTCGCAACATAGAACAGGAGAGAGATCGGCACAGTGGTTGTCGTGTTCACCCCCTAGAAAAGAAAGCGCCATAAGCAAAATGATTAAAAGTCACTACTAAGAAACAAACGTCAATACCTTGGGCTTGACTGCGATCCTGGCTGTCCAGTCTCCCCCATTGCGACCGCCGGCTCTTTTCACAAACGATGTCTCAATCAGGTACTCCCCGTCGACAATCCGCTGCACGCCAAAATTGACACCGTCATGTCGAACCCATCCATACTGTTCGAGGCCATCCCACTGGCTGCACCAGTGCCTGATGCCGAGGTTCTGGTTCTTTAGTTCCTGGGTGAACCACATGAGTCCTGCCACCAGTGGCTGAGCACTCCGGGTCTTCATGCCAAAGTACAGCGCACTCCGGTAACTGCCCCAGAACCTGTCTGGGACGTCCAGTCCACTTTTCTTCACCACCTTTGGGAGGCTCACTGGCCGGATGACCCATGACTCGAGATAGTGCAGGTAGTAAACGTAGAAAACGACAGACAAAATGAGCACTGCATTGAAAACTATGAACAAGCTGAACTTGGAATCGAACTTGGGCTGCGAGCTTGCGCGTTTTGCCTGGCCGCCCGGCTTCGTTGAGTGCCGCGCCGGTGAAAGGCGCGTATTTTCTCCCACTTTTCGTTGACGCACCATATTTTCTGCGAAGAAATGTTAGGAGGAAAGGCAGTTAGGTCAAGTCGGTGCACGACGACGCTACATCACATAAAACATGTCGGAGGCGATCACAGACATGCCTGAAGTAAAAGATTTTTTGCGAAGTTCAAGTTTAATGAAGGCAATAAACCTACCTAATGCCCAGATTTCTAGATGAACATGTAGTCGGTGTAATTCACATGCATCGAACGATCCCTTGGAGCACTACTTCGAAGAGCCGCTTTTACACAGCGGGGCGGCGGGGCCACGGTGCCAGCCCGAAGTCGAGTCGTACGAAAGATTATTGAAGCCGCCCAAACTGCCCAAACAGCTCAAGCCACGCTGGCTGCGCTGGCCACGCTGCATGACCGGCAAACCGGCAAACAAGTGCATGAAGGCGTGGCACACTGGCGCGGCCGGCGCGGCGTTGGCGGCGTGGCGTGGACGTCAGGGAAGCACGATTGGTTCGAGCCATCGAGATCAAGGCAGCGACAGCGACGCGACAGCGAACCTGTTTCCCTTACCTGCTGCAAAATTAGGTGTTTTTTTTTTTTTTTTTACATTTGTTCTGGTCAACGAGGATTCTAGTGCACATAGGGTGGTAGCGTCGATAGAAGTGGGGTCACGTGACAAGCTTTCTTCAAACATTTGGCGCAATTTGGCGACTCTTCGCTGGCTCGGTGGCGGCCGGGCGGCCGTACGACCGACGCGCGAAAAGGATGAAGAGGAGGAAGTAGAAGGGGAGGTGCGTTGCGACGCTTGTTAGCGGTGGTGTTGGATGAATTCTGAAAACTCGTTTCCAAATCTGCCGCTCACAGGGGCCAGATTTCGCCTGCAGGATCTGTGTGAAACAGGAAGAGGTGGCACTCAACCAAAAATGGGAAGATGTGCTGGTAGAGGAACTGCGGAAGGAACAAGAGTGCAGGGCGGCGCTGGAGACCGAGATCAGGGAGCCGAAGAAGAGCCTAGCTGACCTAGCGAGGCAGTTGGAAGTGCGGGTTGAGGAGCTAAAGGCAAAAAGGCGTCTTATGGAGCCCCAGGCAGATCACCGCGATTGCTTCTCTGGAAAGCGCACAACGGCGAGCTGACTGCGCCACTGCGCTATCACGCTATCCTATGGCTATCCTGCCGCCACCAGTCGTCGTCGCAGCTCCCACGGTACAGACATATCGACACATCCGAACTTCTCGATCCTGCCCTTCACGAAGGGGCGACAGACGTACCGGTGGCCCTCGATTTCCCTGGAGAAGATGGAAGGGTGGATTATAGAACAGTAGAGGCAGCGAAGAGGACGTTGGAGTGCTGGTGTAATATACCGATAAGACTGATGGCGCAGGCGTGATTTACCATTTTCTTGAACCACCTGAGACTGGGTGGAAAACTGGGAGAACCACACTGGAAGGGACAGGAACAGAAAGGCAGAAGGTGTCGTCTCAAATTGTCAGCTGAAAGTTTATTTAGTAACACTTCCATATATACCGAAACCTCAAACGTCGCCAGCAATCACCGCCTGCAAAAAAAAACCAAACTTCAGATCTGCCGGCAGTCCAAGCTTCCACTGACACAAAGAACACTACCTATTTTTGAACCATAACCAAACGTGCTGAACATGCAGACGACCAAAAAACAGTTAAACAAGTCACTTTTGAAAAAAAAAAAAAAACTGTTTAGGCAGTTTATTTTCAAAGCGAAAAAAACCCAACTTCATTTTACACACAAAAAAGACTTGGAAGTGGGATTCAGAACCGATGCCTGACTTATGCAGTTGCCTATATAGAATCAACCCTAACCGTCCCTCACTACCCTTTTGACATATCATTCACCTCTCTGCACACGACTGCTGTTCCCGACCACTCTGCCGTGCAGTTGCTACACAAATTTGGCTACACTCTTGTACATGTTTTGCTATATGTGAATAGGCTACTTTAATCTTTATGCTTCTCTTGTGCTCTTTTATTCTGTCATTCACACATCTCGAGGTACTCCGTTTTCACATGCCACCTTTTTTTCCAATGGTCTGTGCTAAATACTATGTTGGCTCCAAATTTTCGCACAACTTTTCACATTGTGCGAAACTGCATGGTAGTACGGCATTACCGCATACCTTTTCTTCGAGTTCTCTCCTTCCTTCTAATTTTCTTCGGTCATTAGAGTCACATATGCCCCTTTATAAAACCTCCGTAACCCGCATTACCCAATCTTTCCCACTGTCCCTTCATGCCCTTGCATATATAATGTACGCACAACCTGTCTAAAGCATTCTTGACTAACGACTCCCGCCTTTAGAATGGCAGCTCCTTTTTAATTGGAAGGACTGGCTTTGGATTATCCTTACCATATTCTCAACATATCTCCTTGCCAACATGAATTCTCAGATCCCGAAACTGTAACACATCACTTTCTGGCTTTTCTAAAGTGGACTTCAGTTGCCGGGCTGATGACCTAATTAACTTTTCTGCATTCCCCCCAGCTCCCCTAAGGAGTAAATCAACACCAGGATTAGCAGACGACGCGCCGGCTTACTTCGGCGCAGTCGGTTGTCATGGAAACTGAGCTAGTTCGGCAAAACGCGGCCAACGCGGCGGTGTAGCTAACGTATATTGTGTTTACAAAGATGCCGACTTATAATATAATTTGATTGAACGGAATTTAGTTTAAATAACCTTATGGAAGTGATGTCACTGACGTCAAAATAAGGTATCTTACAGTAACAACGACGCCAGACGACGCTTCCATTTTCAAGATGGACGTGAAAATAGCCACCACCCGTTTCTTCTGTCGGTGTTCATTCCCGCAGTGCTACCGGTGCTACTGCCGCCTGTAAAGGGGCTTCGTTTAGGGCGGCTAGCGCGACAGGGTGTTGGCGCGGCGTCCGTTCTGTGATGTGCATGTGCACAATCATTCAGGCATTCAGAATTCTCCGACCACTTCAGCCATAGTGCTCCAGTGACGTCAGCACTCCCGACGTCGACGCCGTGTGTGGAGACGGCGTATGGCTTCGTTCAGAAGACACAACTTTTTTAGGATTTTTTTGTAAAGGCCAGACATTGATGTTGGTGATGTGATGCGCATCCCGTTCGGGAGCTGATAATCAGGCCAATCGCCTCGTCTTGCCAACCGGCTTACTTTTTTTTTTTTTTTTTTTTTCGCTGCTTCTAGGATGTCTCGGCATGAAGGTGAGTTTGCTAGGGTCGTAAGGCCTAAAGTGCTCACGTTCCCCGATATTTATAGGAGGCTGCGTGGGACCGACATAAGCCGTATACATCGGCGCGTAAAGGTGTAGTCGTGTCCGTCTGCAGTTGTGTAGTCTCTCTACGGAATTGTCCATGTCATCGGTAGATAAAGTGCTCTGCCGCATGCAGCGTTGCACACATTTTTTGCGGGGTCTCTGCCTAAGCCTACGGTATTTCTTGTGCTGCTATCCAATCCCTTTTACGTGGGGTACGAGAAACGCCTTTGAATGTCTTCTGGCTGTTTTGCTTCGATGATGGCAGCTTCTTGTGCTTGCCTTTCGCTGGATAGTGTCATTGTGGGGAGGGTGTTGACGACTAGTTCAGAGATCTGCTGAGAGGCGTACGAAGAAACGGTGATTCGAATCGCGTCCGATTCCTTTTTGTAGATATCCGTTCCAAGCTGTACGTGCTTCGAGAATTGAATTTACGATGTGCTCATGCGAGGATTGATACTGCACACCGGGCATCCGATGATGACCGAGCTGCGAGATTGCAGAGAGCCCTTCGTTCCAAGCTTTATTCGTCCTGTGGATCTGCGCGGACCTCAACTGTTGGCCAACGACGTGCAGTGAGCAAGGTGGGCACTCTGCCAGGTGCCAGCCAACTGCAATGGTCGCGTTGTAAATGTCCCGTGGTCACGGGTTCTTTCCGTTGCTCAGACGTTGAAAGATGCATATCTTGGTTGACGTGGGAGCGGTAGTGCGCTCGTTGACTTCCCCTGCCGTGTCCTGCCGTGTCCTGCCGTTCTTGTGTGGCCTTTCACGTCATCCGATGGAGTTCCGACACCTTGCAGCGACATGTCGAAAGTTGTTGTTGAAATACCAACTCGAGTGACTCTTGCTGCCGCTTTGACTGCGTGCCTTGCAAGTCACGCTGCATTGCTCGTGGATCATGATATCGTTACTGTTTGCTTCCATTTGCATTTTGTACAAGGGAATCCTTTCTTGTCACCTCCCCTCCTTCGTGCACACATGCACACTGGCGTTCACACGATATTGTAGAAGACAAGTGAGCCAAGGCACCGCAGGGACTTGTCTTCAAATGATGAACCGCTTAGCTCAAACCAAAGTTTTGATCTCTACAGCCCATACATCATCTGCTACACTACCACTGCTGCTATACTTTTTATAAAGAGAGGAGGAGTGCACATGCGCAGCTTTAATCGGTGCTCCAAGTGTGTGAGTGCATTCATTGCTGTGCCTTTGACTGCATTGCTGCAAAAAGTTGCCTCAGGGTATAGTAGTCCAGCAGTAGTGGATCATAGTCTAGGAATGTTGTTTGTTCTGTGGCTCCCCACCGGGTAGATGCAGCTCATATGTTGTTTCACCTTAAAGGGTCACCGAGTGCAGTTTCAGATGCTCCTTCGAGAAGATGCCCACATTGTGTCAGAGGCGGTTTGTGGGGTGGGTGCCTTACAACCAAAATTTCCAGTTTCTCGGCTAGAGGTTCAAGAGATCCTTTAGTGGTTTGCCGCGTACACCCAAAAGTTTTTTTTTTTTTTTTTAAGAAGCATTTATTGAAATATATAATTATTTTGAGCAATATTTTGTGTGTATTTTGCTTGTAAAATGCGTGGAAACTACTGGAAAACACCCGAGTGTACGCTTATGCTGAGAATATGCGACAGAAAAGAGTCAAACGCATTTGCGACATTGCATCAGAATCGGGTGAATGAGATTACAAAGCCCTTGTGATGAGTTGATTGACTGTCTGCTTGCAGAGCAAGGAGTTATCTGATCGGATTTAAACTTGTTCGGTAACACCTGGGATGCCCCTGCAACATATTTGATTCCAGTGGCCTTAGATTATGTGATAGCGTTGCAAAGAGTAGTGCGAGTGCCTTCGAATGTCTGCGTCTGCATGGGCAGGACCACATCGCAGAGCTAAGAGTGCCTGCGTGTAGCCGTGGCTGCACCGCAGGTTGAATGTGAAGCCAAGTGCAATACCCAGGTGACCACAGTGGCTAAATGGAAGTTGACTGTGTCTGCCATTAGTCCTTCAGCCACATTTGGATTTAGCACGGTGCGAAGATCTTTCTTTCTTCAAGTAGAGAAGATGCGTGTGAGGAAATATCTACCTCCACTTTTGGTAAACACATTTGTGTAATTTGTCGGTACACAAGTTTTTCCCCTTTTTCAACATACTGGGGAAACGAGATTGGTGACGGCTAAAATATAATCTGTGACAGGGGTCAACCGCTTCCTTGAGATGTTGCCCCTCATTATTGGAGGTGTTGATTGAAAATACGAGCTAAGAAGCTATAGCTATGCTCTGCTGCAGGGTAAGAAAAGCGGGGCAAGCTCCTCTCGCAGAACTGTCCACTCTTTTTCTCAACCTTCAACAGAGTACGAGTCGGAACAAAAAATCCTTCCTCCAAAGATGCCGTAATATACTGAGAGATAGTCTACCTAAAATAAAGAGCAAATCGGGTGAAAATATGGAGTGTGCTAACTTTCGGTGTGCAATCAAGAAAAATTGAAAAAATGTTTTTAGGTCTGGTATCCCTCCAAGCTTGCTATCGGGGCAAGGAGTAACGAAGCAAAGATGACTACTTCCCAGTCAGCAATGTTCGCTTATATTCTGCCAAAGCTAAATAGCCGCATTAACGCCAAGGCCATCGTTGATCCTAACACTACTACTACTAGGTACGAGCTATCTTTTGGTGTTTAAAAAAGGTAGCAGATGAAGCCGAAATAGGGGTGGGCTATCTTTTGGGGACAGGGCATTTCGGGATTTTATGGTAGGCTTATTTCTCTTTATCACGGTGCTGACTTGGTTTGCGAGCAGATGACATTATCACGGTGCTGACTTGGTTTGCGAGCAGGTGACATACAAGGGGAATGCTTTTGTTTTTGTAAAATATTGGAGTTAGGGGCTGAAAATCCCGTGCTCTTTTTAATATCATACAACTGTTGTTTAACCAAATGAGTTACACATAGTATGATGAGATTTTGTCTATGTAATTGCTTTTTCCCCACAAATGGTGCAGTCATTTGTGGAATTCATTTTCTATTGAAATATGTGGAAGGAAACCTTCCTGATCATGACAATGATTATGTTTTTCCATTTGAAGCTAAAGCAGTGCTGCACATATGACAGGAGTAGACATAATTGTTGGCATCCTTTTCTTTTTAGCTTAGAGTTTCGCAAACTGTGGAAGTTTTGCTACGTCTAAAGGCTTGTTCACACACTTAGAATCGAGTGCCTTGGAACCTCTTAATATCTCTTATGACGAGAGTAGAGTTCCTGTATAGGCTCCCTACGGGAGCCAGAGTTGCGCATTTGTTTTCCCCGCGCCGCCACGCCGCTATTCGCCGAGATCCATCACGTGAGGAGCAAAGCATCCGGTGGCATGCAAGAAAGCCACCTTTACGGTCGCTCCGCCGACGTTTCTCGCGCCCCGGCGTGTGTTTCCCTGCTTTCCACCTCCTTTTCCTCCCCTCCTGTTTTCCTCGCGCGGCGGCGCGCGGGGCGCCGCTATTCGCCAAATTTAGTCGTGTGAGGAGCAAAGCATCCAGGGCGTGCGGGGAAGCCGGTGCTACGGGCACTCGCCGAGGTTGAATGCGCAACTCTGCTACCGTAGATAGCTTATACAGGAACTCTAGACGAGAGGACACACTGGCGCCATCTATTGGGCAGCGGTGTAAACTTGGCGGTCCGGCATATTTTCTATTTCTCTCGTGCATATCCTTTCTTTTTTGGCTCAAAAATCTTTTGACAACGTTTTAAATGAAGCTTTCTCATAGGTATTACACACATTTGACCTCGAAAATCTTGCAAAACTTTTGCTCTTGTGAAATGCACTTCCAGGGTCACCGCATAGATGGCGCCAGCGTGCCAGTGTGTTCTCTCGGTCATACTTGGTTGCAAGTGTGTGAACAGGCCTTAAGACCCCAAAAATTTTTGAACCATGCAAACCATCAATGTTAGTTCATTATTTTGGCATCCAGGTTTAACATCCTCCAACACACGCTAGCAGCGACTGAGCTTGATCATTTTGGGTCACTTGTTTTCGTGGCACCTTTTGCATATTACTCGCAAACATTTTTTTTTAAACATCAAGTCCAACGAGGGTATTTAAAAGGCATGGGTCACCAGCCTCTTAGTCACTTATTTACCGAGCAAGGTGTCTTTCATACGCTTGAATGGAGTTTGCATATGTCAATGGAAGAAGACAGTTTGCTTTTGAACGAGCTGGCAAGTAAACTTAAGTGTTTTCGAGTTGGACCAAGCGTGGAAGACGTTGCCATCCCTTGGCAAGATTGAGCCCAGCCCGTCCTTTTTTTTTCAGGAGTAAGCTGCGACTCTTGCCTAAAGGGCAACTTCCGGGGCAAGCGCTACAAGTGTCTGATCTGCTATGACTACGACCTGTGTGGCACATGCTACGAGGTTGGGGCCACCAGCACGAGGCACACGCCCGACCATGCAATGCAGTGCATCCTCACCCGCTCGGACTTTGGTACGTGGGGACCTCTGCGGACCGCTGGCTCCTCTCCACTATGGGCAGACGGGGCTGTCGCATAGGGGTGTTCAAATAGTGGTTTGAATTGAATAGCACTGCCTCATTCATAACCTTATTGGTGCAAGATGAAGCCATGAAAACCAGTTTTCATATGAGTCTGAAAGCTAGGGATGACGCTGTGCTATTCGATTAAAACTGTTCCAGGGGGGATCGGTGGCCGAGTGGTCTAGCGCACACCAGCTCGGAGCACGTGGAGCGAAAGCTCGCGCTGCAGAACCCAGGGATCCTGGGTTCGAGCCCCACCCCTGCCCGTTTCGATCTGGATGAGCATCGTACCGGCGTGCGGTCGTGTATCACTACTTCGCGGCATGCACGTTAAAGACCCCAGGCTAGCGGCTGTACCGCACTGGCTGAATTTCTCATCTACAGCTGGGAGACTAGTCGCCCCTGTGAGGTAGACCAAGTTCTAGGCTGTATAAACACACACACAACCCAATTTTTTTTTTTAAACTGTTCCATATTCGCACACCCCTACTGTCGCGTGTTCCTTGCTCCTGGGAATGGGACCGCTGGAGTTGTCTCTGATGAGAATCCGAAGGAAGAGCAAAGGAGATCTCGAGGGAGGGGGGGGACAGCAGAATACAATTTCAGCCTCTGCTGTCTGTTCACAGACTAATCTTTGCAGAATGCAGTGTTTGTCTCTAGTCGTTAGCATGGTGGCATAGTTGTAGGGCGTTGGTTTGGGCAGGAGGTTTTATCGGCTGGGTAGCACGAAGTCGGAGTGGCTGTGCATCAAAGCGGCCCAAGTTTGGGTGCCACCTGTGCCGAAAGAAAAGAGCTTGTGTGATGCGGTCATGAAAAGGGCAAAGAGGACTGGTGTTACCTGGCCTCATTTGTCGGGCATTGCCTTTGTCTGCTAAAGGTAAGTGGTGGGAAGATTTTCTCCCACTTTCAGATGAGGTTGTGTCTCGTGGGTGCTGTGGACTTGGCCGGGGGAACTTTTGCCAGGCACTGATCTTTAGTCTAGCTGTTCCACTGCGTTCGTAATGCGTAGCAGAATCAGGTTGCTTGGTGGCATCACAGGGCTGCTTCTTTGCTGTTTGTCAGTGGCGCTGTGGAGAGAAATCGGGCTAGTTTTGGTGCTGATGTTTTGCTATGTTGAAGTGTCGTACCCAATGCGGTTGGGTTGTGCAGTGGGCAGTCTCACATTATTGTTCCTAAAATATTTCACAATGATCCAGCACAATGCCTTGTTGGTTCAGGCAGTACCTCGGGCAATTTTGCAGGCTGAAGAAGTTGCAAAAAGGCTTTATGCATTAATAGCTTCATCGGGTGGCACATTCTATCTTGATGCTGATCTTTCTCATATTCTATGTCCACGCCCTTTTTTATTTTATGTGATGAGGAGGTCCGCAGTGAAAGAATATCAGAGACCTTTGAGAAGTTTCTTTAAGTTTTGTGGAGGAATGTTTTAGATTGTTCATCCAAATGCAGCTGTTTTTTATCGCTTAGTTTATGCTTTAATTATAGCTTAGCTCATATTTTAAAAAGGATTGTGCTGTCCTAATCTCAGGTCGAAGTGGGTGAAAGGGCAGTGCTTGAAATACCCACAGCAGACCTTTAACACTTTGCATAGCCCGCTCCCCTCGTTTTTCGGAAAGGAAATAGTGTGTCTCAGTGAAATGGATATATACCCACTTCTTAAAGCACAGTTCACTAAGTCTTGGCGGGTTGGAGACAGTGTTAGCCAAAGGAAGTACTGTGTTTCAGTGAAATGGTTACACCTGCTTCTTGGAGCACAGTTTACTACCTCTTGGTAGGTTGGAGACAATGTTAGCTGCAGGGTGGCTAACATTGTTAACATTGTCTCCAACCTACCAAGAGGTAGTGAACTGCTACCTCTTGGTTTTTTTTTTTTTTTTAGCCGCAGGGCGCGCTCAGCACTGAGCCTTTCATGCTACTTGTTTTCAGCACTAATTGAGAAGGCTAATTGGCAACTTGCATCTAGAAAGGGAATGGCTAGTTATGCTAGATTGCCAACCAAGCCAAATTATACGGGGTGTCTTTATTTTTTTAGGCTTTACACTAATGCGGTTTGTGCACATGGGTTGAACGGCCAGGGGGACGTAATATAGGGGGCTAATAATCGGGATAAGTCAGATAATTAACAAATATTTGTTGATTAACTTAATTAAGGAAAATAAACATAGGGTTCCAATTAGAAACTTGCTGAGCATCATTGAAAATCTCTAAATTGGCAACTTTTACAAAGACTCTGCATGGGAAGCACAGTAGTGTGCTTAAGTTAGCATTTGTGCAACAGGCGCAATGCTGGCAGTGCGAAAACGCGGATAGTAAGAAGTAGAAAATACTCCGCTGGTGCGTTTTCTCTCTCCCAGCTTTGTGCCTGTTGCACAAGGGGTAATTTGGACGTTGCAATAGTCGCTGCCATATAATTTTATGGCTTTGTCAGCCGGCATCTTGGAGAACTCGGTGTCCCTAATTGTTCAAATAACTGGAGTGCTTGGGTACAGTGGGGATGGCACATGCTTTTAGTACATTAGGAGTGTCAATGTCTGCCTTGCTTGGTGTAGAGCAACCTTATAAGGCAATGCTGTCGTCGTCGAGTGGCATACGTGTTTGAATTTCGGTACTCATAGTTGAGTGGCTCGCTGCCGAACGTAGGCTGCTTCTGTGGCCCGTATCGTTAAAGGGGCCCTGCAATCATATTTCAGCGTCTACCTTTTTTGCGGTTTCCACGTCTCTTGGAGTTCGGGCAAGTCAGCGGGCACGGAGAGAGTAGCTAAATATCAGTGAGTCATATTTTAACCATGCGACGCGGAAACCTCCTCCACCTACGAGGGCGACCCGTGTTGCCGAAAGCGCGCAATATGTGACGTCTTTGGTCCTGGGCTTACTACTGGTCAAAGCCGCTAAAAGATTTTTTTTTTTTTAGTTGAGATACAAAATATAGGTGTCGCGAACCGTTTCAATTATGTGTGAAAGTAGTTTTTGTTCAGTATTTTAGATCAGAAAAGAAACAAATGCAGTTTATAAAGTATGGAAACAAGAAAAGACCCGTCGGTCGACAAACCCACCACCAATCGGCGGAAAAAACGGCGCATACTAGAAAGGGCTAGTGGGATGAGGCTCCGACAAACGGCGAGCGTAGAAAGGTCACGGACGTACGCGGGCGGCGCTGCGGTCGCATACCGGCTCGAGGATCCGACCAGTTCCGAAGGCTTTCGACGCGGGCTTGGCTGGCGATTTGGCCATTTGGCGGTACGGCAGTGCGAAGTGGCTCCCGTTCTGAACTGATCTTTACTCCGTGTTTGCTGTCGTTTGTGGCCAATGAAGTGTTAGGCTGAATTCATCTTTAATCGCGCAGCAAATGCAATGCGAGCCGCCCTGGCCGCCCACTTCATACAGCCTATGCAACACGTGCTTTAATGGCGCCCTCTCGAGCCGTCGACACGGAGTGCGGCAGCCGTGAGCGCTCGATGAGCTCACTACTCGTCCTCTAGTTCACGGCCACTCAAGCCAGGACCTACGACGTCATGAAGGAGATTATTTTTTGCTTGTTTTTGTAATTCTAATTTGCCTATAACTTTTAAAATAAAGCGAAATTTGAGAAAAGTTTCTTTAAGTTACTACGTTTAGTGCGCTCAGGTTTGGTGCAAGTTAAAACCAGTCAAAAAGTTGTTGCAGGGCCCCTTTAAGGTGCAGCATAGGACGCAAACCCCTTGCCCTTTAGCTGGTTCCTGATTGTGGTATCTGGATACCTTTCCGACTTTCAGATTTGTACTACGGCGGTGAGGCAGTCTCCGTGGAGCAGCCCCAGTCCTTCACATGTCCCATCTGTGGCAAGATGGGCTTCACGGAGATGACCCTGCAGGAGCATGTGGCAGCAGAGCACACGGACGCCTCTTCTGAAGTGGTACGTGTGCGTTGCCTGCTCTCCTGTTGCGGGGCTTTCTCGTTGGAAGCGCGCCTATGTACTAGAAGCGATTAGTCAGCGAGCAAAGCGCTTGTTCGCGTGCCGTTTTGGTACAAGTCCTTGTTGTTTGATTAGAAGACGTTCCTCCAGTCTCTACTCTCTCGGAAAAAAAATGGAAACCGACCCAATAGGCCTGGGGTGGCCAAACTGCGGCTCGCGGGCCACATGCGGCTCTTTGCAGGAGCAAGTGCAGCCTGCGGCTTTATAGAAAGCATGCCCTCTCCGCCGTAAAATCGGAAAGAAAGAGACTGAGAGTAAATGACAGCTTGCGTTTTGGCAGCCTAATACCATTAGAGCTTGCGGGCTAGAACTTGTGTCTGTTGATATTCAGATCGATGTACTGTTGCAATACACTCTTCTTAATAATGTAAGCGATAAGATAAAAGAAGCGTACGACCCTGACGGGCAAACACGTAACTCAGCTGCTCAGGCCTGCTCCGACATCATTTAGGCCAAACTTCAAAGTGCTTGTTTCACGAATATGTAAGCACAATAAAGAAACATAATGAGCAATCACGTCATGAGTGGAATTCGCTGTGGTCACCAAGTGAGCTAAAAGTAATACTAATAAAAAAAACTGCCACGCCCCTCTTTACTGTGGCTCTTTACTTTTCATATGTCCTTTAGCCACCCTTGCAATAAGCCATGTAATTCATCCTCGATTAAGCAATTCCTGCTCGGATTGCAACCATCAATCTGGGTTATTCTGTTTGCTGACTGTCCTTCGTTTGCACCATATTATGCCTGTTAATGACACTTTTTATATATGTCCCTTAAAGGGACACTGACAGGGTATTTATGCTCGCCGAGGTTTTTAGTTCTACGTGACATATGAGAGCTCAACTACCCAGAACAGAATTTGCGGCTCGAAATTCGGTTTCTTTCCGCCCGAAAACCGCCGATCAAGAACTGGCCGGTTCGAGTCTCGCTCACTCTCTTTTTCGCGGTCACGGGCTGTTTTCTAAGGTATCGATGCGACCACCAAAATTAATCAAAGTCGTGAGTCACTGAAGGCACACACTCAATATTAAAAATAGAAAAAAATATGAAACCCATCTTTTGGGGCTTCTAAAAAGCTTTAAATACGTTGATTGAAAAAAAAAGTTCCACAGACAACCGGAAGCATTCTGTGCGTTCGTCGTTTCGCGTATCGTGGGACTCGCGGGGACGGCGATGGTAGCGGACGACGGGCGTGGAACCTCTATTTCAGAACTGTCGTTCGCGGTACCGGCGAATTCTGTCTACCGTTAAAAGAGAAATTTGGGACTGATCAAAAGAATTGGTATTCATCCCGTACGACACGCCCGGCCACCAAGCCGATTTGCACAAAGACGTCGCCGAGCCGTCGCTCCCTTCTCGTGGCTGAAGACATCGCTCGCGCAAACGTCAAGCACGACGTGTCTACTTCGAGTTGAATATGCATGCGTATGATTTCTTTACTAGGTGCGAATGTCCTCAAAGCGTGGTGCTTCCCGACTTCGACCCGGGAGTGCTTTTGCTAGAGAAAAATCGACAGGAAACTTTCCAACTTACCGGCTGAATTATTACTAAGGGAAGAGATCTACCGAAAATAGACGCCCCAGTAGCTCAGTGCGAAAGACGTCCGGTTTACACGTGGTAGGACCGGGTTCAATACCCAGTGAAACTTTTTTTTTTTTTTTTTTTCAAAATTTTTTTGATGTTTACATATCTTTTTCTTTTTTTTTTTACTATCATCACTGAAGAAACAAACAAATGTTGTGGACGATACTTCACTGAATTAAATGGTATGGGATTTCCGTTTTGACACCTGCGAACTCAATGTAATCACTTCCCACAAAATGCAAGGAGCATATAAATCGGGTAGCGTCCGCTTACAGGAATTGCAGCCAGCCATTGGTCCCGATCCCGTTGATCTTTCCGAAACTCTGTCGCACAATGCAACTTTTTTTTCGGACGCAGGACATGTGAGCCAGCTCTTCACGCAACATCTTGGGTGTATTCTTTTCGGAGCCGATCATGGAAATTCACCACGGGCACTCACTACTCATCTCCAACTCCTCAATGTACAAAACAACTCACCTTGGAGTACAGAACAACGAGCGGAACAAACATAACTGCAAAAGAATCACACGGCGAGCAGTTCCCGCACGCCGCATCGCACGCCGCATGTCGTGTCGTCTGCTACAAAGAGAAGGAAAAAAAAAAAAAAAAAGCACGGTCGGGTGTAGTTACGTGACTTCCGCCGCTCACTCTCTTCTCTCCACTTCTCCGACCTCCGTCGGGTTTCGGTTTCGGTTTCGAGCAGTTGCGTCTTTTGGCTTTATTAAAAAAAATACGCTACTCTGTTGCAAAATATTAATTGGGTAGTCCTCCGACACCATAATGAAGCGCCTGGCAAAAAATAAAAAAAAATTTTTGGGGGGTGTCAGTGTCCCTTTAATGTCACTTTTGTTTTAATGCTTGTTTTATTGTCACCTTTTGGCAGAAGCGGGAGTTGAGCCATGTGTGATTTCGATGACATTGGGGTAGAAAATGCCTTTTCTTTGTAGGCATGTTGTGTTGGTGTATCTTTTGATTTCTTACTGCAGTTTTCACAATCAGCCTTTGCTGTGTGGCACTTGTAGTCCTTGTACAAGTGTTTGATAGTAGAATGCTTGGGAGGAATATGTACCTTTCTTGGATGGATTAGCTCGCTGATTGGGGGTTGACCGATTGTGTTTGTGCTTGTAGAGCTTCATCTGGGCAGACCACGTTCGCTTTTGGAAGGCTGCTTATTTGGTTATGATATAGGGGTGTAGCGTTCTCGAGCTTCACTGGTGGTCCTGTTGTGCAGGTGTGTCCAGTGTGCGCCGCCCTTCCCGGTGGGGAACCCAACCATGTGACAGAAGACTTTGCTGCCCACCTCAGCTTAGAGCACAGGAGTAACAGGGAACTTGTATCCTTTGCATTATTGTGCATTTCGCACGTGATCTAGGGGTCTCTAGTCCAGTTCAAGAGATCTGTGCAGCAATGGGGAAGGCACGGACATTTGCGTAGGTCCTCAAAAATATTCTCCCTATGAGAGTGCTTGTGCAATCAAAGCTTTTCACAGAGCTGTATCCTTGTGCCTTGAATGGTGCTGCACGCATATTGGAAAATGGCCTTTGATGGTGCCGTTTGCAAATTGCAAGATCATTGCAGGGGCCAGAAGTGTTTCTGAGGCACTCTGTAAGGTTTGGACTTAAAAGTGGGATCTGTGTCAGGACTACGTGCCTGGGCTTTGTTCCGAAAAATTGCCCTTACTTTGGTTACTATGGTTGCCTCTTCAATCCACTGCCCCCCCCCCCCCTTTTTTGCTTCAGGCAGAGATGCCCTAGGTTTCGCAAAGCTCCCCATGTGTTCTCAATTGATCCTCAGTCTACCACTTGGACATTTCAGATGATCATTCTCGTTTTGTGACATACAGGGATGGAACTGCTGCGCCAATTGCGCCACTGTGCGCTTATACTTTTTATGCACCACACTGATACAAAAGTAAAGAACGAAATTGCGCCAAGGTGTTCCTAAACTGAACTGATAAACAAGCCTCATTAAACTTAGCCGTCTCACAGTTTATGCTGGCAACATTGACACCGGAACTTCCGGCCCAAATGGGACGCCAGTGGATCCGAATCCAAAAATCTGTATCTAAAGGTTGGTGCCGCCAACGTTAGCTGCCGGTGCTGCCTGCTCACCATGCTTTTCTGAAGTCTTGGAGTCACTTTATCTGAAGATCTTGGTTGTGGAGCAAACGTGTGCCGCGGCCCCGCGCAGAGAACTTAGGAACAAGAGCGAGCGAGCCGCATGATGGAGCAAGATACGAGCTGCCAGATCGTGATTGGGCTTTGAAGGAATTTTACAGCGATGTCACATAAGTACCTTTAACAGCAGACTTGCTGCAATCTGTGAAACACAAAAAAGCAAGAGGTCGAAAAGCAAGATGACTGGAGGCATAAGAGGAAGAACAGTTATGCGAGTATGAAGCAAGCTCGTCTTCAGGAAGAAGAGAGACAACTTGAACAGTGCATCATCATCATCAAGCGGACTATGCTTGAGCATGCGCAGTCATTAATTAAGTCTGGTCTGAAAAAAAAAAAAAAAAGTGGAGAAGATTGAGTCGTGACAAGTGCTGTTAGCGAAAGCTAATGCGAAATCCGTGATTAATTGACCAAGTCTGGATAGATTAATATGTACAAGGGCATTCATTATCTTCTAGTCACTGAAAAATAAAAAAAAACATTTTTGTACCTGCATTTTTATTTTTCGGTATACCTTGCTATAGTCAGTTACAGGTCAAAAAGGTAGCGGCAAATGCCCCTCAAAGGGAATCACATATCCCTCCGCCACCTCCGCATCCAATAGCGTCCCACCGTTTCCGTGACGTTGCGGCCAACGCGCGAGGAGGGTCTTGCCTTTCTGTACATATTTGCTTTATTTTTCGAATCTGACTTAGCACTGTGGAAGCCACGAGAGGGCGATTAGAGTTCTGTCCCACCGACGGAAACAAATGCGACTTTCGGGGATTAGCTTCCCCCCCGATGGATACAAAGGCTTCTTTCAGGGGCTCGGTTCCCTCTACGATGAATACAAAGGTAGCTTTCTTAAAAAGTGGGATCGGAGACAAGTGGGAATCTATTGAAGCGGAACAAGGAGCGTTTCCAGTGAACTCTTCTTTCGACTGCGGAGAGATTTGAAACGGGCGCATCACACTTGTGGGAGGAGCTTCTCCTACCTTCTTGACTTGTAACCGACTATAGTTGAGGCTGAGCAATGAAAGCTATTTCTACCTTTTATATTTACCTCTGTGCTAGTCGGTTTTATCACGTGTCACACTGTCATGTGCAGTTTTGCTTCATATGGTTTGTGTAATGTGCACGTAATTTTGTGAAAAATATTTGCAACTAAAATGTTTATTCAATCCACCTTTAAAGACCGGCGTCCAGTTCGCGCTTTCCACTTTTGCCACCCTTCCTCCTCTCCCTCCTTCTACCCTGTCCACCGTTGCCTGTTCCCTCCTCCCCCATGGTGAGGAGGATCTTCTGCCTTGCAGAATCTCGAGTCTGGTCGTCGGCCTTTAAGTTCACATGGAGTCACCTGCATGCCATATTTTCTTTAGTTTTAAAAACCAGGTGACATTTAGCCTTTATTTTAACATTCTTAAAACTCTTATGCTGCTCCCAAGTTGCTCCAAGACCTCGTTTTTGCTCCTCCCAGCCTCCTCCAAACTGTATGTTTTTCTGCTCCCAAGATTACCCTAAAGCTGCTTTGCCCAGTTCCATCCCTGGACGTATGATGTTTAGTTGCACGAGGTGCTCGCTCTGCACAGACCTGAGGACGAACACGATGGTGCAACACTTGAACCGAGCTACCGAAACTCCACATTGTTTTCCCACGGCTTGCCCTTGACAGGTGACTTGCACACTCTCATAACAGTGGTTGTTGATGGATGCCTGTAAGAAATGCAAAGCGCTAATTGTGTTGTGGAACTTGGGTCATACCGGTGGTAGAAAAACGGTGCAGTTAATCCAGTGGTTCTGTGCCTTGACGCGAGGTCCAATCAGGATGAACCGTCGGGGTCGAGGCATGTGCGGCGGATCCCGCACCCTGCAGGTCGCGGCATGAGCAGTGCCCGGGCCAGACGTTCGCAGATGCAGTTTTCGTCGACGGGAGGGCTGTCGGCCCTGTCGCCTAGCAACCGGGACTCCATGGACCCGATTGCAGGTGAGACCTCTTTGGGCCGGAACGGTCCACTCGACCAGTTGGCCCACAGTTGGACGGGAGGGTGCGCGTTTGTTCCTATGGTTATGAAAATGCTTTCGAGGTGCTGAACATGTGGAAGAAAAGGCCAGCACGGTAATGGCATCGCTGCTGCACCAAGCCGCTACTGGCAATCATTCTTTTGGACCCAGTCTGTTGGCGCAGTTGATGCTCCCAATCCAACCGGGTGTTTGGTTGAGTAGCGGTGCAACAGCTGCCATTAGGATCCCTCCAGTGGCAGAGAGTTGTAAAGAGTAGAACTGCTGAGTATCTGCAACATCCAGTTAACGAAATAGTGCAGATGTGGGCAAAAAATGTGTGGATTCGTAGCGGCTGGGACCTTGGTGTCACTCTTTCCAACTCGGCGACTTCGCACAAGCGGTAACGGCGACCAATTCCGCGTTTGGTGCAGAGCTGCTGTCGCAGCTGTCTTCGGGGGTGCGGCGCACAGCGACTCTGGCGCAGCCGAGCACGACGTCTCAGATCCAGCAGCTTCAGATGCAGTTGCAGCTGGAGCGGCAGCAGGCGCAGGCGGCGAGGCAGCAGCTGGAGCGACTTCCTCGGCGTCAGGCCCACCTAGCACCCAGCACTCAGGCGGCTCCAACCACCACGGGCCCCTCCCTGCACGCGCACTGCCCGCCGACGCTGGAGCCACCCGCCGTTCACTTCTTGCTCTCGAGGTGACCGCAGTGCCGGCCAGGGCTTTTGGAGAAGCCTCTCTGCTTTCTCTCATTGACAATAGTTTGAGTGTAGTGCCTGGAATGTGTCTCCGACTGGTGTGTTTTCCGTGTCCCAAAAGAGTGGTCCCTCCATTTCCACTGAATGATGTCGTAGAAGTGTCACACTGTCGCCGTCTGCAATCCTAGTGTATGTGGCAGACACCTGTTCTGCTGCAAGTCGCCCTCCAGCTTGACGGTTTGCGGAAGCTTTGGCAGTCGGGAGTTGGGACGCTGTGACCACAGTGACACTCGTGCTTGCTCAAGCTTTTTGCCGGAACTTGTATATGACCAACCATAACAATTGTGACATTTAAGAGCGTGACACTCCGGCTTTGGTGACGTCATTTGTTGACATTCGGGGACCACTTTGGGTGCATGGGTGGAAGGGGACACCAAACACCAGTCTGAGATGCGTTTCAGGCACCATAGTTTGAGGTTCTTGTTTTGAGGTTTTGATATGATGCGACGCTTGCCAACGTGAAACAGGACAAGTTGTCTTGTACCCAAACTTTCTCTCAGTCATATAAAAGAGTCCTTGCCCAATAACAACAAGGGGGGCATCTACACTGCCTGATCAGTTTTTTTTTGTGGAGGGGGGGGGACTGAGTTGAACGTTGGAAGAGGGGAAGAAACTTTACACGATTGCCATTGGAAAGTTGTTATTTTCACTTTTGGGTGAGGACTCGAATCTGTCTGTTGAAGTAGACTTATGGGACTGAAACCAACGGGGCACAGATATATGTATACAAACTTGCTCGTCCGATTTTGTGCTCAAAACTGAGAAACACTCCAAGTGTTGGCCCCACAGATGCGGCAGCCCTTCTCGACTAAACTCGCTGGGTTCAATTAAAGTTTGAATGTCCCCAATTTCCCGGCTGTTGGCGGCTAAATTATTGCTTAATTTTGGCTTCTTTTTCGTTTTATGGTTTACTTAGCTTTGCACTTTTAAGCCCGAATATTTTATCCTCATTTCCATTTGCTAGTGTCATTCTGTAAAGCACAATGGTTGGAACTTTGCCCAGGTTTGTAGAAAGTAAATTGCACCCTCTCTTCCCCTCAAAGGATTGACCTCTATTTCAGCAGGCACGGTCGAATGGGCATCCCCAGTCGGAAAGTGAGTAACATTGCACAACGTCACGCTCGCATTCTGGCTTGCAGGTGCGTGGAGTTGTGCTTGCAGGATGCAGATCAGCAGGCCCTGGAGTTGGAGCGTGCCGACCGGAGCCTGTTTGCTCAGGAGCTGCTGCTCACGACGTTGTCCGAGCAAGTGGACCAGAAGCAGCAGCACCTTTGGACGCCGCACGACAATGCCTGGTGGGGAGTGCCGGCCCAAGCGCTGGCTCTGGGCTGGTCGGTGGGCAACGGTCCGAGCTCCAGTGCGGAGCTCTCCTCAAGCACCACACCGACCCCTGCCGCCGGGCCGGCCTTGGCCGCCCCGCCGGCCTCGGCCGCCACGCCGGCTCCGTCCACCGGGCCGGCCCAGGAGACGGCCTGTCGAGCGCAGCAGCCGTCCAGGGCATCGCGCAACGCCACGAACGAGCAGCACAGGGCGGGCTCGAGGGAGGGCCGGCTATCGCCGTCGCGCAGAAAAGTGGTGCGAGTGTTGGACGAGCGGAACAGGCTGGGCGAGCCGCCGCACTGAGTCCCGGATGACGTGGAGTGCTTGGGTGGCCGGACAGGGCCGGCTGTGGGTCGCTCGGATGGGCGGGTCTTGGGGTGGCCCAGACTATGCCTTGCGGGCGCGCGATATTTATTCTTTCTGCAGAGTGCACAACCCTCGGATAGTGTACCTAGCTGACCGGCTTACAACAATAAAGCGGTTTTGACAGAGGTGCACTTTATCCACACTACCGGTGCTCCTTGGCAGGCCGAAGCTGACTTTCTGCAGCTGCCCCTGCTGCGGTGGTAAGCTTGTGGAAAGTTTGTGTGGATTTTAGGGCCATTTGCATCGACGCTGCAACTCGTGGCTTGCCGAACTTCCATTCTAGCTTCGGCATTTTGGATTTCGGGTTCCACTGCTGCGTAAATTGCAAACCAGTCTCGTTGTTCAAATTATTTGATGCCATTGCTGCCGCTGCACATATGCATTGTACAACTCTTGTGCTGCACAGACTTGTCCCTTCTCCCGAGGGGACAGATCTTTGCACACTGGCAGATTTGACGACAATGACACTAGGAAGTTTTGACATTAAGTCTTTCATGCGCAGTAATGCTGCACTGCTTCTAGTAATATTGCTGCGACCCAGCATGTTTTTTGTCTACATGTTCCGAGAGTGTGTGGATAATTGTTTTATCCCCGGCATGGTTGCGACTGACCCCCGGTACACTGGGGCATTGCTCTTGCAAACGAACAGTAAAGTCCTCTTTATTTGAAATCTTTGCTTTATTTTGCTGATGAACTTTTCTTGTGGCTTATTGCTTTATTAGCCGAAAGTATTTGGCTTCACTTTTAGAACTGGCTCACTTGTCAGAATGGTCTGGCAACATTGCTCAAGCAGATTGTCCCCAGAGAAATCGGCTAGCTTCTCTGCATCCCTCTTTGGGGTGTGACATAGTGACACAAAGGATTTGGTAGTGATGCAGGTTTAGTGGCTTTCTGCCACCAAACCTGCATCACTAATCTCATCGCCCTGCATTTCCAGAAGGCTGGAAGGGGAGGGTGAGGAAATCCCCAATTGGCGGGTTGGATTCCTGGTCGAGATGACCACAACTTGATTGGGTGTTTTGCATGGCTTGGGTGCAAAAGGTTCCCCAGGTGACCTAAACTAATGCTCGGTCCTTGGCTAGTTGGAAAGAAACTGGAGGTTTCCAGAAGCTCCCCTTTTTTTGGTCTTACCAGCTTCATCAAGCTCCGTGTGTGGTTTCGACAGTTTTTTGCTGCGCCAGGTGCCCTTCGTTGGCTTGGCTCTTAAACCACCCAAAATTTGGTTGGATGATGAACCTTTCTAGTTCTTTAGCAGTTTGAAAACTAGCTTCTGTGGATTTTGTCCAAGACTGTGGAAGTAAGGACGACGACAACGAGTGTAACCCGCCGTCCTTGTAATGCACACTGATGCTGTACAGTGGGTCAAGAATCATTGCAAAGATGCTGTGTTTGGAAGTACTTCAAATAGGTTTTCACTATGTCCTACACCAACTACACTACTGGAACATGTACGCTGTACAGCGCAGCACCCACATGTCTCGCTGGCGGTCGTTACTTGCTGTCGAAACCGAGGTGGCACGTCCCGTCGCGGCACGTGTCTGATCCCAGGTATTGTGGTTTCTAGGGGAGGAGTTCCCTTTTGAGTACAAGTTCAAGAACAGGAAGGTGCACAGAAAGTGGAGGTGGTTTGCCAAATGTTCCCACCAAAGTTCATGCAATGTATAGATTCCACTACCGTAAAATATAAACATGTTTCCATCTCGCAAAACTTCACAGGGTCTCTTATGTTGTCTCTAAGATGACTTGAAGGTGAAAGCCCAAGCGCCGATACATTGAAGGCAAACACATGATTTACTTTAAATTCAATTAAATTAAATTCCTCTTAATTTGCTTTGTCATCCTTCTTAATTTTATTGCCTCCAATTCGCCCGAGTGGTTATGTAAACGTTTTGGTGCCTTTCATGTCGCAGACATGTTTTCGACTGAATGATGAGACATGTAAGGCTTTCGCCTTAGTAAGCCCCCACCCGCTCCTTTTGAAAAGTTTGAAAACTAAGCAAAGGACATATCGGGCGCTCACCCCAGACTTCTATGCTCGATGTCAACAATTTTGTGCTACAATGCCAATGCTAGCGTAGCTTCCACATGTTACAACCTGCTACGAGAGCATGGGACTTCCTTTTGCATATGATTGCACAGACACTTCTGCAAAGAACACACCAAACGTGCAAGTAGTTTTGACAGTGTTCAAGCACTACAGAAGTAATGCCGGCCTTAACGGTGTAGCACAGAAGTAATGGCTACTGTGATGCTCCTCGCCAGTAGTTTCTCCGAGCGCTCTGGTGCAAGGTGGTGAGGCCCACATCATCATCATGAGCCCCTTCTGCATTTTTTCTCTTGGACCATCCCTCCCATTTTACATGAATATCATAAAATTTAGGGTGGGTGCCTTGGTAGTTTACGATACACTAGCAGGTTTTACAACTTGTCGACTATGGAAGAAAAACAAAAAAAAAATTTAGGATTTACTTGTTCATGTTTTGTGATTTTTTGGAGTACTTTACAAAGAAAGCATTAAACGTTTCAAGTACTTTTTTTTAAATTTTGTATGTTGAAAATAATTCAATCTATCAATGACACGCTTTAGCTAATCCATGCAAGCTTTTTTTTTCTTTCAAATTAAAGGCTGGCTGCTTTATTTATTTTCTTGCCAACTAATATCAATTTCCATGACACTGTTTCATATAATGACATTTTGTGGGAAGGAGAGGGTGCAGAGAAAAGGTTGCATTGAGAAAGTACACTTGCATAATTTCAAGCTATGCATCTGATGGGTGATGGCTGTCAGATTTAAATGTTTTGTACCTCCTAGCGAATGTGTTTGGATCGAACAAAGTTCAGGCCATGACTTTAGTTCAAAGACCTAATGATGGTATTTATAGGCAACGTGTGACACCTAAAGGGGCTGCTCCGATCTAACTTGTGAGCACGCCAAATGAGTCTGTTGGGAGCCGCCACTGTCGTGTAGCACGCTTCCCGTTATCACTTCGCAGTCAATCAGATTGCAGCGTTACTAATTATGAATGCCGAAGAAGGACAGCGCATGAATATAATAAGCCCTGCCGTTATCAACAACAAAGTAAGAATGGCAGGGCATGGCTCATTATGTTCATGCTCTGCGTCATTCGTTCTTTGGCGTTCATTTTGAGTAACACCGCAATCTGATTGGCTGTGAAGTGAGTGACAACGCGAAGCGCGCTACAAGACAGTGGCACTGCACTGTGGCTCCCAACAGAGTCATTTAGCGTGCACATCAGTTGGATCGGCGTGCCCCCTTTAGGTGTTGCAAGCTCCCTATTTTAGCAAACTGTGTTTATGTACAGTCCTAATCAAACTTGTCTATAACGCGCGAGCGAGCGGCTTTCTCCGAGGAGCGCTAGACTGGTGGCATTCGCGGAAACTAAGCTAGTCACGTGGTGCAACATAGAACGGCCCGCTCGAGGGGTGTCCTGTCCACTCTATCAGCTTGATAAGCGATAAAAATAAAGTGCTTTATGATATATTTTTGTTTTTTGATGGCGACATCGTTGATACGCCTTCATGCTTTACTCTGTTCATTGTTCGAGCAATGATGTTTGTAAAAAGCAGCCTTCCGCGTTCATTGCCAGCTGATAGAGTGGGCAGGACGACACCCCTCGAGCGGGCCGTTCCATGTTGCGCCACGTGACTAGCTTAGTTACCTGAATGGCACCAGTCTAGCGCTCCCCGGAGAAAGCCGCACGCTTGCGCGTTATAGACAAGTGTGATTAGCACTGTACAGTAATCAAGATGGTGTACCATACCGATGATGTTTTTAAGTGGGCACCCAGGCCAGGCTTAGCTACGGTTTAAGATATATATCGGTGTGGACACTGCCAGTGTCCACACCGATATATCGATGTAGCCTGGAATCTAATTTTGTTTTTTGGGGGGGGGAGGTGCTGAGGTGGCTGGGATGCCCATGACTTGGGGTGCGGAGGGGGGGGTCAAAATGCATGTGTATATTATTGGGTCGGCTGGATTTCGGAGGATGCTTGAAGCCCCATAAACCTCCCCTCGGCTACGGCACTGGACACCGCACGCGTCGCAGCTGACTGATGAAGTCTTCGCTCTGGTTGCAAGTGGCTCCACCAGATGACTCTTCGACAAGCAACTAGTGGTAGCTTGTCATGGGCCCGGTTTCCCATGCTTCTCTATGGAAGACATGCTTGTCTTTAAAGTCGTTTTCTGGGCGTGCCACATCATGTAGAACTTGTCATTTGTGCTAAGTGTGTCGCTTCGACACAGCTTCGTCGGTGACCTTTTTTTTTGTGCCTCGATGGCAGCAAGAACAGTTTTATGAACGTGTTGAGTGGAGAGATCTCTGGGGCAGAGTTCAAGCCAGTGTCTGTCGAGGAGCAGACGCTTTGGAACGTAAGGGCATGACCCCTAATACAATGGCAATGAGACACTTTCTTCGTTTTTGTTTCTTTTGTTTTTCTAAGTTGTGCCATCCGGCCAGCAGAGACGCTGTCGGCATAGCCTACTCGGGTCCGCGCCAATAGAACTTTAGCTGGTCGAGTGTATCGCAGCGTTCGCCGTGCTGTGTCCTTACCTGAAAAGTATCTTGCACCATAGGCCTAACTTAGTCTTTGCATTAGTCTTTACTGCATGCATGCACAGACTTCTGTCAACATCTCCCAACAGACTTTGTCCTCCTCAGTCTACACGCACCGGTACGCCATCCCCCTGTTGGACAAATTTCCATCCTGGAACCAATTAATTGCCCGCGAGATGTTTAATCTGGGTGCTCTGCAGGTCGCCTCAAAGCGTCTCGCAGTTAGGGGGGTTAACACGGTGAATCGAACGCCATTTCATCGAAACACGTTTTAAAGAAAGGGCACGTTTTATTGAAGCTCGATTTAGAGAAAGCGGAGCCTCACTTAGAGAAACGCCGTTTATTAAAAAGGGAACACTGTTTAAAACAAAAAAACGCATCTCCACGTGGTGAATGATGTTGATTGGGGCGAAGCTCTGGTGGTGCTTGTCTGCGTAGACACTGAGCTGACATGGATGAAAACGAAAGAAAAGCTCGGCATGCTGCAGCTCACCGTCTACGCAGACAAGCACCACCAGAGCTTTGCCCCAATCATCATCATTCACCACGTGGACATGCGGTCGTTTTTTTAGCCCTACACGAGCACGGGCTCGTGAGTACGAGCACCCGACGCCGGACATCGGACGGACGGGTCCATATCACGAGCAAATGACGTTTTCGCAAACAGCGACGTATGAGCGAATCGACGTTTTAGCGAATAACGGGGGCGCACGTTAACCCATCCGCCGCGCCGCGCTTACGCCGCTTCGCCGGCGACAGTCTGCGGCGGCTCATTACGAAAATGTGAACCCAGTTGGCCCACCCGAAAACGCCGCTTTGCGGCGTCCGACTATTCGCTAAAGTGTCCTTCGGTGAAACGCGTTCGCTAAAATGTCATTCGATCAAGTGAGTGCCTCCCCACTGGGGCGCGTCAACCCACCCACCGCCCCGCTTCACGGCGACAATCTGCGGCGGCGGGTGGGTTCATATCACATGAGCGAATGACGTTTTAGCGAACAGCGACATTTGAGCGAATCGACGTTTTGGTGAATAACGGAGGCATGCGTTAACCCATCCGCCGCGCTGCGCTTACGCCGCTTCGCGGCGACAGTCTGCGGCGGCTCATTATAAGAATGTGAACCCATTTGGCCCACCCAAAAACGCCGCTTCGCGGCGTCTGACTATTCGCTAAAGTGTCATTCGGTGAAACGTGGGCGTTCGCTAAAACATCATTCGATCAAGTCGGTGCCTCCCGGCGGCGGGTGATCAACTAGCCCAACAAGTACTTTTATGTTGTATTTTTTCAATGTTTTTTTTAACACTTTTTAAATGGGATTACACCTGCATAACATGGTTACAGTGGCTGATAGTAGTAGTGCCACAGGGTTGTATGGGTGGCACTCAGTGGGTTGAACGACGTTTTAGCGAACGCGGACTTTTCATCAAAGACACTTTAGCGAATAGTCGGTCGCCGCGAAGCAGCGTTTATGGGTGGGCCAGAGCCGTATATTGGGAGAGTTTGGCCAGTGGGTGTGGCGACGAAGGCGCCGGAGAGGAGAAAAGTAAATGAAAGGGAGGAGAGCACCGAAGGAGCGAGAGAGAAAGGAGGGAGCAGAGAAGAGACGACCGCCATTTTTTCGCAACGCTGTCGGAGAAGAGCATTGCTGAGGCTACGCGTCGTCTGCTACAGGCAGACTTCTTTTTCGCCTGAATAAAATTTTGTGGCCATACGCCGAAAAATCTTCATTTATTAGCTTTTTAACCCACCGAGGAATAACAGTATGCCATTTTCTTGCCAGAGCCAGCGATATAAGAGGAAATAATCGAGATTTAGATGCCAATCCCACGCATTCCGCTGGGAGAATGAACGAAAATGGCGGCTCTCCCCACTCAGCTGGGAGCAGCGGGGAGTTCACGCGCATGCGCTCATGCCTCTCGCTCTGCGCCGCGTGCTGATTGGCTCACTCGGGAGGAGAGCGTTACGGCGGCGAGATCATAGACTGACCAAACTCTCCCTATATATGGCTCTGGGGTGGACCAAGTGGGCTAACATGTTTGTAATGAGCCACCGCATACTGCCGCCGCGAAGCGGCGTAAGCGCAGCGCGGGAGTGTCACGCTAGCGCTACATTTTAGTGCTTCCGTTAACTCACGCTACGCAAGGGTGCCTCGGCAAGAGAAGTTTCTTGTACTGATCTTCGTACACCGTACCTTCGCCGAAAAATTTTCGCGCGTCGCGAGCATCAAGCTGGTGGTGATCGTTGCCCACCTTACTGGCTTTTCCAAACAGGGTGCAATGTCGTCCCGTATTGAAAATCGCAGACGCGAGGATGCCACCGACGTCGCACTCACGACGCCGCAGTTATGGTATGGTGTACTACAGGGTGATTCAAGGAGACGCCAGGCTCTTTAAATCGACCGCAAAATTCAGTTTCTTAACCTATCGTGCTACGACTTTGTGCAGCGTTGCCCACAGATGGTGCATTTTTTTTTGTGAAATTTGCAAACGGCAAACTTACCTGAGGAAAAAGAAAAGAAAGAAAAAGGCTTAGCTCCCAATGAAAACGCAGCGACGCCACCGGTCTTCAAACAACACTGCACCGTTTCGCACGGGAGACAAGAGATGGTGCAAGTGGTCGCGACGCCAACTGCCGCCAACAAACGAGCATACGACGCCGAGAGCCGGGGTCTTTAGCAGACAAGGGGCTGCAGTTCCTAGTTGTTACCGCGCCTGTTTTTGTTTCTGCGACTGTCGCCGCCTGCGGAACGCGCGCCGAATTTGAGTCGAAAAGATGGTCTGCTAAAGACGCCGGCTCTGGGCGCCGTATGCTCGTTCGTTTGCGGCGTTCGTTGCGCCATCTCTTGTCTCCCGTGCGAAACGGCGCCGTGTTGTTTGAAGACCGGTGGCGTCGCTGCGTTTCCATAGGAGCTAAGCCTTTTTCTTTTTTTACTTTGTCCTCAGGTAAGTTCGCTCTTTGCAAATTTTACAAAAAAAAATGCACCATCTGTGGGTAACGCTGCACAAAGTCGTAGCGCGATAGGTTAAGAAACCGAATTTTGCGGTAGATTTAAAGAGCCTGGCGTCTCCTTGAATCACCCTGTAGAATACTGGGCAGTGTAACGAGCGCGGGTGAAGGGGGGGGGGGGCACAGTTTATCATTCACAGTTTGCTCACTGGAATAAGCCTGTGGTAATCGCAAACCACGTGATCAAGGGGCCTTGTGTGAATAAAAGTACATTGTAGAACTAAACTCATTATATATTATTCACACAATATAAATTATATTGATAACTAAATAATTCAAAAAGAGCGAAAGTTTCTCAATTATTTAAACTCGTAAATACGCCCTCTCACCACGGATGGGGTAACTAACCACATTTTATGTTTCGTTTTTATTGTTTTGCTTTTCAAGATGGCGGCCCCCATGGCATTTTGTTTACTGGCTTCTCGCGTCCGCTTGCGTTGCGCCTTCGCTTTATTGTGACGTGTGTACCACTCAACAACAATCACAGGTAATTTATTCACACAAGAGTTACTTCAAGCAGGCAACTGTTTATTTTCGCTTTACATAGTACAATTGATACGAAAACGTTACAAACAGCACATGCACAGCACAGCACATGCAGCACATGTGTCGTCCGCTCTGTTTCTTAGTCTCCAGTTTCCATGTTGGTGAAAGTTCACCATTCCTACTTCTAGCTTGCCTGTTATTTTTGTTTCCATGAGATCAAACTGGCTCACCAAATGATCTTCCTGGTTGAGCGAGGGGAACGGCGACTGTACCAGTAGCTCTGTTCAATAAATTCCTGAGCTACGGTTGAAAACTTGGGTAGGTAACCGGACAAAAGCTCACCGGACAAAAGCTCACCGGACAGAAGCTCACCGGACAAAAGCTCACCCGTTTTTTGACAGACCCGGACAAAAGCTCACCCCTTTTTTTGACAGACCCGGGCAAAAGCTCACCTCGATTTCTTTTTTTTTTTTTTTTTCCTACCCGGGCAAAACACGCGCTGAAATAGAGTGCGGACGCAATGGACATTGGACCATTTTTAGGAGAACTTGTACCTCATCCACCATTGAGTTGCGAATTTTTTAAAAAATACTTTGAAAGAGCGGGAGTTGGGCCTTCTGGAGAAATACAAAAAAAATGACCAATTAAAAAAAAAAAATTGTGCGGGATTTTAGATAGGTTCGGGTTCCTTCCGCCACAGCTTGTTCCACAAGAACTAACCACCAGGGAAAAGTCTACCGGTGACATCGGCTACCTGCTGGACTATTTTGATTGCACGTATTTCAACGGCCGCTTCCGTTATGCTTCTGTTCCATCTGCGGCGGCACCCAGAGCGAATTCTTCCCTTCGCCTGACTCTGCGCCGACGGCGACCGGAGTTTCCCCCGGTACGGTGGAATATGTACGACACCACTCTTCAAGATAAAGACCGGATGAGCAACACCTGCGAAAGATAGAGTACCGGGTTCCAGAAGCTCGTCGGCCACGCCCATCCAAGCTTCTTGAGGCTGATTGAATGCCTACAGCAAAATCACGCGCTCGTTGCCACGGCATTAACAAAAACCCGGAGAGGTGAGCCCACCGTAAAGCGGGTGCGAAAAATTACTCTGCAGCTGCAGAATCGTCTTAGAAATATTTGCGAGGGCTTGCATGTACATCGAGATCTACCAAGATTGCTGGAGCTAGTGGGGGACTGCATTCGCTTCTAACCAATCGATAAATAACTTGTTTCTACTAAAATCAACAAACCATGCGCCTGTCAGATTTAATTTATCGTTGCCTTTTTGTGTCGCACGCATGCACCTAAGTTGTCCGCACTCGTGTTAAGACCAACATGAAATTTTCTCGTGGTGAGCTTTTGCCCGGGTCTGTGAAAATATGGGTGAGCTTTTGTCCGGGTCTGTGAAAAAATGGGTGAGCTTTTGTCCGGTGAGCTTCTGCCCGGTGAGCTTTTGTCCGGTGAGCTTTTGTCCGGGATTCGAAAACTTGCGCGTGTTTGTCATTATTCTGTGTTTTCTCGGGACGAGCAGCCATGAAGATGACTCGCCGGCGTAAACTCGTTTAGGTTATAATTTGACAAATAGTTAAAAGGCGTGTGTGATTTAGGACGAAAAATGTAAGCAATCAATAACCTTGATCTAATAGATATCGGTAAACAATACAACTGATTGATGTCATCCTTGTGTACTCGTAAACTGTCGGACAGGAACCAGCACCCACCTGCGAATTACCAACTGTCATCCCATGGTTTAAATTATCGTTTTCCAAGTCAGTCAAGTGTGGAAACTGCGATCCAAGCAGCTGCTTCTTGCCGAACGATTGAGCAACGCGGAGGTAGCGGAGGTTTGGTGTACTCCCGAGGACCTGGGAGCCGCCATTTTTTATCTCTGCTCGTCTTGGCTTTAGCCAACTTCTATGGCGCAAAGACTGCGCTTTCTTGCGTATGCACGCAATTAAAAAAAAAAAAAAAAAAAAAAACAGCGTACGTTAAAATAGCGCTCGCAAAGCGCAAAACGTGGTTAGCGGTCGGCGCATGCGAAGTGGCGACGACGCTATTCTTTGCGTGCGCAAAGCTTTAGCGTGCGCTATTCTAAAACTCTCTAATGTCCTCTGCAAGTACGCGACCGCATTTTCGCAACGTTTCATTGTTTTCAGGCTTTTCACGTAAGATCGCCAGCTACTTTTGCTGCCATTGCTGCTGTTTCGTCGGTTTTGTTGGTTTTGAGCACAGGTTTTGAGGTTTGGTGGTCATGTGGGTCATGTGCAGTTTTTGCCCGTTTTGTCCGTAGACAACAGTAGCCAATCCAGCGCTATCCAGCCATTCAGTCACTGTTTCTGCCGGTAATGTTCCTCGGTTGTTCTGCTCGAAGTTGGTTAAATAGACAGGCCATTTCTACTGTGCGAAAGTACACACACGGTAGAGTACACGATCAAAGGTATTAGCGGTTTTGTGTTTTACGTTGGATGAGCTGAAATAGAAAAACGAGATGCCTGACTGTTGAACGATCGGCTATGGCTGGGCCACTGGACATTTAGAAAGCGCAGGTGGTGCACACTTGGCCACGTATTGGAAAGGGGAGTGACATCATTCAAATAGGAGCTCGATCGATTCCATTTAAAGGGTCGATTAGTCGCTATGGGGATGCTCGATCTTTTCGCGAAAATGGCTTAAGTCCCAGTTATTAACCTGAACTTCGATTGAAGGTTCCTCGCGCAAACCCTGCTATCAAAGCACAAAGAGACGCTTTTGGGTAGTTCAATATTTCTTCGGAGAACGTTGCATAAAAGCCAACAGCTTGACATGTTTCCTGTAATTCCCGAAGGAGATTGCCGTAAGGGTTTCCGTTATGCTAAAATTCTTTTACCATTGCCGTCAAAATGGACCCACCACACCACAGCTGGCAGTGCATCCTGAGGCGTGTCAGTGAGCCCGCGTGCCGCATAACGACGCCACCGACTTCTCTGGCTGTCTTTCAGAGTTCCGTACGCTCGGGGGCTTTCCACCAAGATCTGCAGGATGCCCACCATCGAGTCGCAGTTTGTGTCCCGTACGTATGACAACATTGTTAAGTCCGAGTCGGACAAGAACGAGTACCGAGGCCTGGAGCTCACCAATGGCATGAAAGTACTCCTCATCAGCGACCCAACGACCGACAAGGCAGCTGCCGCGCTCAACGTTCAAGTTGGTCAGTGGTCTCGGTGCAGGCTCGGCATTGAGCAACATTATTGGATCAACTCGGTTGTGGAACTCTTCCCCTCAAGTCTGCCACCCATCGTTTCAAGTGCCATCTAAAGGCAGCGTTTCAAAACTGTGTATTCCACAGACTATGGTGAAGTGCTATTTAGGCGCTGTGCTTCAAAACCTGTGTATTTCGTTGAGTACACTGTAGTTACCATAGCAGCCGTCCCCAAAACGGTAGCGCACGTCGAACAACAGGAGGCGTACCTTGTGGGGAGAAGGGGCGTACTGCTCGTGGAAGTGGTGTCTATGGGCAGTTCCATGACTGAGTTGGTCTAGTAACGTTGGCAATGAGCGATGTCGCCGGCAGGCGCGTTGCTTGGAAACCTTGTCGGAGCTTGAGGCGTCCATCGCTTGCTTCTTGCAGGCTACATGTCTGATCCGTGGGAGCTGCCTGGGTTGGCTCATTTTTGCGAACACATGCTCTTCCTGGGCACTGAAAAGGTCAGCCACAGCATGCGAGGTGCCCCACGAGTTCTGACAGCAACTTATCTTTTATCCCTTACAGTATCCAACCGAGAACGAGTACCACAAGGCAAGTGCACAAACAAACCGGTCACGGCTGTTGAACCGAACTTGGGGTAGATTCGTATGGGGTACGATTTGCCCGAACCTGGGGTAGATTGGTATGGGGGAAACGATTGGCCCGAAACGAGCTCTCCTGCTCGTTTGTGTGTTGTTCCCCTCTGCCCCGGTTATGGTTCAGTGTGTTCTTCACGAAAGCCAGGCATCTGTTTGGCGGCCAAACTGATTGGTGATTTGTTTTCCAGTACCTGTGCCAGCATGCAGGCAGTGCCAATGCCTTCACTGCGAACGACCACACTTGCTACTATTTTGATGTGGCCCCGGAGAATCTGCAGCAGGCCTTGGACAGGTAAGTCCCTGGGCAATCCACCCGGGTGGGCTGGTCGGTTGCTCCGCTGTTTTTTTAGTTGATTTTTTTTTGTCTCGACCTGGGGCCTTACTCCTTTGTCGCTTCCAATTGGAGGACTGGGGCAGCACTCGGCGTCGTTTCGGGGCCATTTTTGGAGATTTTTTGAGCTGTTGTGTTGAGCTAACACTTGACACAAGTCCGAAAATTCCCAAAAATGGTATTTATAGCTTTCTGGGGGCCTTATTGCCAACCTTTTTTTTTTAGTATTTTTGACAGATATTTCTTCACGAAATAGAGTGTGGGAAAATTGGCGTCTAAAGCCAAAATGCCTGCTAATAACCTCATTACTTGGTGCAATATGAGCTTTGTCGCTTTTGTGCCACTAAAGCCTTAATCATCGTAACCTACTGAGAAGTAGACAATGTGACCGAATAGATAAAACAACCGCTGAATCATTAATTGTTTTGTATGCATTTATCAAGAAGCATCTGTTTAAATAAGGACTTATCAGTGTTGATATAATTCTGTTACGAGCTTTACATAAAATTAAGCTTTGAATGTGATTTTTTCATGCTCAGTGTATTTTCTTATCAAATACTCATGTATGACACTTTTGCCATATAAACCACAAGGTTTGTTGTTATACTTCTGTTTTTTTTAATGCTAGTCATTATTTAGCCCATGTCATGTGGGAAGTAATGAACAATAGGGTAGTTCCATGCCAAACATCCCAGAAAATGGTACAGGCTATTGCCAATTTATTTGAAAAAATATAAAATTGTGATTGTTTGCTAGATTCTAAACAAAATTTGCCAAAAATAGTTTTGTACAAAAAAATTCTTGATCAGGTTAGCACTTTCTAAAATTTCCGAACTAGGTATAAGTTAGATATAGTTAGATACATTAAAAATATTAGTGATTAAAATGGGGAAGCTCAGTTACTTTTAAGTACTCTACTGAGGTTGTTCTTTCAGAGTTTATATTATATAATAGTTGTTTTAGTTTTTCTGGTATAAAGAGAACAAAACGAGATAGATTCAGCATTTAAAACAGAAAGCACTGTTGACCTTGAAGATATTAAAAAAAATCTGGGCTGGACTGTTGCTATATTTTATGCTTAAAATTATTTGAGAATGATAAAGCAAACAGGGTTTTCAAAACTAAATCTCAAAGTTGCCCAAAACTCACTTTTTCTGAAGATTTAGACCCAAATTAAGTACCTCCTGATAAAAATATGTGGGATGGATCATTAGGCACATCAGCTTGTAATTGTAACTAAGGAAGTTTTGTCGGAGTAAATTTTTTTTCAAGCAAGAGAAGAATTTTTAAGTGTAGCACCGGCATAATCTGCTTTCATGGCACCGTCATGCGCCTTCACTGCACAACATGCTCACACCACTGGTAATTCTTGATATGCCACAGGCCTTGTTTTACTACTACTTATTCCACAACAATGCAGTTTAAGGTACATGCAATATGCGGTATATGACCCAAACTCAATGTGCTTGGGGCTTGAAGGCATGTGGGATGTCTCGAATTACCAGTGGCCTACGCATGCTGTGCCGTAAAGCCACAGAATGCTACCACAAAAACCAATTACGCTGGTGCTGAACTTAAAAATTTTATTCTCGCTTAAAACTAAATTTATTCCGATAAAATTTGCTTAGTTACAAGGTAACAAGCTGATGTACCTAATGAGTCGTCCTGCATATTTTCTTATAAGGAGGGCCTCAATGCATAATTTGGGTCCGAGCCTTTATCAAAAGTAAGTTTTGGGCAACTTTGAGATTTGCTTTTGGGAAATCTGTTTGCTTCAATGTTTTCGAATAATTTTAAAAATTGAATATAGCAACAGCCCAGCCCAGGTAAGTTTTTAGAATACCTTCAAGGTTAACAGTGCTTTCTGTTTTAAATGCTGAACATGTCTTATTTTGCATTGGTTTACTCCAGAAAAACCAACATGAAAAACTGTTACATAATATGAACTCTATCATCACACAAAATAACTATCTCAAGAGTATTTAAAAGTAATTGTGCTTTCCCATTTTAATCACACATTTTTTAGATATTTTTATCTTAAACCTAGTTCGGCTTCACTGCTTAAATTTTACAGTGCTCACGGGATGAAGATTTTTTATTCTAGAAAATATTTTGGCAAAAGTTCATTTAAAATCTAGCATCTGACCACAATTTTTTTAGAAGAAATCAGCGATGGTTAGTATTACCGTCTGGGTCGTTTTGCATGGAATGAGCCAATAGAGAGCATGAATGTGAAACTAGCCAGAAATATAAGAGACTAGATTAATACCAATAAATAGGAACCAATATTAAAAAGGACCATTAATGAGAAAAGAGTCAAAGTACAGGCTAGCTGGTGGAAGTCAACCATTTCGTCGTTTACCCTGAGACTGGTTTTTTTTTTTGAAGAGCAGAAGTATTAATGTTTCTTTGTTTCTGGCATGGCACTGTTACAGAACCAAAGCTGTGCCATGGGACTGCAAGATAGTGGTCGCACTGTATTGGCCACTCCATAATGTGTAGCTAGATTACAAGTATGCGGTAGTAGAAAGGTGCTGGCATTTCTTACTTGTGAATAGGGTTTTTGAGAATATTGGTGGTAACACTGCATGATTGAAAATGTATAGTGGAGTCTGAGGGTGATGTGGATCATCCAAGACCATTTTGATACCTAATTTGGCCCTGAGCTGATAAAATTCGGTTTCGAATGCTCCTCTTGTAAAATTGCAAATGCTTGTACCATGGTGTTGAGAGTAGGGTGCATAAAGTACACAGTGTGGCGGAGTTAATCTGAAAGCATGGTTGCATTTCGTTTACCCAGCTTTTTCACAGCCACTTTGTGACTCTGAGGTGGTGTGCTGACTTATGGATCTCTCATTTCCCTACAGGGGTGCCTGCGACCCGATGAACGCGTGTCACAATGTATCGGTTGCACGTTAATGATCCTCGTCCGTCCTAAACTAATCCTCGGTTCTTCGATCGTTGCTTCAAAATGTATTCCCCCCTCCCTGACGCGGCTCAGAGTCTGCCATCGCTATTGCCAATGGGGTGGGATGCGCTTATCACTAGGACCAGTTTAGAGGGTAACGTCTGGTGCTTGATGCTATATGTACATCTAAAATCTGCTAAGGGCCACCTTTTTGTTGACTGCATTGTGCACTGCAACGCACAGCAGGTTTCTTTGAAATGTATTGGTCTTGCAACGATCGCTGTGCACGAGTGTTGCCCCTTGGTGAGTGGCCTGGGGCTCTGTCGAGCGCGCCTTTTTTTTTTGCTTCAGGTTCTCAGCCTTCTTCGTGTGCCCGCTGTTTAACGAGGACGTGTCGGACCGTGAGGTGAACGCCATCCACTCGGAGCACGACAAGAACCTCCAGAATGACATGTGGCGCCTTAAGCAGCTGGAGATGTCGACAGCCGACCCAAAGCATGACTACTGCAAATTTGGAACCGGTGGGCTCTTTTTTTATTTGCTTTGCATTTAGGGCTGATGCGCTACCCTGGTCTTCTGCAAGGTACACAGTCCTCTGGGTGTGCTCCTTTCCCAGACTGTGAGGGTAAGGTGTAATGAGGCTAGGAGAGAAGGTCCTCGGTGAAAAGGATTGGGGGGAGGAGGAAAGCATGAGGCGCATGTCAGCTCTTCAGACTAGCTGTGGCCCCATTCCAGCCATCCTTATTACCGTATTTCTCGAGTAATCGAAGCGCTGTTTGTGAATAAGACCTGTGCTCCTACTTTCCTGCCAAGCCATGTACAGCCAAGCATTGTGTTTTATGTAAGAAACATGAATATTGAGGTTGAGAAAACAATTCAATTGGGATTTCTGCATGTAGGATTTTCGCATGAGGATGTTATCTTTGTCCCGTAAGTCGCTGGGCTCTCTGTTAATCGCGACGATTGGCTATCCCCATGTCCCACGGGAAAGTGGCCATGTGGGATTTGGTTTTTAAGGTCTATGTAAGCATTCTTATTAATCCGTCTCTCAATTAATATTTGAGTAATTTTGTGGACATCCTACAGAGGTGTCAGAGTGCAACCGGCTTGCAGGTCGTACTCTGACTGAGCTGATAATGGCCAAATACCTTATTGCCAAATTTTTGTCGGTAATAGCTGACATTGCAGCGTAAATACGGAGTGCTCTCTTACATTAAAGGGAACCTGTTTTGTCGGAAAAATCATTGTGCAGTCATACCTTCAACGTCACTAACCGAAACCAAAGCTGTGACTCTGGTGGACAACATTGGCATTGTGCTGTCATTCAGACGAAAGAGCCACATGGCAGAAAGATATCTCAATGATCAAAGCAAAAAAAACGGGCACATCACAAACATCTTTTGCACACATCCAACAGTATCTGCTTTACTGCAGTCTTCGTGGCATTTTGAATGCAAATACCTCTTCTTGTAAACAACATGTTTAAGAGGCAGACTTGAAAATCCACGCCATTGTGCTGCGACGAGTATGTGTATATGTTCCAAGGTGCAGAATCAATGTGCCATGCTCATTTGCAGCTGTATCTAAGGGGTGTAGCATAACACACTTGTACTAGTCATTTCTAGGGCTACTTTGTTCAAAAGAAACCTTGCGCCAAGTTACCCGAGTAGCAAGGAGAATCTTAATTACAAAAGCACAAAGGACAAGGACAGAACAAAGATACAAACAGGACATTGATTCGGCACATTCTAAAATAATCAAGAGAGGAATTGTAAAAAGCTGCTTCATACCAGCCTTGCAAAAATCATGCGAGCACACAGCCAAGCAGAGTTTTGGGGTACAAGTTAAAAAACTTGTACCCCAAATCAGGAATCAGGATATACCAGTTCCTTATTGTCCGATGTAGCAGAGAGCTCGACCACTCATAATTAAAGAAGAAGAAGAGATAAGGCGCCCCGACCGGCAGTGATACCCTACCAACACAAAGTCTCGCACAACTTGAAATGAATAGTGTCTAAATATGACATACAGGTTGTAACATCAGCCCTGATAAACTTAAAAAAAACTGTGCCCGAAAATAAACTCCCAAAACGAACGACAAAACAAAAAATTCTCAGTCCAGCATGCACATAGATATGTCAACTGCAACGTCAATATCGTATACGAAATTCCGTGCACATGTGGGAGAGTGTATGTTGGTCAATCTGAGCGCTGCGTTAATGTATGACTACGAGAGCATGACCTTTCCCTACATTCGTCACCATCAGGACACCTAGTCATACATGTCAGAGACAGTGAATGCGCTTTTCTATTGAATCAAACAAAAGTCCTCAATCGCTTTCGAAGTAAAAGAGCCAGAGAAATTTTTGAGGCAAAAACCATAATAGAAAAAGGAGACACATGCATTAGCACACCATCAATATCACTGTCCGAGAAAGAGATAGGGTACCTCAAACTTTTTTCTTCATCCGGCTGCTTTTCTTTTTTATCGCTCTCCTTTTTCAATTTAATTTTGTTGATTTTTTATATTTTTTAAATTTTCAAATATTTTTTTTTTATTTTTTGTGTGAATGCATTTAGCACTTTGATTTAGTATTTCTCCTCTCATTTTCGTCTTTCTCTTATCATGCATTAAACGATCAGTTGATAGTAAGCACTTGTCCTGTTCGTATCTTTGTTCTGTCCTTGTCCTTTGCGTTTTTTGCATTTAAGATGTTTACCTAACTAGCCCAACAGTTAATTTTAATTTAGCAAGGAGAATTCTGGGAACGTAGGTGCACACTCCGCATGTGTTTGCTTTATCAGTGTAAAAGAGTAGAGGTAAATACCCAAAAAAAAGGCATCGACGAACGCACATGGAAAGTGCTTATTGTTTTAAATTCTTGTTTTAGAACAGTTACTGCTGCAGATGCCAGCATGTGCAGCATGTGCAGCATGTGTAATATACTCGGAGTATGCTCTTCGGCGAACGGTGCCAGGCAAAAATGCGTAGAGTAGGATGGCTGTACGCTGCATCCACGGCTCCGTCTAAATTGCGAATTGTGGAATAAACATTGCATACCTTTTGGGAGAGGGGGAAGTGCACTTCATGACACATGGGGCCTATGCAGGCAGTAAAAAAAGAATGTTCTTTGGGAACGCTTTATGAGAAAAAGTGATAAGGAGCTTTGCCCGTCTGAATCAGGTGGACTACGGTGAGTTTTGCTAAAGACTCGTGTTGCTCCAGGGAACAAGGCTACATTGGACAGCCTTCCCAAGGCGAGGGGCCTTAATGTGCGGGAGCAACTGCTTCAGTTCCACAGGCAGTGGTACTCCTCCAACATCATGGCCCTGGTAGCCTTGGGCAAAGGTAAGCGCCGACGCTACGGTCCCTGCGTCTCCCACTGGTGTGTTTGGCATCCTATGCCGCCCATGCGTCCAAAGGGTCCCAAAGTGCCAACAAATGACGTCGCAAAAGCCTGAGTGTCACGCTGTCGGATGTCACAATCCCGGCGGTTGGGCTTACAAATTCTGGAGAAAAGCGTGAGAATGCGGGGGACGCTGTCGTCGCGGTATTGCAATTCCCGGCTGCCGAAGCTTCCGCGGACTGTCGAGCCGGAGAGCGACCTGCAGCAGAACAGTGGCCAGCGACAGCGTGACACTTTTATGACGTCATCGGGCAGAAATGGAGGGAGCCCACCGGTCGGAGATGGGTTGCAGGCACTGTACCGAAGCCAAGCGGTGGGCCCCCACAGAGTGTCTGCCTTTGCAGAATCGCTGGACGAGCTGACCGAGATGGTGGTGCCCCTGTTTTCGGCCGTTCCCAACCGTGGAGTGAGTCGGCCGGAGTGGGCCCAGCACCCCTACGGCCCCGACCAACTCAAGGTGGGTGTCGCGACGACTGCACCGAACGCACCTGCAAACATTTTCCCGGGTAGGAGAATTTCAGTCTGCATTGCCATTCTGTCGACGGCCTCGAGCTCTCTCTTTGCGGGAGTGTACGTCCATCTCTGCTGCCGGACCATCTGCAGTTCCTTTTTGCTGCTACGGAGAGAGGAAAAGGAAAGTGTTTTTTAAAGGCGTCATAGAACATCTTTTCTTTAAATTTGATGTTTTTTTATACAAATAGATGCACGAGAAGTTACGCGAAAGAAAAATTTAGGCACTGTTGGAATACAAGGTGGCCCATAGTGTAAGCTTCGCATGCATCAAACCAGTCTGGGAATTGAATAGTTTAAGATGTCTAGATCAGTATTTCCCTTCAGTAATGTGTACAAATATTTTAGCGTTGCTGTACGATGCCAAGTCGATAAGAACTCGATTGGAGCCTTTTTGTAGAAGAGCGTAAAGTACTCGTCTCTTTTACGCTGGCTGTAAATGAAGCATAATTCGCTGTGTCTGCACCTTCTCTAATCTGTCTATGTTTGATGCTGGATCTTAATCCTGAGAGGCATATATTCTAGCACAGGTCCTGTATGGAGTGTTTTTGTATTGAAAAGCTTCTTTAGGTCAGGGATTGTCAACCTTTTCGATCTTGAGAAACCCCCACCTTCTTTCAATAGCAGCCGAGGAACTCTTTCCGGTCTCGGTGTTGGCGCAATATAGCAGCGCAGAGGCTTACAGACCTTTTAAAGATTCATACACATACAGCATATATCTAAATTGCAGTAAAATATAATAGAGGGAACTATGGCTATTATGCAAGATAATATAGACAGCAATGTCCTAACAAGCTGTGTACATAAGAGAGTTTGCTTGTTTTTTCATATTTGACATTTGAAGGATGCATCTTTGGGCCTAGTGTAAAATCCGAAATGAATACCCACCCATGGCAAAGGGATAAAGGGTAAAAGATGCCAGGTTGGCGATCTATGGGGATGCAATAGCAAACTTATTCAAAATTTGTGATAAATACCTGGGCACCTGCTGTGAATCCACATTTTACGGTGCGATACATGTGCGTTCCACAATGCAGTAGAACATGCAGGAACCTGCAACAAACTTTCATGTCACAGGAACCAACGCCACAAGTTATAGTGTCTGGCCAGTGTATAAATCAGTGACCAGACATCGAGCCATGATAGAAATGATTTAGGACTGTGGCTCGAAGCAGTTTTAAAAACAGCATAAACCGGCACCTTGTGTCGTGTCCTAAAGAATAAATTCTTTAAAATATGGTTTACATTGTGTGCTTGAGTTTGAAAGATCTATCTCCGTGCTTTGTTTATTGTATGGCATCATATTACCTCCTAATTTTTTAATCCTGTACAAGCTTTTCTGTATGCATTGTGCAAAGTGTGGTGTTTGGTTTCTTTGTTACGGGTTGTTTTTTTCTTGTATTTTTTGTTTTTTGTTTTTCTTCCTCTTTTTTGGTGTTGTTTTGTTGTGCTTGCTGAGCAGTGCAAACAAGTGATAGGGCCATGTCGGGCATATCAAGTCTACCTTTTGCCCCGTCACCCTAGACCTTGTGCCCAAATAAACCTAACAAAACTAGAAGCACTCTGTGATGGATTATTATTAGCGTGGTACGAGAAACTAAGTAACAGATGTTCTCTCCAGTATGTCGTTTGCACACATTTATGTAGGGGCTGTGGCCAAATGGTGCACTGCTCAGGCGGCCTCTCAGAAAACAGTTATGTAATCGCTGATGGTTGGCATTGTTTTTGCCTCGGTGAATATCCCCCCCGTTTCCGCCTCTCCTATATTACAAGAGCGGCAGAGGAGGGAAGGAAGAGACCCAGAGAGGGGGACGAGGTTTCACACGTTAGGAGGAAAAGAGGTCAAACCTCTGGGAGGGAAAGTGGTGAAGGAAAGAGGGGAGGGAGCGAGAACACGTGTCAGCCTTGGAGGTAACAAAGATTTAGGGGAATCGATGATGGGGTCTCATGGCGCTCATTTACGTGACTTCACTTCTAAGATAATGGGGAGAGTCTCTGTGAACATTCTTGTCGTGTTTACCACGCCTAGAACTTGGGGTTGGAGTGAAGCCAGGCGCTTTCATGTGGTTCTCTCTCCCCTGGCAGGTTCTGGGCCACATAGTTCCCGTCAAGGACAACCGCTACATGTACATGACCTTCCCGACCCCGGACATGCGCAAGCACTACAGATCAAGTGTAAGCCCTTTTTGTGCAGCTAATTCTCAGAGAAGTACCAGAGCGAGTGTGGGCGGCACCAATCAGGCAGTTCTCCTAACTATAGGTTTTGGCAGTAGAAAGTTTGAGATGGGTAACTGAAATACTAGGTGCCAAGAGTTCTACAATAGACCTTTTTCAAAATTCAGTACCATTTGGCGGCTCAAGAAGCAGTTTCTTTTTCAACTAACTGATAGCGGATGAGAATTGGTTCTTCAATCACCTCATGGTTTTTTCTCGAGTTGCTTTAGTTTTGATGGTGTGAACACAAGAACTGTTCAGTACAAAGTGGTGACCTGTAAGCCCCTTGATTAAATTTCCACCATCAAAAGGCTTTAGAGCCAAACTTGTGCCAAGAGATTGCTTGGCCCACACTCCGAAATAAACGCTTCTGCAGCCATTGTATCTAATTTGTGCTTTGTGTTCTTACATTTTAACGTACAGGCCTCGTATATCCTCCGCTCTCTAGTATCTTCAACTTCTTCCTTCATCAGCCTCAAGAAAGCCGCCATTAGTTTGGTACAGATGCCTTACACTGAGATGATAACAGTGATAAAAATTGCCAGGCTGAATTGCGAAAAGGGTCTATTGGGGAATATAACTCCTGGTAAGGCACACTGCTATTGAAGACAACTTTTGGAACTCTCTCATCAATAGAAGTTAATTAGAGGCAACGAGCCGCTCCTTCCTTCCTTTTGGTGATGTCGATAATTCATGCAATGGTGTTCTAAAAAAAAGGTGTGGTGCCATCTGGCGAGCAGATGGGAAGGTTTCAGTCAGTCCGTGGTTCCCGCATGCAGAAGAGTCTCCCTGTGTCTTTCTGTGGCTCTCACAAAATTGTGTTACGAAGCACATGTTACCCATGTGGCTTTCACTACAAACCTACAACATGAAAGGGAGGTTTCCAACTGTACGATTTTGAGGATTTTTAGGTGAGCTGTACGAAGCACAGCGTAATTGAAGATTAAGGGCGTTCCACTGTGCCCCAGAAATTAAGTCCTTGCGTTTTCTTCTTCAAGGTTTGTTAAATAAGACATGCCAAATATAGTAGGGACTGAATGACCCACCTTATCCCTGTGCCCTTGCAAGAATCGCGTGTTTAATTGAAAACAGTAATGGCAATATTATTGTAACTTACAACACAGAAATCAGAGTGCTGAGGCATTTTTAGCACATGCAGTTTTAGAGTGCCGCTCTTAAGTGCCCGTTCCCAACTTTAGTGGCGTCGCTGTCATCGTCGCCGTCGACAACGGTGTTGGTGACGAGAGAAATTTAGCAAAATCCCACTAAATGGGAAGGGAGCAGAACAGGAGGAGGGGAAAGGGAGGAGGGACGTACTCTTCCCTCTGCACCCTACCCTCCTCCTCCTCAAGAGCTGTGCTCTAATTCGGCATTACAGAGAATTGCAAGCGTCTTTCATATTTTAAACCATGAAATGTTTTTTTTATGCACCACCCCCCCAATCCCAAAATTTTGTCCGTCCATCCGTCCGTGCATTTTCTGCTAATGTCAGGCGACCTGTACACCTTGGGGTAATTGATGGCACGTGACCTATGCACCGATTCGGTTACCCGCTAAATTTAGCGGGAAGATTCATGTCTTGTTACCTACACCAATCCAGTTTCCCCGCTTGTGAAGATATTAGTCACCTGACACAGCAATTTCCTCGCCCCTCTCCTCCCCTCCCTCTCCTAGCAACAACCCCTAGATAACCCTGGGTGATGTTGCTCCCAGGGTGTTTCACAGCATTCCATGCATTAGAAGACCTTGAAGGCAAAAGTCACTGCCCATTTTTTCCTTGGTTCTTTTGGAATGAAGATCAAAAGTCGTGCAAACTAAATTTCAAGCAGGGTTTTTTGGTGGGACTGAGTTTGTGTGTTTGCTGGTGAGTTCTTACTTTTGCCGCCTTGATTTTGTTTGCTCAGATTTATCATTTATTTATTTGGAAAGAGCTTGTCGGTATAGTTGAAGACCCTTAGAAAATCTCACGACTGTTTTTGCTGGTAAAAGTTTTTTAGTTTTTTTTTTTTACCAGTGTTTTTTTGTTCGCAAGTATTGGGGCCACTTTGTGTCTAGATTGACCAGAAACTCCAGCTTGGTAGTTTCAGCTCAGTTTTACTATGACCAAGAAACTCGCCGAAAACTTTTGGGGGAAAAAAGAGACGCATAGCGTATGGGGATGATTGCTGCATTTTAGGCAATCTCATACAGTTCCGAAGAAAGTTACTGGGTGGGAGTAGGGTGCTTCAGTGGTCTACTCTTTAGCGTGATGCCACCCTTTGTGGCGCCCGATGTTGACGAGGTGCGCTTGCGGGGAAAATACAAAGAAATGGGGGGAAACAAAATGCCGCCGTAACAGAGGTGAATGCCAAGAGCTCGAGCCGAGAGAAGCTCTTTTCACACGCAAAATGATCCGATGTCATCGCCCTAAGACGGACACCCCAGGCTGGACTGTGGCAAATAATGTTGACTCCATTGTTGCGCTTTCCTCTCCATGAGGTAATCTGGAATAGCCCCCGAGGCACCAGCATGAGCTGCGGCTTCAAAGTGTTTTTTTGACAGATTGTTCCGCAAATTGTCGCTATTGTGAGGCACGTCATAGCCACGCTGCCTGGCACTGCTTGTGGCACACTTTTCTCGCGGAGTGGTGCCGGGCTAGCAAGGCTGGGAGTTGTTGAGCCCCCGTTTCCCACCACAGCCCGGAGACTACCTGGCCCACCTGATTGGCCACGAGGGGCCCGGCAGCCTGCTCTCGGAACTGAAGGCACGAGGTAGGCGGTGCCCGGGCGGCCCCCATTCGGTGCACGGTACAGTTTTTTCCCGCAGGCTGGGTGAACTCCCTCATGGGCGGAGAGAAGGACGGAGCTCGGGGCTTCAGCTTCACCATAGTGAACGTGGATCTGACCGAGGAAGGCCTAGGTGAGTGCTCGACGTTCACCAGCCCCCCCTCCCCGTATTCTTACCCCATTTCCTCCTATGTCGTTGGCGGTATTTGGGATCCAGGCCCGCCAGTGCGTAGCCAATGATTGCTACATATCGAGCGAAGAAACCGGCAGAGTGACAGGACTCGGGAGATGTTTGTCCCCCAAACTGGGACTTGCGTTGAATTCTGGGGTCTGTGGGAGAGTCCTGTCTCTGTTCCGTCGTTCACCACTTCCCTTTTGAAGATTGTGGTAACTTGCTACCTATACATGCTCTTCCAGAAAAAAGACCTTGTTCAGAAGCAGCTCAACTGTTATTTCGCTCAATATGGTAGACCAGTGGTTCTCAACCATTGATGTTTCGCGAACCCCATGTGGATTGGCAGAGATGATAGAGGACCCCATTTGTGGTGAGGGGAAGGGAAAGGTATAGGTTAATTATGATAATGATTTAATAAATGGATACAACTAAGGGCTATGTGAAGTAGACTTCGTTGACATACACACGAGAAAACTCAGCAGAATATTGGAATGTTTCTTCTCAATCTGAAAAAAGACAACTTTTATTGCCGGGCTTGCCTGATGAGAAATGGCTTTGCGAACCCCTGGGATGCCTTCACAGACCTTCATTTGAGAACCACTGTGGTAGACTATAAAAAAGCCGTATAATATGGTGGGTTTATTTTTACAGATTTTATAGATGGAAATCGATCGGAAAAACTTGATTGTGCAAAGCTATTACCGTAGATGGGGTCCGTTAACTCTAGTTTGTTCCCCAGTTATGAAATTTTGTTCCCGTAAAATACTCGTAGTGAAAAATGTCACTGCCAAAATCGGAAAACATTAAGCGTGCGAATAAGCTGTTGTTTAGAATATTTTTGCGAGGCCAGAGGCAGCAGACGCCGAGCTCAGTTTACGCAATTGAGTGGCAATGTAGAAGATAATAAAAAGAAGATTTGAGGCCGAAAATGTCTCGTGAATGTCTAGCGACTTTACCGTGACAACTAGAAAATAAATTAACATTTCTACAAAACACTCAGTTTTGGAAGGAAGCTCGTGAACAAGTAAGGGAAATATAGCATTTTGAAACCAGAAGTGTGACTCATATTGGTACGTGGACCATGGTATTTCACATGCTTATGATCCCAGACTGAGTCCAAGGTGGTCAGTGTATTGCTGTTTATTAGCGTCATTCTCCAAGATCATAGCAGTTACTCACGATTGCACCTTGGTGCCGCAGCGAATAACTGGCTGGTTCAGACTTTTGCGTTGATAACAACAAAACAACAGCACACCGGGACAAGTATCAAATCACTCTTGATTGCCTCACGAGGCTGCTGCTTGAATTGCTTGCCACATTGTGTACGGCAAACATTTTTTGTGGCGGCTGTGTCAGTCGCTCTGAATGTAACCAATGCACCTATCTGAACCAGGCATTAGTCACTGTTTCTAAGTGGTATAGCAAGTGACATCGTATGTAGAAACTGCTTGTAAAGAGTTTGATGTATATCCTACGGTTCTAATGTGATACATTGATGCGCGGGAAATGATAAATTTTGGTGCTGTTGATTCTTCGGTGATTCTAGCTACCGTATTTACTCGCAGAATGAAGGCACTTTTTTTTTTTTCCAAAAATCGATGTAAAGTTGGGGGGGGGGGGGGGGGGGGGGGGGGCGTTCATTACGCGAAGTAAAATTTTTGCGTCCATATTTACTCGTATTTACTCGCATAATGAACGGACCTTTTATCCTGAAAAATCGAAGCAACTTCTTATCTCTTTGCGCGCGGCGCCCGACCCCGTAACCAAATTAAGCCGTGCAAAAAAAGAAAAAAAAGAAAAAAAAAAAACTCCTCTTTGTTTTCTTGTTTCTTGTTTTTTTTTCGCCGCCTTTCGCAAGCTCTTTTGTTTGCTTAGGCGAGGGCTCTCCGCTTACCTTTCTTATCTCCTTGCGCGTGGCGCGCGACGCACGACCCCCCCCCCCCCCCCCCCCGTAAGCAAGCTGCGCTGTGCAAAAAAAAGAAAAAAAAGCTTATCTTTTCCTTTTGTTTTTTTCTCAATTCCGTAAGTTTTTTTTTTTTGCCGTCTTTTGCAAGTTGTAGGGCTTCTCCGCTGCTCTTTTTGACCTCCTTGGAGCACTTGCGCGCGGCGCGCGACCCCCCGTAACCAAACTGCGCTGTGCAAAAAAAAAAAAGAAAGCTTATTTTTGTTTTTGTTTTTTCTTAGTTCCGCGGGTTTTCTTTTCTTTTTTTTTTCTTTTTGCCGTCTTTCGCAAGCTTCTCCGCTTCTCTTACCTCCTTGGCGCGGCAGCGCGCGAACCCAAAGTCCAGACTGCGCTGTGCAAAAATAAAAAAAGCTCCTATCCATGTTTTTTTTCTTGCTTCCGTTGTATCTTTGCGAATTTTTTAACGCCTTTTGCAAGCCGTTTTGTTCGCCTACGCTGCCCATGCATTCGCGACCTCGCTGCACCAGGATAGAAAAGTGCGTTCATTTCGCGCGCGTGGGGGGAGGGGGTCAAAATTTTGACATCCGAGTTGGGGGTGCGTTTATTACGCGAGTGAAAAAAAAAAAGTCTAAATTTCGAGAGCAGACTTCGGGGGTGCGTTCATTACGTGAGTGCGTTCATTGTGCGAGTAAATACGGTAAATATCTCGTACATGACTGGCTGGAGCTCAAATCTGCTCCGAGCAGTGGGGTGTTGGAAGCATTGAACTGTCGCTGAAAATGCCAACCTGTTTCAGACCACTCGGAGGACATTGTGACCCTGGTATTCCAGTACTTGAACATGCTTCGCAAGGAAGGCCCCCAGGAGTGGGTCTTTAAGGAGCTGCAGGACCAGTCGCGCATGGCCTTTCGCTTCAAGGGCAAGGACACTCCCCAGGGCTATGCTCGTGACTTGGCCAGCCTGGTGCACGTGAGTGGCTCGTGGTGCGAGCTATGTTCCGTTTCACACCTAGTCTGAGCACAGCTGACAGTGCGATTCAATGGATCAAGCAGCGCCAAACGCATCCTGACGGCACTCGTCAGCATCTTTATGCTCTTGCTATCAGCGGCTAAGCCAATCACGCAAAGAAAAAAGCGCAGCATCACCGGTGACAGGAAATTCACAAAGATGGCGAGCGCCGTGATGATGCACTTTTGGTGCTGCTTGCTCAGCTCCGTTGGGTCGTAGCGTCGGCTGCGCTCGGACTTCTAACCATCCGCAGAGGGCTGTCTGAGGCTGCCTGGAGCTCTCCGACTCTCTTCGTGCAGCTCTTCCCGATGGAGGACGTGTTGGCGGGACCCTACCTGCTCGAGGACTACCGGCCCGACCTGATCGAAGACCTACTGGGCTACCTGCGACCAGACAACGTCCGGTGAGTGACGCTCGAGTCACCGTGCTCGCTTTGTACTTTTATCGGGGTAATTTGTTAGTTTATTGCGACCACATGCTTTTGTGTGATTTATGTTTGGGACATGTGCCTTTGCCAGGAACGTAGACTGGGGGACGTGGTTCCCGCTGCTCCTTAGTAGCTTTGTGCAATGTCCGGACAATGCTGGAATGGCAATGATAGCGGTGTGGATGTCTCTGAAGAAAGATGAGTGTCAATTTTAATGCAAATTTTTTTTTTTTTTTTGGGGGGGGGGGTCAGTAATGTTTGTTGGAAAATAAGCTAACAACAGACACTACTACGTTTTCATTCCATCCCCTGAGGCCTCAAGGGGAGTTTAGTGGTCTGCTACCTTTGTTGTAACATTGACAAAGTGCTTACCGGGAGTTTATGGGATTGGAGATTGTTGTTGAGTGCCGCAGAACCATACTAATAATGAATTTAATGTGTCACGTGACGTTCGTGGCATCCGCACCAGGTAAGAACCGGTGGCCGCGTCCATTCTCCATGACCTCTGGCATGTGCACATTGGGTCCCGGCACGTGCCTCAGGTGCACTGCTGCAGTAGCTTCAATTAATTTACCTGCATTTCCTGCATCGATGCAGGTAAATGAATCGAAGCTACTGTACGTCAAGCAAGTTGTCTGTTCTTTGCACAAAGGTGCTGTGACATCACTGTACGTCTGCAATAAACAGTCAATGTAATGAACCGGCATTTTATAAATGGTGGCACATGTGTGCTATCAGAAGAAAGCTCAAAGTGTGATGCAATAACTATGCCAAATATAATCAGTTCCATAATGTTGTTCCCTGCCTCAGTATACAAAATAGGAACACTAATTGATAAAATGAAGAAAAAAAAAATTGTCGCAGTGGAGGACAATGACACAACGCCTTTGCTATTAAACATGCAGCTGGAATTATTAGCCCTATACTATCAAGTGTAGCAAATAATATGTTATCAAGTGGTATTTTTCCTAACAGCTTGAAGTTAGCTAAAGACCCTCATTTTTAAGGGCACTAGTCATACAAATCTTGGAAATTACAGGCCAATTTCTGACTTGACAGTTTGTTCTACAATATTTGAGAGCATGAAAGAACTGCGTGGAAAGTTTTGTTTATGAAGCACAAAGGTATATCAATTCTGCGCTATACGGGTTCTAAAAAGAAAAATCAATGGAGCAAGCTTTACAAGAAAATAAAGACAAATTGGTTGCAAATATCGAAGATAAAGTAATTACACTAGGCCTGTTTTTAGACATCAGGAGAGCATTCAATGCCGTTCAACACAATATTTTTATAAAAAAAACTAGAGCATTACGGCATTCTCAGTGTTGCACTCTCATCAGTTGAATTGTTTGCAATACATTACGATTGGCCACCCATAGTTCATGACTGGTTAAGAGTTCAGGGGAAATTACACCCACCCCTTTCCACTTTAGCAAAGCGAACGCTGGAAAGGAGGTGGCCTCCTTTCTGGCATTCGCTCTGCTGAAGTGGAAAGGGGTGAGTGGAATTTCCCCTGAATTCCTAACCTATCACAAACTACAGTGTCAAATAAGTTGGAAACACAGCATGGCATCCCACAAAGTTCTATTTTAGGCCCATTACTTTTTCTAATTTATATTGCGAGCGTTCCAGGTTCCCCAGAGTTAATAATATTTGTGGACAACACCAATATCTTTTTTAGTGGAGCAACACTGGAATGTCTGCAGGATAAAGCAAACACTTATCTTGTTAAGCTTTCTAAATGACCGCAGTTTAACAGACTACAATTAAACAGATGTAAAACAAAGTACCATATTTTCCAGTGTATAGGTTGCATTTTTTCCCCTCAAATTTTCATTGATGTGTCTTATACAATGGTGCGATTTATATGCATTGTTTGTTTTCTTTACGTAGGAACCATAACTGCACAAATTTGCTGCAGGACTAATCTTTCTCGTTCAATTTGTTGACGAGAACATTGAAACTGGCTCCCGCTTCAGCATATATCATGATCATAATACACATATACAGACAGGTACATGAATACAGTTTTGCCATGCCGACCATACAAATTATTTTTTATGGCCAGTATTTTGTGAAAATGGCCATTCATACAGGAGTGTGACTTATAGATTGGAAAATACAATATGCAATTTTTAAACCAGCAACAAAACATTTACGAAAAATCTCTATATTATATTTGAAAACAAAATATTAGAACAGGTAACAGAGCAAAAGTTATTAGGCATATGGTTTAATCGAAAGTTGAAATGGAATACACATGTCAATATATATAAGGGGAAATTATCCCGAGTTGGGGGCAGTATTTATAAAGTAGCAAGCCTTGTTCCCAGGTGGCTTATTGAAACACTCTATTACTCCCTATTTTTCTCAAAAGTGTTATGGAATTTTTATTTCAGGTGCATTGATAGTATCTAATTATAGACACATACTAACTCTACAAAGAAAAGTCCTATGACTACTTGACAATTATAGCGGGACCATAAGAGAACTGTGCTCCCAACCACTTTTTATCAGATATAGTATCTTGAATGCAAATCAGGTATCTTATATTTTGAATTTCTTCAATTTATTTATACATAAAAGAAAGTTCTATGTCACTGCCGGCAAACTAGAAACAACATCGTTGTACCTGTTGCATCGTGTTACCTGAAGCATTCAAACTAATTACGAAATCCAGAGTTCAAAACATCAAATAATTAACTTAATAATTAACACACCCGACATAAACTATACACAATAATACCTAATATTTAAAAAATGCACTACATCACTGGTAAGTAGTGATATGAAATTTCAATGACATTCGCTTTATATTGTATTAGGAAACAAAAATATTTATGAAGTTTTTGTTTACATACTGTTTGTGAATTGGCTCCTTGCATGTTCATTTCCACATTTTGCAAGATTAATTTTTTTAATCATTATATCTTATTTACGTACATATTTCTATGGTATCGCAAAAATTTCAATTATTCCATATATGCTCGAAACTTCCAGCTGTTTGTATTTTTTTCGCCATTTACGTCTTTATGTGAACTATAAAGGCTAATTCACATACCAACTTATTGTGAAACAGAGTATAACTCGGTCATCTGCAAACGCACCCAACCTTGACTTCCGCAAGTTTTTAAAATCAATAGACTTTCTCCTTCTAGGACACCCTATACATACATTTTATCTCGCAAACACCGCAAAACGTTGGCTCTGGTGAAATGCAGTTCCAAGGCCAGCTCATAGGTGGCACCAGCATGCCGGTGTGTTTTCTTGTCGTAGGGGATTGCAAGATCTCGTTTATAAGTGAATGCAAATGTGTGAACGGGCCTTTAGCCCTCCATTGTATCTGCTGCGCCGAATGTGCAACAAACCGGTACGTGAAGAACGGCAGTCGGTGAGAGCGGGTGGGTGCGCTGTTGTTTGCAGGATTGCCCTTGTGGCCAAGCGCTTTGCGGGTCAGACGGACTCGGTGGAGAAGTGGTACGGTACCATGTACAAGCTGGAGCCCATTGCGGAGACGGTGCTGCAGGTAGCGTAGCCGGTGCGGCGTGCCCCTCCCCTTGCCCGTCCGCTCACTCACTGTTTCTCTCCGGCAGAAATGGAGGGAAGCTGGCACCCATGAGAACCTGCGCTTGCCTCCTCGCAACGAGTTCATTCCAAACAACTTCGACGCCTGTGCCCGCGAGCCCGAGGTGGGTATGATGCGTGGAAGAGAGAATTTTTTGCAACATACGTTGCAAAACCAACTCTCTCTAGAGACGTCTTAAAACAGAAGCACGTTTTGGAATTGCTCCTACCTCAAATTGTGTCTCATGACGTCAATTATGCACTAAGAAATAATTTTTCTTCAGATATAGTTTGTTGTGACATACATGTCCTACCAAGTACATAAGAAAAGCAAAAAACTTACTTTGATAGTTTGCATAAAGCCGACGGACGCAGAGTATGTCATGTGATTGTGTCAACCTGTTTGGTTCTGTTGCGTCTGCTTTGACAGTTTGGCTTTTTGGCAATCTGTTATAAAATAGAACATGAACGCACGACAGATTTTGCATCGTCGGCTTTATGCAAAGTATCAAAGTAAGTTATAACTTTTACAGCGGAGCTGTTAAGGGCTAGCTTCCCGAGGATCGTGTCCCCCGCAAAGAAATGTCGACGGAAAACTCTGGACGGCTACCGCCATCTATGAGCGACGGCGGGAACCAGACAACCGGCTTGCCGGCCTCGCTCATAGATGGTGACAACCTCTCCAGCCTTTCCACTCTAATTTTCACCAGAGTGGAAAGGCTGAATTTCTCTAGGCGTCGTCCTAGACGTTGTCCTTGAGTTTGTCCTAGAAGTCGTCCTTGAGGTCGTCTTTGAGGTTATCCGAGAGGTTGGTTGTCCTTGAGGCCGTCCTAGAAGTTATCCTTGTCGTCCTTGAGGTCGTCATAGATGTTGTCCTCGAGGCCGTCCTTGAGGTTGTCTTTGATGTCGTCCTAGACTTCATCCCTGAGGTCTTCCTAGGCGTCGTCCTAGAAGTCGTCCTTGAGGTCGTCCTAGAAGTCGTCCTTGAGGTCGTCATAGACGTTGTCCTTGAGGTCGTCCTAGAAGTTGTCCTTGAGGTTGACCTTGAGGTTGTCTTTGATGTTGCTCAGACTTCATCCCTGAGGTCTTCCTAGGTGTCGTCCTAGAAGTCGTCCTTGAGGTCGTCCTAGACGTCGTCCTTTAGGCGTCGTCCTTGAGGTCGTCCTTCATAGTACAGCTTCACTGGTCTTCCTTCTTCACCAGAGTGGAAAGGCTGGAAGTTTTTTTCTCTCATTCTTATTACGCTTGCGGGTGATTATATTGAGACCTTTGTAACCTATCGTCTTCCTAGGCGCCATGTTTTGCGGTCACTTGAGTATGTATATAGCTACTAAAATGATGACTTTCTAAGTCGCTCCGGTAGGGCAAGGGTAGAGCATCGGACTAATAAGCGAGAGTTAGTTGGTTCGATTCCCGCAATGGACAATGTGGTTTTGCAAGGAAATCTGCCTGTGTCGCCTTTTTTTTTTTGTTACTGTATTTTCCGGACTAAATCTGCACCTGGTGCAGGGACAAATTTCATTTGAAGAAAAAAGTTTTTCTTTAGGTAGTTAGCACCCGACGCATAGTCCGCACCTTGTGCATAGTCCACACGTAAGAAGCCTCATACACAGTACACCTCGGGAAATGCCTGCTTTGTTGTCTCCCAAAGAAGCTGGTATTCTACATAGATCATCTGTAACATACTGTGTCATTCACAAAATCTGCCAAGTTTTGTCAGAATGAACAATCTAGAAAAAGCAAATCCTTGTATAGTATGCACCTTTAGATATTCTGCACTACACAAAATTTCAAATTTTAAACATGTATGGTTAGTCCAGAAAAAGTGGTTCAACCTTTCGTGATTCCCTAGACTTGAAACCAGCCCTAAAATTGAGTTAAAATGATGTTGCTCTCAATAACACAGAGCCTAAAAGTCTGAAGTAACTCGTTTGGACTGGTGGTGCTGTTTTTTTGGAGGTAGTCAAAACAAGCTAACTGTTTGATGTTTCTTATTAAAATTTTAGATTTTACTTTTGTTACAGCATCATGTTGCCGAAAATGAATGGAGCATGCACGCTTTTGTGGCGGGGGCGACTTTGGCGCCGGGAAAGGGAGAGTACAGCAGTGACACCCTCACCCTTTCGCTGATAATAGTCGCGGTTGAGGCTCAGCGCGTTCGGCCAATCACGATTGCACTGGGGGTCATGTGATCACGCTCCTCGCCGCTCCACTTTTCAGCCGGGAAGGTCAATAGCACTCCTTTATTTTCTTCAGTATTGTCCAGACTACCTGAAATGGAATGTATCAGGAAGGGTGTTAGATTGGGGTTATTATTCCACCAGCATCTTTACTGTAAGAAGTGAAATTTTATGTGGACTCAATCTTTCTGTGGAAGTTGGACCTGGCGACTCTTTCTCATCGCGGGTACGAGAGGGGAAGCCTTAAGGTTATCTGCTTGCAGAGCCAGCCGCTGCCGACCATCATCAAGAACACGGAGTCGACCCGGGTGTGGTTTGTGCAGGACCAGGAGTACAACCTGCCCAAGGCAGTGCTCCACTTTGAGTTCAAGAGGCAAGTGGGCTGCCGCACACTGCACGTCGTGCGGCGCATTTTGGTTCGTTTAAAGGGGCACTAAACCACTTTCTGCAGTAGTCTATTTCTAAGCATTCTAAAGAACCAAACATTACATTCGTGCGTGGCCAATTTCTCTATTAAAATTAGTATCAAGGATTGATTACCTTAGAACTATCGCTGACACCGTATGGAGCCATCGGATGAGGAGAGGCAGAGGAATAGCCTTTCTCCTCATCCGATGGCACCATCCGGTCTCTCCGATTGATCCGAGGTAATCAATTTTTGACGCCGATTTTAATGGAGAAATATTTCACGCATATGCATGTAGTGTTTGGTTCTTCAAGAGCCCATAGATTGAGTTATGACCAGAAATAGACTGTTGCACATAGTGGTTTAATGCCCTTAAGGTCAAAAGCCATTTCCACAAGTGGAACCACGTGTGATGGCGATGCGCAAAGGTGGCAGGCAAGGACAGAGACAGGCAGGGACAAGCAAACGGGGAAAGGCGTTCGGAATTACAGAAATTATCGAAAATGAGAGCTAAAATTCTCTATCGAAATACACCTGGGAAAAGTATTGCATTACATATCAAATAAAGATTTGCAAAATAAACGAAAAAGTATACTTGGGGAGTTAAAATACACAAATACATTATTAATAATGGCTGAAATTAGATTAGTATTGAACTAATTTGGAAAGTTTTGACGGAATTTTAAACTGATCTTGCAGGTCTTATAACTCCATTATAAATTAACATAGTTCATACTATTAACATAAAATTGTTATAGGGGAGGCTATGCAGAAGAAATTTAACCCCAAAAGTGACATCATGAGTGTGGGTGGCCATGTGATCATGCGGCGTGGCAAATTTGGACGTTGGATAGTTTTCCAAAACAGTTTCAGTTCAGTAATCCTCTTGACCTTTGTGATAATAATAATAAAAAATCTTTATTTGCTTAGGAGAGCCACGGCACTGCAGATGTTATGCCCATGAGTGTTCCCAGTCTGTGCTTCAATATAACCTGCCTGCTCTGCTTGATCACTTTTGTCCAGTGCAGCTCCACGTCGTAATGTTTGTGTTGTTGTTTCCTTTGCAGCCCAGTTGCCTATCAGGACCCTCATTATACCAACATGACGCACATGTTTGTGCGCTTGTTCACTGACGCCCTGAACGAGTACGCCTATGCAGCCATGCAGGCGGGACTCAACTACACTCTAGACAACACAATCTACGGCATTGTGGTGCGTTCGCTTTGAAATTATGGCTGATATTGCTCCGAGTTTACTATGTAGAGTTGATATAATGAATCTGTCGGGAAGGGTCCGCCATCTTCTCATGCATTTTGGCTGCCTCGGAACACTCAGGACGCTGGAGCATAGAGGCAGACGTCAGTGGTCCTGGTGGGCCCAAATTGCTGGCGCGGTTTTGAAAAACGCAAAGAAGCAGGAAATTACTACTTGCAAGGTCGCTACTTTGTCTTTCTTAGTTTTATTTTGAAAAATAAAATACCGCCGTCCTGCATCAAGAAAAATCTTGGCAAAGATTTTTAAGGCTAATAAGGCCTCGAGCTGTTTGTGGGCACATTAAGCAGAATAAATAAATAAATAAAGGCGCCTTGCTCAGGAACTGGGGTTTGACTGTGACCCGAAGCCCTGAGCTTGCCTTAATCCCTCGTATGAAAGTAATAGGTTATTATAATTTGAGAGAGCATTTCAATCATTGCATTATTTTGCAAATAATTTTAATAATAAAAAAAAATTAAACTTGTCTCTTATCATTTTGATAGACCCGAAGAGCACAGTCTGGGGTGCATGCATTATGTGTGTGATTTGTTATACTTGGTTACGTAATGCTTGGGGTGTTTTAAGATGCGTTGCGAGCTTGACACGCTCATGTACTTCCCGGGGTTATGAAAATGATTGGAACAAGTTTTAGTTTATTCTTGAAGCCTGACGTCGTGAGATCACTTGGGGAGAGGAGCTATGCCTCGTCATTTGGAAGCATGGTGTAAGATATATGTAGGTGTGGACACCACGCACATCGCAGTGTCCATATAAAGTCTTCTCCTCGCCTTGGTTGCAAGCGGTGCCACCAGATGACTCTGCAGGCCCGGTTTCCCATGCTTCTCCACGGGAGACAGGCTTGTTTTTAAAATTGTTTTTTGGGTGTGCCACTTTGTGTAGAACACATGGCGTAGACACAGCTTCATCATTGACTCTAGTTTCGTGCCTCAACGGCAGTGAGAACAGTTTTATAAATGCATTGAAGTGCAGAGATCCCAGGCACTGTGTTCAAGCCAGCATCCATTTGGATCTGAGCAGACGGTCCGAGGGGCATGCGCATGTGCCAGGCTGCCATGGCAATGAGACACTTTTTTTTATTTGTCTCTTTTCTTCAGTTGCGCCGTCTGACTGGCAGAGATGCTGTCGAAATAGGCTATTCGGGGCGTGCGCCAATAGGACTTTATATGGTTGATCGCGTCGCAGCGTTCGCCCTGCTTCGTATCCTCACCTAAAAAGTATCTTACACCATGTTGCAAGCCAGCAGCGCATGCTGACAGTAGCCTATCGTCGCAAGCTTCCTTGAGTTATACTTAGTCCAGCTGCTTGTGCTCCCATTCGCTGCTTCCTGTTGCTGAGCAAAGCTGTCGGGTTGTGGATTGTACGGTGGGAAGTTAGATTCCGCCTCCGCTGCTCGGTTAATCTTGCTAATTATGACTACGTATGATTGATTATGGCTAAGTATGGTTCTATTAACTTTGTATGATGTAGGAAATTGCGTACCGCCCGCCGATTTGCCATTTCCCACGTGGTCCGTCAACAACACAAGTCCAGCCGAGTTCTTTCACAGGAGCGGGATTCCACTCCCCTTTTATTGGTACATAAAACACAACGCTCAAAAACACTCAATCTAACATCCAAAGACATGCGACATTACACTAATATTCACACTCGCCTCTTAAGTCGAAGCTAAACACAAAGAGGGCCCCAGGCCTCGTGTCCCGCGATTACCCTAGATCCGGTCGCACACACCTGCCTGTTTTCGGTGCCGTCCGGAGTCCTAAGAGAGTTTTCCCTCCCGGTCCCCCCGACTATATCGTTCGATGGGCGAGGAGCTTTCGCCCTGGGGCGCCTGCAGCGCCATCCAGTGGCTAGGAGAGAAAGCGGCACGTCGGGAGCCGAATTCGAGATCCCAACCGACTTCGCGGCGACACGACCATGTGATTGTGTCTGAGGCGAGGCAACTGCATAGCCACCTCGCGGCAACAGTGCCAGAGTGGTTTGATGGGCGCCCTCGTGAATGCACGGAGCGCCATAATGCTCATGCATTGCCTGCTATGGGCTTTGTACACTTTTTAGATGCCTTGACCCGTGTGTAACAGCTTTGTGTTGTACACTCGAGCATAATGCTTTTGGCACGAAACCCAGCCCGTAAGCACATTCTGGGTCAAAACTAAGTTGATAAGCGCCCAAACATTTGAACGCATCACGGCGAAACGAGCATACCTAACCTATCGTCTACTTTCTTTTTCTACTTTTCTGTCACTCTCTTCCTCTTCCTTTCCTCTGTGTACCACCGATGTCAACGCCCACAACTTGCTGTGCTTCTTTTCCGTCTTTATCCTCCGAGAAGTTTTGCGATTTAGAGTGATGTGCTATATGTTTGTTGCTATGGGCTGATCTATTCGCACTATAAATTTTTTTAAATATGTTCCAGGTCGCGAAATTTGGAAAAATTAGGTCCTTGAGAAAATTCAGTAATTTCCACTATATTGCCTGTGTGGCGCGCAACAAGAGTGGTGGTGTGTGTCAAATCCATTGCAGCTCAGCATCAAAGGCTACAACGACAAGCAGCACGTGCTACTCTCCAAGATCATGGACAAGATGACCAACTTCACTGTCGACCAGCAGCGCTTCGACATTCTCAAAGAAGCAGTGAGTCATTCTGGTCATGGACTGGCCCCAGCGGTCTCGAGAAAAGTCGAGGGATACTAACGAGACAAACACGACCGGCGTTTTAGAGAAGGCTCAAGATTTATTCTCGTGTAATTCACTCTCCGCGCAGTACATTCGGGGCCTGAAGAATTTCAACGCCGAGCCGCCGCACCAGCACGCCGTGTATTACACATACATGCTCTTGGCACAGAAAGTGTGGTCCCACGGCGAGATGCTCGAGGCCACGGAAGGCGAGTCGCCTCGTCTGCGTGATCTAGGCTGGTGTCTGAAGGCTCCTTCTTGTTGCAGAGCTGACGAGGGACCGGGTGCAGGAGATGATCCCCAAGCTGCTGTCACGCATGCACCTCGAGTGCCTGATCCATGGCAACGTGACCCGCCAGGTAGGGACTGCATTGCAGCTTGCCAGTGGGCCGGCAGGACAGTAGGACTGCTGCTGAGGAACCACCTCCGTGGGGTTGAGGTTCTGGTGTCGCCTCCGGAACGCAAGGTGCAGGGCTCGAACCCTGGTGGTCCCTTTCTCGGGCTTCACTCATTGCCTAAGCGTGACTTTAAAGGAGCACTAACACCTTTGAAGAATTTTTTTTTTTTTTTTTTTAATTTATTTTTAGCAGTTGGACACGATACTTAGACATCACCCTCAAAATTTGGAGCCTGGAAACAGCGTATTTGCCGGAAAAAAATATAGTTTGAAAAAGGCAAATTTGCAATTCTCGCGCTCCTTGAAAACGTCAAAAGTGGGTTGGCGCTTTTTTTTTTTTTTTTGCTGTTCTTTAATTGGAAGTGTTGTTCGTCTTTCCCCTTCCACCTCTCATCGATCACACACTCTCTCGAATTACGCTCCACCAGCTCGGCGCCAGCCATGCATGTGTAAGCAGACGACGTGTCGGTTGCGAGTTTCAATATATTGTTGGTCCACTGCTCTGCTTAGACGTTCCAAAACACTTTCAAAAGCGGTGCAGTTGAAGGTAAAGTGCAGCGGACTTTGATGAGCGACGTCGGGTGTTGGTGCTGCATCAAGGACCGTCCCAGCACTGGCACATCCGCAAGTGCCCCTCCACACAAGCTTTCAAAGAATGAAGTGGCGAAGAAGGAGTGGCTGGAAATGCAACGCAATCTTGCCTGTCTGTGTTGTCGAGGTGCCACAAATCTGAAGCAGGTGAAAGAGGGCGGTGGAGAAAAGCTCACCGGAAAAAAGCTCACCGCAAAACTGTCTGATGCGGAGAAAAGCTCAACGGCCTTTTGACGGATGCAGAGAAATATTCACCTACGAATCTAAGAATTGAATGTTTACTCAAGTGAAATACATTCACTCAAATGAACTATGCTGGGATGCCTTAGGCGCATGCAATCGTTCTGCTCTTCACTAGCAGAATTTATTTTTAAAATATAAAAACATCCTGTAACACATGAGGCATTGCCCGAAGATAATAATATAAATAATTTCAATAGAACACTAATTTTAAAAAAAATAACGGGGGAATTATAACCAGTGTAGAGAGCTGCAGCTTGAGTAGTTTCTGGATATTTATTATTATGAAATTACCTTTATGTAGTATACCAGCAGTGCATTGCCAAATCTCCACATTTCACCATTTGTTTAAAAAGCAGTAGTTTTAATTCGTAACCTCATTCGAGCAAAAAATAAAAAAAGGCCGTATTTCCTCTCTCCCAGTTACGTCATAGTTAAACATGAAAACACTCATGCAAAATCGGTTGTCATAAAAGTGGAACAAGGGCTACAGCCAGAGTGGAGAATAAAAATCAAGATAACTTAAATTCTGATTTAAATCGGACAAGTTTTACTCAGATGATTCAAATTAAACGTTTCTTGCAAAGATAATCCCCCCCAAAAAAAACAATTACCGTTTATCATTTTATGCTTTCAATATGCACATATGCTCTGTATTTAAATCAAAGATTCATCATACAAGAAAAATTTATATGGGATTGAACACAAGCAAAAAGCAGTGGTCTTCGGAGCAAATCGATGCATTGAGCCTAGGTATTTTTTACCTCCGACTTCATTCGTCAGTTACGTCACATCTTTTTGCAATCAAACGAGAATGCAAAGGATAGAAACGAAAACTGGTAAAGTAATGTTGTATTCCAAGAAAATCGGATCGCAAAAGAGAAAAGCCAATACAGATTTTTCGATAACAAAAAGCTAAGTTGTTTTTGTTCTAGTATGACGGGGTTTTTATAAACAAAAGTTGCTAAAATTGCAGTAATTCTTTTTCATTGTTTTCACTGATCGGAAGAATTGATGAAACAGCCTGCTGTGTTTAAAGATGCTAATAGTGATAAACCAGTATTTCCTATCTACAGGGATATTGCTGCACTCAGATTACGTTCACTCAAGTTTTGCGCCACAGAAAAAATTTGCGGAATTTGTAGGAACCTTAAATCCTGTCGTAATAATGACAGGCACACAGGCCCACGCAATTCGTCACAGTTGCATCCCAACAATTAGGCGGCAACAACCGCTAGGTGGCAGCAAACAATGAAAAGAGAATTTCTCTTCAGGTGACGAACGCGTTGGTTGTCCGCGAGCTTCTCCGCCTTTTCGCCTGCTTTCCTCCCAGCCACGCGATAACGCAGCGCATGCGCACTTGCTATCATTCTCCGATGGAGGCATCCGCCATTAAACTGCAAACGCTCCCCATAGTTTGAGTAGGACCCTCTTTACAATCTAGGCTCTCTACGAACGATAGGCGACGCCGCCGGCGTGCTCCTTTCCTATGTTAAATGCCAGTGAGCCCATGCTCGCTTCCATTGTGGAATGTTTTACCTGGCCTTTTACATTGTTACGCACCACACATCCAGAAATCTTAGGGCAATGTATGATACAGTGTAGACCACATATAAAGCATGTCGCGGGAGTCGCGAAAATCCGCACTATAAGCGGTACCGCGCTATAACCAAAACATCAATTTTTCAGGCCAAAATTTATGCCATGAGACAACTTACCTTTGTAAAACAATTTATTTTATGTTAGATGAAAAATAAAGCTTAGTCTGAGGAAAGTCTTTATATCACCAGACTTCTCTCTCAAGTGTGTCACACATTTTGAAAGAAATGAGTGACTTTTGCCTGGCGCAGCCTTTTAACGGGGTTGCGGACGAACGTTGCGAGCGTTCAGGATTGCTAACCCTAATCACTTTTCTCCGGTACTTTATACGGTACGCACCAGTAATACCTTGAACTTGAGCACACGCATGAAATGCTCCAAATAAAAAATCAGGGCGATGTTCGAGAACACAAATGCTTAGAAAGCACCACTGTAGTCGAAGTAAACAAACACGACGGCACGGGCGTTTCTGCTGTCTTAAGAGTGCCGCCACGACATCACCGCACGAGTAGGTGGATCTTCCCTTCTAGTACGTGCTGGGTTATCATAGCGACACACAACGAAAATTCACAGTCAAGGATAGCGCTTTTTTGCGGAACGATGAGCTTCCACCACGCCGTCTACGTCGACGATCACCACCGACGCCATGTTGGCAGATAGAAGAAGCCGGCCCGCGACCGGCATGCAACGCGCGCAACCAGCTCTCCTCGACCTGTGATTGGTCTGTCATTGCGGTTGTTTCGAACGCAGCGGGGGAAAGTTGGGTTTGCTCCAACGCCTTGCGTCGTGAACGACACTTGCGTGCGTCCCTCCGTCGCTATGGCAACTGAAGCTTCTCTCTTTGCTTCTCCCCGCTTCTTCGAGCAACCTCCTTGCCATCCTTGCCCCCGCAAGTGCCGCTTGCGGCTAGCGCCGTTATCTAGTGTCGCACAGGGAAGCATGCTCGCTGCGCCAGTCAGTCGGCAGGCTGTTCCAGAAACCGCACTATAACTGGTATTTCCCTTCGCGCGGCTGCATTTTAAGCGGTATGTAATTACATGGAGTTGTATTAGTCCCGAGAGCGAACACAAGCGTCACTGCGGTCGCCGCGCCCTGATTGGGTGAGGTGTACCTTGACGTCAGGGCGATGACTCCGCTCCGCGATCTCGCATCGGCTCGCTTCCCAGCACCGGTTTCCTGGTTTGGCGTTGTGTGCCGCAAGCTCTTCGAGGAGCTGGACTTCGTTTACCTGGTGTACAGGACGTTGAGTTAGGCCGATATTGACATGCTTCCGTACATTTTATAAGCCTGCTCGTCCCTTTTACCTTTAAAATTGGGTTACAAATCCCGAAAGCTATCGGCAGAGGCAATTCCGCCGATGAACCTCCCGTCCGTCTACACGACACAAGGCAATTTTGCGAGGGATCGGTGACGCAGTGGTGCAGGTGTTTCAGACGCTGGAATTCTGTTCCTTGCATGTTCATGATTTAGAACGATATTACAACCCGCTTTCAAGGCATTTGAAGTGGCATTTATATCGTGGGCCTTTGGGTGGTCGGTAAATTAGCTCGCGACCTCGACTTTGCGCTGCCACTCTGCATGCGCTGGTTCGCTGATGTTTTAAAGGCCCTTGTGTCTGATTATCTTTGAAGTGCTCGTGGAACAGAGTTGTTTTACATAAATGTTGCTTCTTCGTGAATTAATTATATAGTTTATACATATGCAGGCATATTTTTTAGAAGGTGCACAATTACTGGAAATTAGTTCGTATGGTAGCAGTAAAGACGGCCGAATTGCCCTTAGTTGCCTGTATAATATGTATTGAACTGCCCAAAATATGCACAGCAATAGTGCTGTAATTTGGAATGTTCATACTTTTTCCGGACATTTTTATTGCAGCCTTGGGCATTCGGAAAATACACCGTTTAGTCTGAATTGTCATTTCCAATTAAAAGAGACACTGGTGCAGGTCTCCAAAAGCTTCCTCAGCCTCCAAACTCCCTACAGCTGGACCCTCTGACAACAGAGGAAAACAGGAGTAAAAGCAAGCATTTGATTGTCTGTCCAATGGTAGATGCAGCACTAGTAGCAGAAGATGTGGAACCTGTGAAGGGCGACAGTCTGCGTGAGAAAAGCTTCTGGTATTTTAGCTTTAGGACAACTCGATTTAAGTAAAATCTAAATTTTAGGGCTTAAGGGATTAATAACGAGCTAGACACCTTCGCTTACGTTTGTTATACATTACTTGAGGGTTGATATAAACAAGTCCACAGATACCACCCGTGTAGTCCATTGAAATACTATCCGAATCCAGCAAAGGTCAAATGCGAGCAATGTGTATAATAAATGTTCCTTTTTTTTTTCTTTTTTTTTTACTTTGCCCCTGCACTTGGGCTGTCTTGTGACTCTCTCCCCATGGCCCAGACAGTATTTAGCATGTTGCTCGAGCAGCATGCAGCTTTTCTGCTTCGGCGATCTTGTTTAAAAACAGAGATACAAAAAAAAAAATAGTATACTTAACCTGCCAATTCATTCAGGCCATCAGCAGCATTTATTGTGCGAGATGTAAATCTATAGTGATGCTCCTGCAATTCTGGCCATATTTCTTTATTTTCATATACCACTCCGATTCATGCGTTGCCTGCCCTGTCAACCATGCTTAAAATGTTGGTTGAAGTTTTGCCTGTAGCTACAGGTCATACCTCAATAAAGGCACATATAAAAATTTACACTTCCTACGAAAAACAGGCAAAAAAAAATTAAATAGAAACGAGCGCACCGACAGCTAGTGTCGTCACAGCCTCCACAGGGCAAGCGGCGCGAGTCGGGGAAAAATTCTCTCCCCGCCGTGACGTCACCCCGGTTTGCCATAAGGAGGCGCCACGAGAACTTCTTGGGGCTAATAGGAGGCGAACCGGTGGTTGAAAAAAGCCGCGTTATACCCGGTCCTGCACTATAAGCGGTTACGTTGTAAGTGGTCTATACTGTATGAGCATTCTTTAAGGAGAGGCACTGGTTAGAGATTGAACTTCTGAACTATTCAAGTGATTGGAATGAAATTTGCAGAGGAGATTCAACATCAGGTGTAGGTGTACTGTGCAAACGTTCAGCTCTCTAGGACAATTTTACATACCTGCACAAGAAGATGTGTCACTCTTTCTTAAGAAATCTATGATGTGCAAATGAACCTATTAAGAACCATTTTGACTGCTTGAATATAATGTGGGGGATGTGGGACTTCGGGCTATCTAGTTTTTATAACTTTAATGTAAATATTTCAGGAAGTGTCATTGCCTCAAATAATGAGATGCATACCTGTCCTATGTCAATGCTTGAAAACATAGCTTTTTCTCAATGAGGACTTTAACTTAAAACAAAATAAAGTAGATAGCCCGATTCCCCAGTAAATTTCAGTTCGGAAACATCTTGATTGTGGTATCAGAATATTTTTACCTACAAACAAAAGATTCCTTTGTATGAAATTTGCAGCCAAAAGTGGAACTGAGAAAAATGCATTCAAAAATTGAAATCCTTTACTTTGTTACTGCCTCACAATGTGTTGAAAATATTTTATATCAATGTAACTATTTGGCATATGGTTATCAAATTTAGTGTAAGGGTGTATAATTAGTTTCCAAAAATGAAAACCTCAAAATTGAAAAATGAATGTTTTCAAAAAAAATTTTAATTTTAGGCCCATGTCCCCCTTAAGTATGGCACTTGCAAGCGATGCTGCAGAAACCAGCAATGCAAGAATAAAATGAAAGTGTTTTGGAGCACGCACTCGTGCCCTGTGTTCGTACTGGCACAGGGTATAGCGAATAGATGGGCTGTTCCTTACCGTTGGTCTGTGCAGCAAGCTCTGGATCTGGTGGGCATCGTCGAAAACAGCCTGCAGAGCTCGATGCACACCAAGCCGCTGCTGCCTAGCGAGTTGGTGAGCCATCGGGAACACCAGCTGCTTGAACGTGAGTGCTGCGGCGCTGTCGGTCTGCTCGAGCAGACTCAAGCGTGCCTTCTGCAGGTGGTGAATACGTCTTCGAGCGGTTCAACCAGGTGCACCACACGTCGTCCATTCAGACCTACTTCCAGTGTGGACCGCAGGAAACGCGGGCCAACGTGCTCGTCGAGCTGCTCTGCCAGCTCCTCACGGAGCCGTGCTACAACGTCCTACGCACCCAGGAGCAGCTGGGTGAGCCGCTTTGGGTGCATGCTCGGTGGCGTGCTGGATGGACGGCTCTTTTGCAGGTTACCTGGTGGCCAGTGGGCCTCGGCGGTCCAACGGTGTCCAGGGCATCCGCATCATAGTGCAGTCAGATCGGCCACCCGTGTTCCTAGACAGCCGCATCGAAGCTTTCCTCATCTACATTGAGGTTAGTCTTGTGGGCCACTCCCAGCCTTTGTGGAACTGTCCTCGCTCACTGACGCTGCTTCGAGGGATTTTTTTTATTTGCGATCTAATTCAAATTAAATTTGCGTAGCATATACACCTTTACAATCTGATCAAAAATATGTACGCTGCGTGACACCGTTAGCACAAATGAGCGATCGTCAATGTTTTCTTTCTTTTTTTAGAATTGATAAGCTGTCATCAGAACTACTAGTGCGAAGAAAAGTGCTCATTTGGGGCACTAGTATAAGCGGTAAAATCTGGTGCGTTCCAATACCCTTCGGATGTGAACTGCAAGAAAAGCGCCAATGTCATGTTTGCGCTAACAGTGTTGCACGGGGCACTTAGTTGAGTATAGTTTGGTTCGTTTTGCTAATACTAGAAGTTTAATTTGCAAAGGTTATGGTCAGGACTGTAGCAGATTCAAAGATAAAATAAACATACATATCTCTGCTGACTAGAGGGTCTACAGAGTGCAATAAGGTATAGATGAAAGCTCTAGGATAATTTTCAAGTTGTATGACATATAAATTTTTCAATTTTGAAAATATCTTTTTTAGGACATATCGGAATTATTTAAAATGTTCCTATGCTATATGTAAAACAGGAGAAAATGTTTGCTTTCATTTTCCATTTTGCTTCATTTTCAAATCAATATTCGCTGTGTCTAGCGTTATGTCCGACGGAACCCAAAATAAAAATTAGAGTTACGTCCGACGGAACCCAAAATAAAAATTAGAGTTACGTCCGACGTAATTTTACCCAAAGGTTTCGAGTTACGTCCAACGTAACCTAATGTGAAAATTAAAGTTACGTCCGACGGAACTCGAAATAAAAAACTAAAGTTATGTCCGATGTAACTTTACCCCAAGGTTTGGAGTTACGTCGGACGGAACCCGAAATGAAAATGAAAGTTGCGTCCGATGGAAATAAAAGTTAAAGCTGTGTCCTGTGCAACCTACGCAACCTTATTGAATGTTACGCTTTACGGCCGGTACATGATGTAAACACTAACATATCGTAAATTATTACTACGTTCCGTCTGATGCAGCATTCGTTAATTGGTTAAAATCGCGACTCCATCTGTACCTCCAGGTACAGATGCCCGTCACATTATTTTTTTTTTCTTTCTAGTGTTTCCCCTTTCTTTAAGGCAATTTTTTTCTCCTTGAAGACGATTTCTTGCGACGCTTTCTGAGAATCACAGACATTCGAAGCAATTCTTAATAGAGATAGAATGGTAATGTGAAATGAACATGCTGTTTAAAGCAGCAGGCTTTCCGCAGACTTTTTGACAACTGGCACAATCTTCACGTACCATTCAAGTCGCCACGTGCACTAACTTTGGCAGTGTTTTTTTTTTGTTTTTTCCGGATTGTCTTAAAGAAAGAGCTGTTTCAAGGGGCCGAGGGGCCGCCCGGGTGTGAGAATGACAATAGACCCTCAGCCTTTAGCCATATCAACTTTGCTCTCAGCCCCAGCCAGCAAGGTGTAACGAACAGGTGTAACAAATGCGGCAAAAATGACAACTAACTTTTCTTTCAAGTTCTGTCGGACGTAGGTTTGCTCTTTATTTCGAGTTTGGTCGGACGTAACTTAAATTTTTATTTCGAGTTCCGCCGGACGTCATCTTAATTTTTATATGGGGTTCTGTCGGACGTAACTCGAAACCTTGGGGTAAAGTTACGTCGGACGTAACTTAATTTTTATTTCGGGTTCCGTCGGACGTAACACTAGACACTGCAATCAATATTTCAGAATAGGCAGGTTTTGTTTCACAAAAATATATCAGGACAAAATGTAGAAGTGCCTGTTAATGTATGAAAATGAAATTTAAGAAATGTGTCTCTTAGTACTTTCTTTTACCTAAAAGCAGTGTCGTTCTTAAAATGGGGTGTGGCCTGGAAGGGTGAACTTTTGAATACTTCACTTAAATTGATTCACATTTGCAGGGTGAATTGAATGCTACTAGGAACCGTGACAACCAAAGTTTCGTCCATAGGCCAATAGACCTCTTGCAAAAAGCCTGCGCACGCCACGCGATGAATTATAGAAGTTCTCAGTACACTCTTCCCATGGTCTTTCCTCCCGCTACCACATGACATAGCCGAGCTGGCGCAATTAACCGAGGCAATGGTGTTCAAGCAGCCGAGCCAGGCGAGTGTATGCAAACGGGTGAGGGGGTGTCGCTTTGGCTGGCTGGCAAGGCTGGCCCTTTCTCAGCCCTCCCTTTTGCACTGTCGCCTGCTACATCAACGCTTTTTCGAACCGTGCCATGTTTGTGGTGTAAAATAACTACAGAACAAGCAGGGTCTCTACCTCATATTACACGAAGTGGATTCGTTGACACTGCAAGACGTGGAGGTAGGCAGCACGGATACGGTACGCCGCAAACAACGTACGACGATCCGGCGGACGGGTGCTGGCGGTAGCTGCCGCGACTCGCGGCAGCTACCGCCAGCACCCGTAACGAGAAAGCGCGTGATCTCTACCTTGGGTTCCCAAAATGCCCTGCCGTCGTGGCGCCGCACGCATTGCAACAGGTCTAGTCTACAACATCCTGCACTTATGCTCGAGGAAAGTAACTTCACTAAGAAAAGTATTAAAACAAAATTGCAATCCTCAAACTTTTTGTTTTAATGTGAGGTAGAATACACATAGTGCAATTTAAGGTAAAAAAGGGCAAAAAGCAATTGCAGCAAATGCAATTCTAGGGGAAAAAAATGTTAACATTTTAAAATATTCAGCTTTTTATAATGAGTTTTTTTTTTTCTTTTTTCTTTCTTCTTTCTTTTTTTCAGATTATAAGTGCCTTAACTTGCTCCCTAGAAAATTTCACTCCAGGACATTCGTGAACAAAGTCTTAATTTTCAGAATGTCAGATGGTAGTTTTCCTCGTACAGCGTTTCCCACCAAAATCTGAACCTAGAAAAATGCATTTGAAGTTTCAGTTTTAGGTTTCTTTATTTACTATGGGTCCCAGGCATACAAAATCCACCTGGAGCATAGGTATCACCTTCGTCTTTAGTAAATTAATTGCCTAAAATCTACTAATTTCCTTTTGAAATATTTGTTTCAGCTGTCACATTTTGATTAGAAATTTGTTGCCCGTCGTCCAAGTATGCCATAGGGGTTGTTAAAGTTCAGACTAGATTCTGCTCTGTGCTATCCTCTGTCAAAGTTAGGCTGTCATGTTTTCGCTGTACCGCAACTAACTTGGAAAGAGAGCGGAAAGCTGAGCGCTCGAGGAGACAACAAAGTAGGGTGTGCCTTTCCGACGATCCCTTGACCCTTATAGGCTCGCGGTAATTCGCTGCCCTCATCCATTGCGGAGGCTGACGTTGCTTCCGGGGAGGGACTTCCACCCAGTCATGGGGCACGTTACTCCTACAATGGAACAGCATTACAGTTACAGTTACTACTCGGTGGGAAAAGAAGTGACCCTGCTACATTTACAGTTACAAAATTGAAAGAGTAACCTGTTATAGTTTGGCGCACTATGGCCTGAGTTGCTGCTGCGCCAAAAAAACTCCAAATTCATTCACCTGTTATAGTTATTTTGCTAAAGTAATGCTGTTATTTGTTGTTATTTTACAAAAAATATTAGAAAACATTTTAAAGGAACCTTCTTCAATACGCCTTTAAATTAGTATAGATTTTTCATAAGACATTGTGTTATTCATGGTAGTGTATCTGATTAGTTTAGAAACTAAGATTTTCCCAATAATCAGTATTAACGTGTTTGGTTCTTCCTATTCCAATTTCTACCATGAATAGCTCCCTGAGCAAGATCATAATTTAAGACAGTATTGGGGTAAATCCACTAGTTTCTTCTTTGGCCATTTAGTTTCTTCTTGGGCAAAATTGCTGGCGACTTTAGTTTTTCAAATTGCTAAGCTAGCAGATACCTGCTAATGATCCATGAGTGCGGTCAAGATCAAAATAAGTGTGACCACCATAGGGTATACATGAATATATACAACAGCACGCGTCTAGATCTCAGGTATATATCCAATCATGGTGGCGAGTTTACAATTGGTCAATTCTAATTGTGGATTTCTTTGGCGAGGCAAAATGGGACGGAAGCAATAAAAATCATGTTAATGTAAAGTCAATAATAATTTGTCATACCTTGCAATCAGCTTTTTAGGTGTTTTCTTATGCCACTCCAATCCACTCGTCGCTCGAATCATTTTCTACTGCGTGCACGCAATATTTCATGAAACATTGAGCTTCTCTCGAAACATTGGAGAACAATGTTATGGCAACATTCCTCCGTCAAAGCCGCCGAACACAGCAGCGGCGCAAACTAAGCACTGATCGAGGTACAAACGACCACTGCGTGTAGAATTCCAGACGGCTGTTGCAATCTTTTATCCACCATCTCCTAACCAGATCGTACACGTTTGCGCTCCTCCATTTCACCAGCCCAACTAGAAGAGACCACCCGGAAGGCCCACAACGTGTTATTCATAAATCAAATGATGCAAAGTAAAAAAACGCACAAACAAGCAGAACGACACGGACGTTTCGAGCAAATATCTTTTCTCAAACGACGGGACCCGAGAAGGAGACAAATGGGTGACAGCAACTGGCTTACGGGAGGCAAGGCCGGTAATTGGGTTAAAAAAAAGGGAAGGGAGAGCAAATGGTCCTAGAGTCGAGACCCTGCAAGAGTGCATCTGGGATTTGGACGATTCAAATTAGAGGGGAAGGAAACATATGCTTGGCGGCAAGAAGATGAGGTTCAGAAAATCGGTCGTGCCATAAGCTTGCGAGCGTTTGGGGCGACAATCACCAAAAACTGTCCTCCGCGAAAAGCACGCACTCCCTCCAGCTCCCTCCGTTGAACGAAGAAAAGAGAAACGCATAAGAGATGCCATGCTTTGTTACATCTGCGTGTGCTGTGGGCGATGTATCATACACAGCAGGTATGGACACAAACATCCCCATCCTCCCTGCTGGTAGGACCAGCTTGGCCAAGCAGGATCCACCCAAAATTTAGTTTCTTTTGATTTTTTTTTTTTCCCCTTGTCCTCTAGACAGTTTTTGCAGCAGTTTTTGCTGTGCCCTTCCCGTATGAGGACAGCAGGTATCGACACAAAGCAAACATACCCATCCTCCCTGTTGGTAGGAGCAGCTTGGCCAACCAGGGTCACCCAAAATTTAGTTTCTTTTGGTTTTTTTTTTTCCCTTGTGCTCCAGACAGTTTTTGCAGCAGTTTTTGCTGTTCCCTTCCCGTATCAGGACTTGGGGCTCTCTCACGAGTTGCGAGACGATTTGGAGGTCGTGTTTGCAATATTTTTGAACGTAAATCTGAGAAGTAACTGTAACGACGTTACATCTTCACAGTTACTTTCGAAAAATAGTAACCCTGTTACAGTTACAAGTTACTGAAAAAAGAAACTAGTTACTGGTCATGTGTTACTAGTAACTAGTTACTGCCCAAGACTGCTTCCACCGCTGTTTTTGCATCTTGTTTCAGTATCTCCTCTGATCATGGCTTGAATTTGCCAGAGAATAGTGTGGAGCAGGATTTTGTTGTCTGGATTCTAACAAGTGATATGGCATATTTTGACAATGGGCAAGAAATTTCTTATTAGTATGTGCCAGCTGAAGTGAATGATCAAAAAGTTAATATTATAATGTGCCAGCTGAAGTGAATACTTAAAAAGTTAATGTGCACATTTAGTAGTTAATTTTCTATTTATCACTTTACTCACTCTATGTGATGTCCACCGCAGTGCATAACATTATCTCGAAGGAATCAGTTCTCTATCTCCAGTGTCTTTTTTTTTTAATTATCTGCCATCTTAGAAAGAACACTCTGCATATATAGGTATGGACACCACGTGCTTTGCAGCTGCCAAATAAAGTCCTCTCCTCGCCTTGGTTACAAGCGGCGCCACCAGATGACTTTCTGATAAGTGGCTAGTTATAGCCTGTCACCAGCCTGGTTCCCCATGCTTCTCTATGGGAGACGTGCTTGTTTTCAAAGGCGTTTTTGGGGCGTGTCGCATCGTGTAGAACTTGGCATTTGCACTCTGTGTGTTGCTTAGACACAGCTTTGTCATTGACCCTAGTTTTATGCCTCAACGCCAACAAAAACAGTTTTATGAGTGTGTTGAAGCGGAGAGATTTCTGGCGCAGTGTTCAAGCCAGCATTCGTCGAGGATAGAGCAGACGTGCTGAGCGGAAAGCACATGCACCAGTGTGCTATGACATTAAGACACTCATAATATAAACAATGCGACCGACAAGGATGAAGAAAGACTGGACGACACAAGTGCTGACTGACGGTTTTATTTTCATGAAACCAAGAAGAAACGAACACAAAAATGACCCTCTAATCAGAAGGCGATCACGAATGCGCATGACAACGGCTTTTGACACCTCCTTAACATTTTGTATGATCATTGACGCAGTGCACAACCATCACTCCTATCTAAAAAGTCTGCCTCGCTGTCTAACAGCGCCAAGGATGCTTGACTCGCGCAGGTTGGGCCTGTCTTTCTTACCTTGAGTGCCTCGACAATCTCCCGTGCCTTTCGGTCGGCGTGTCTAAACAACACGGCGGCCTTCTCCAGTATCGGGTGGCAGGAGCGGTCCCTGCAATGCAATGCCAAGTGGGAGCACACTGTCCCTGCTAAAGAGCTACGATGCTCACGCAGGCAAACGTTAAGGAACAGCGCCGTCCTCCCAATTCCCAATTCCCAAGAGAAAGGTAGCTGATAAACTACCCCCTTGGTGCTAGACACGACATCAATGTGGTGCCTTATGCCATAACCGCCCTTCTCTAGTTTCTTCGCCCCTCTCATGCGCTTTTCCACTGCGGAGAAAATCCCACTCAACTTGTTTCGTGCCGAGAACACCACGTCCACCCCATACCTTGAGGCGGCCCTTTTGAACCCGTGCGACACGCGATGTACATAGGGGGTGACTGCAACTTTTTTTCCTGACCCTATTGGTTATTTTCCCCCGGGTCTCCCCTCGTATGCATTTTACTAGTTTTTCCGCGGCGTAGGCGATTACCAACTCTGTAGGTCCCTCGTCTTTTAGTCTCCCGACCTGGGCAAGAAGGCTTTCTTCTGCTCTGTAAAAGCAGGACTTAGTCACCGTTGACCGAATGCAGGACTCTGCAGTGCCTTTTTTAACGAGCTTTGAATTCTCCGATATAAAGTCTAGGAGGTTCCTAGTGGATTTAGGACGGTGCCACCAACAAACGTGCCTATTGCTGACATCCATACAAAGATCCAAAAACTGAATTGACTGTTCCTTAGGAGTCTCAAACAAAAACTTTAGGTCCAGGCCCTGCTCCGTGAACGACTCCAGCACGACTTCGAGAGTCCGAATGAAGTCTGCCTTTTCCAAAGTCATCCCCCATGTACATTGCGTGTCACACAGGTTCAAAAGGGCCGCCTCGAGATACAGGGTGGACGTGCTGTTCTCGGCACAAAAGAAGTTGAGTGGGATTTGCTCCGCAGTGAAAAGCGCGTGAGAGTGGGGAAAAAACCGGAGAAGGGCGGTTGTGGGGTAAGGCACCGCATTGATTTCGTCTCTTGCAACAAGGGGGTAGTTTACCAAATACCTTTCTCTTGTGGAAAGGTTTATATCAGGCAGACGGGGCGGTGCCTTAACGTTCGCCTGCGTGAGCATCGTAGCTCTTTGCCAGGGACAGCATGCTCCCACTTGGCATTGTATTGCAGGGACTGCTCCTGCCACCCGATACTGGAGAAGGCCGTCGTGTTGTTTAGACATGGCGACCAAAAGGCACGGGAGATTGTCAAGGCACTCAATATAAGAAAGGCAGACCCAACCTGCGTGAGTCAAGCATCCTTGGCACTGTTAGACAGCGAGGCAGAATTTTTAGATGGGGTGATGGGTGTGCACTGCGTCAATGGTTAGACAAAGTGTTGTGAAGGCACCAAAAGCTGTTGTCATGTGCGGTCGCAATTACCTTTTGATTGGAGGGTCATTTTTGTGTTTGTTTCTTCTTGGTTTCATGAAAATAAAACCGTCAGTTGTTAGCCAGCGCTCATGTCGTCCAGCCTTTCTTCGTCCTTGTCAGTCACGTTGTTTATATTATGAATATGTACCAACTATACTTTGTCTCACCTTAGCATAGACTATTGTTAGCCGCGCGTGCTAAAAGCGCGAGGTAGTTGCTTTTGATGAAGCCTCGGCGGCTACATGAGTGCTTGTCCAGCGAGTGCTCGAGTCAAGGCAGTCGAAGCTAGCTGCTGGCGCTTGCACAGCCTTCGAAGTTAGTCCATGCTAAGGTGAGACAAAGTATGGCCCAACTATCCGTTCTGTTAAAAATAAGACACTTTTTCTTTTTTTTAGTTGTGCCATTTGGTTGGCGGGGACGCCGTTAGCATAGGCTACTCGGACGCACGCCAATAGGACTTTTTCTGGTCTTTTGTGCCGCAGTGTTCACCGTACTGTGTGTCTTCACCTAATGAGTACCTTGCACCGTTTTATAGGCGGTAAACAAATATATGGCTTCTACAAAGGTGTATTTCATGATATGAAAACCAGTGTTGCAAAATATTCCCCTTGGAGTTAATGGGGTGTTACTCTACCAGATTTTGCACTATAATTTCCTAGAACAATATCTATGTCATGCAGATGCACCATTACACAGTGGGCCCGTTTCGGTTTTGAATGCTCAATATTTTGCACTAAACTCGTAGAACAAAATGACTTCTAAAAAAAAAAAAAAATTTTCAACAATTTTGTAGAGTTTAGTATAAGGCATTTTATTGTACGACACTGCTTTTTGCAGAAGTACATTCAGGACATGAGCCCAGAAGAATTCCAGTCCAACAAACAAGCCCTGTCAGCCCGACGTCTCGAGAAACCCAAGAAGCTGCCCCAACTGGCTGCCAAGTTTTGGATGGAAATCCTTACGCAACAGTACAACTTTGACAGAGGTAAGCTGCAAAGTGAGGCCCAAGCCACTAAATGTGCCACGCTTTGAGTATGGACACTCTCTTCCTCGAATGTCTCATAGGCGCCGCCTTTTTGTTGTCTACAATCAAGCCCACTCATATCGAACAGCGTGAAGATCGTAAAATAGTTTGATATAGCGAAAATTCGATATACGAAATGAAGCAAAAACATTCACGTAAGAGCAGTGCAGCTGACCCAGTTGCGAGCTAACTTGCAGCTGTTAGTAGCGTGCACTTTATTGCCATTATTGTGAAGTGTAGTTTACTTTGTGGTTCTAGTGAGTCCCTACCCACACTGACCTTGGGGCTTGCTTTCAGACAGGCTGGAGGTAGCGTGTCTGGAGAGCCTGACAAAGGACGACGTGATTGCCTTCTTCAAGGTAACCACCCTATCTACTAAAATCTAGACTTTTTTAAGAAGCAAGCTTGTGTATTTGTTTTTTTTCCGCAAAGTGAGAAAAAGAAAAAAACAGTCGTTGCGGCCTACAGAAGAAGCCTAGCAATTGATGAGGCAAAGATAATGCATGGCCTTGGAAATGCAACCTGTGCTGAGGCACTGCGCACTATGTTTCACACGTGTAGCCTCCCGATGTAAGGTATGTTTTTAAGTCTGAATGCCTTGCAGGCGTCGCCATTTGCTGGAATTCTTCCACGCATTGATTGGCTCCCTGTTTGCTTTGTGGAAAGGCGGATATGGGGCACGCCAAAAGGTCGACCCATCCAAGAGCGAGCACTCTTAATGCTTATGACTATGCAGGAGCACATTGCAATGGGAGCCCCGCTGCGGAAGAAACTCTCGGTGCACATCAAGTGCGGCTGTCAGGGCGACGAAGCTGCAGACTCTGGCCATGCCGTCACTAATGTGAGATTCCGGGACTGCACAAAGCAGCACTGGGTAACCGGTCGTTTCTTTTTCAGGGACCCATCAGGATAGAAAACATCACGGAGTTCAAGAGGAGCCTGGGCCTTTACCCTCTGGCGAAGGCGTGCATCAATGTCCAGCCACCGTCGTCTGGAGCCAAATCTAAGTTATAGCCGCGCGTTGGGAGCCTCGTGCTAGGGCCTTCTTTCACACCATTAAAACTGTCCAAGAACGCTGTCCTGTCTAGTGGCTCTACCTGTGGGCGTTCGATGCCACTTGCCTGAAAGTGCGGGGCTAGCGCAGCGGGCTGATGAGGCTAGCCGAGGGGATACATGCAAGACCCAGACATCTGCACTTGCCCGTCTCTTACTGCGACGCATTTAGCTGCATCCCGTAGTTCTACCTGTTGTCATCACATTGGTCTTCCCATACGGAAACTCTGTTTCAGCATAACCTGGTAAAGTGTGAAAGCTACGACCCACACGAGCCAGTGGACCATTTGCGAAAAATGTCAAAGGTCCACGCATGAAGCATGCAATGAATTATGAGAATGTCGTGCAGCTCCTGCAGCATCTACCACAAAGGGGGAGAGGGGGGGGCGGCGGGCGGCGGGCGGGCGGGGCAGGCAGGGCAGGGACAGCATTGTTGCTTGGCTGATATTGCCTCCGTCATCTGCTACAACCTGTCCATACAACCAGTCTCAATTTTTTCCGGCACCACGGGGGGGGGGGCACTGCTCGTTTTGCAAATGGTCTATTAGAGCGACGGAGTGAAGCGCATGACTGCTCTCTACGGAAGGAGTATAGGCGATGGTACATTGTCTCCTGTCTCGCTCCAACACCCCGATTGTCTTGTTGGCACCGTGGCTTTTGCTGTTAGTCAAGGTCATCCTTTACTTAGCCGGTCCTTGCATCTGGCCACCTTGTTGATCTGCCGTCTGTTCTGTCGAACATTAAAGGCTCGTTCACACAGTTGCATTCGAGTGCGACTGCAACCTTTTGCACTTTGTTAAAGGGGCCCTGCAATCATATTTAAGCGTCTACCTTTTTTGCGGTTTCCACGTCCCTTGGCGTTTGGGCAAGCCAGCGGGCACGGAGAGAGTAACTAAATATCAGTGCATCATATTTTAACCGGACGATGCGGAAACTTCCTCCACCGACGGGGGCGACCCGCGGTACCGAAAGCGCGCGATATGTGAAGTCTTTGGTCCTAAGCTTACTACTGGTCAGAGCCGCTAAAAGCTTCTTTTTAGTCGAAATACAAAATATAAGTGGTGCGAACCGTTTCAATTATTTATGAAAGTAGTTTTTGTTCAGTATGAAACAAATGCAGTTTATAAAGTACGGAAACAAGAAATGACCCGTCCACATACCCAGCACCATGCGGTGGAAAAAGCGGCACATACTAAAAAGGAGTAATGGGATCAGGCACTGACACGGAAAGGTCCCGGATGTATGCGGCTGCGCTGCGGTCGTATAGACTGGAGGATCCGACCTGCTCCGAGCGTTCCGAAGGCCTTCGCCGAGCAGCTTTGTCTTGCGGTTTGACCGTTTCGTGGTATGGCAGTGCAAAGTGGCTCCCATTCTGAACTGTCTTTACCCCGTGTTTGCTGTCGTTTGTGGCCAATGAAGTGTCATGCCGAATTAGTATTTAATCGAGCAGTAAATGCAATGAGAGCCGCTCTGGCTGCCCGCTGCGTACAGCCTATCTAGAACATGCTTTGGTGGCGCCCTCTCGTGCCATCGACACGGAGTGCGGCAGCCGTGAAAGCTCGCTGAGCTCATTACCCCCCCTCTATACTTCGTTTCAATTTAGGTCCGAGCGCAGCCGATGTTATGAGCCGAAGGGCCAATCAAACAGTGGAAGAGGCAAAACGTCATGACATGGTCTCTGCAGTTGATAGGACCAGCCGGTATTCGCCGTCTCTGTGCGCGCTCCTCCGCCGGTTAGTCCTACCACGCGCAAAGAGCACGCCATGACAATTGCGCTTTTTGCGCTGTTTCATTGGTTCTTCGGCTCATAACATCGGCCGCGCTCGGACCTAAGATGAAACGAAGTATAGTTCATGGCCACTCAAGCAACCAAGAACGTCATGAAGGAGGTTATTTTTTGCTTGTTTTTGTAATTTTACTTTGCCTATAACATTTAAAATAAAGCGAAATTCGAGAAAAGAAAAGTTTCATTAAGTTACTACGTTCAGTGCGCTCAGGTTCGGTGCAAATTAAAAACCAGTAAAGAAGTCTTTGCAGGGCCTCTTTAAAGGGATACTTCAACGAAATATGAAATATTCTCGTCGTGTTCAAAAATAGGTTGAATATGATCCACAATATCCGTAAATGACAATCGCACGTTTGTATTTTGAGCCTGGTGGCTGTATTTTTCGTTATAAACGGCCCACTCTGGCAAGTGCTCGGAGAAGGCCCAGCTTAGAGCACGTGACATCCAACGCAATCGTGACGTAGGTCGTCTCAAGACGAGCAAAGCTACGGCGAGGCTGACGTCGAGAGGATGGCCTAGTTGCTCCAGCCACCGAAGCGGCTGCTTTTGTACGAATTTTGAGTGACGGGTTAATCTTCTATAATCTTCTAGAGGGACAATAGTGACTTCTGCGACACACAAAAGGGATTCTCGGGAAGAGGGGAGTTCCTCCTTCCCCCCTTCTCTCGTCGTGGCCGGAGACGAGACAACCTCCGTCACTAGCTGTCAAGGTTCCTAGACGAGCATTACAAACGAGGCGTTAGCGACATCCACCAGGTGCTCTTTGCTAATCGTTTAATTCGTTTTAAAATTCCTTTTCGAGACTTTTTTAACAAGATATTGGTATGTTCCATGTGATACTGCTCTTTTGAACACATATAGACCAAAAAATGAGCGCCGAAATTTTGTTGTAGTATCCCTTTAAAGGGAAGCTACGGAGCTTCTTGGAAAAAATGAGTTAGAAGTGAATTCTAGTGTATTTTTACCCCGTGAACCCGAATACCCAAACCATTTGCTGCGTAAGTATTGTTAAACGCGAGAAAAACGCAAAAGACAGTCGCTGTCCGTGACGTCATCGACGGCTCTTTTGGCTGCCCAAGGCTAGGGGGGCGGGGCTTCAGCCCTATTTTGAAATTGCTCTTGTGGCTCTCCGGCGCGTCGCATTGAAATATAATTTTGATATATGTTATTCTAAAGGCCAAATGAACGCAATTCAAGCGTTTTTTCTCAAATGTAGAAGTGCCCCATCTTCCCTTTAAGACTGGCATTGAGCTGTTGCTATGGGGACACCTATGACGAGCCAATGGAGAAGCAATGTGCAGCACAACACGGAGCAACGCAGTTGACGCAACTGTGTGAATGAGCCTTAATGCTGTTTCCCACTCTTTTAACTTTTGTTTCTTCTGGTAGAATATTCTTTTAAAGACTAGAATCTTGAAAATAATTAAACAAAAAACGCGTCCAGCAAAGCCCACAAAAGACGAGCTGTGCTTTCTGCCAATAATGACACTATTTGTTTTACAATACTTTTTTTGAATTAAATGAAATTAGATTCTGTAATTTTAAGACTCATATCCCAACTTCTAACAGGGCCTAAACTCTCCACGATTTGCATGAGGTGCGAAAGCAGTTTGCTGTTCTCCTATACAGCCTGTACGTCATTTTTGCACCTTTGTTTTCCCGTTTGAAATCATTATTATGAACTTGGCATGGGTATCGGACAAGCATTCAGGTCAATTCTAATGTGTGCAGGCTCCCACAATAAAAGACCCGTTTGCCGAGGCGGTTTATGTGGCGGTGCTAGGCCCTCTTTGGTCACACTTATTTTAAGAGAGAGAATAGAACAAGGCCTCATTTATTTCCCCACCCCGAGGTGTGCGGGCCTGACCAAAGTGGATCCACAACAGCCACCTCAACTGGCCTCATCATATGGTTTTTTTTTTTATATTGATGGAGACCACACCCCTCGAAGAATTTTGCTACTCTGTAGCAAACGTCTAGGATCTCAGGAGTGCTTATTGTAGTCATTTGGAAGCTTCACTCTACTATATTTTCAAAATTAATGCTGCTCCCTGTTAATGTAAAGGTTTGAGTGTGTTTTGATTTCTCTCTCTCTCTCTTTGAGCTGGTCAATAGGAAAGGAAAGAAGGCATCTTTGTACGAGTCGTGGATAATCCACGTTCTGAGAACGACATAGAACATTACCAGGATATTCAATCAACATTCAAATATCCTAACAAGGTTCTAAGAACGCGTTTCAGAACATCCAAAGAACTTCTGCAACTTTCTTAAAATGTTAAAAATTTATGCAGGGATCCATCCTTTCAATCTCCCCGGAACGTGCGTGGGTACATGCCTACATTCAGGGAGCATTTTCTGAGGCTTATGTACTAAGGTTTTTGCAATTACGGTTTCAATAGGAAACAGCACCAATCAGCCGTACTACATATATGGATGATGGTAAAGCTGCTCACAGGGCGATGGATATTTTTTAATCGAAAGATATTTTTAGAAAGCAGAGGCACAAGATTACCGCTTTCCCAGCTCACCAGCCCGAGCATGTACTAACGAGAGTTTACTCCTACCTGTCACTTGTCAACTTCTTTCATTCAAAATGTGCTGCGTAAATGACCGATTACTCACTCCGAGCTTAGAACAGATACACATGGCATCCCACACTCAACTGCAGAATATACCCTTTTCAAAGTATTCTACCCCACATGCGAAAAATCGGGTCTATTCAAAACTGCACCTCTACATACGCAGTGAGTGCTAAGTTTATTATGAAGTTTTGAAAACCATTGTTTTTCTCCTCGGTAGATTCATATAAGATAAAACTGATCCCTTATGCTAAGTTTCCAGAAACTCCACTTAATTTGCATATTTTTGGCACAAAGTGGCATATAGTGGATGGTGTTTCGAACCACAGGTTGCGTGAGAGCTCCGTAAAGTTTGCTTCACCTGCAAAAATTTTAGGAATGTTCGCAAGCGAACGTTCAAAGAATGTTGCACATATGAATATTCGAAGGCGAATGTTCCGAGAACATTAGGCATACGAATGTTCGCCAACGAACGTTCCTAGAATGTTGAGCAGCTTACTTTGTGTAATGTTCGCATACGAACGTTCCTAGAACGTTCTGAATGGTGTTTTAACGCTCCTTCAACATTCAGAACACCCAGGGAATGTTCGCACGACATTGGGTGCTACATGGGAAGTAATCAAGACTAATAATAATGTATATTGAGCTCAGAACCGATAA